TTACTTTTAACGCTGGATTGCACTGACATCTCAAGCGCTCGGGTCACTTGAGCGTTAACGCTCAGCGTCGACTCAGACCACCTATAATATCTCCATTGTCTGACACCAACTAAGACACACACCGGCGTGACGCCGCCCCTATGCACCCATGCCTCACACCAACTAAAGTTCGCCGTTTCTTTTATTGTTCTCCTTGTGTGACATCAACCAAGACACGATGTCCCAATGTTTCCCTTGTCAGAGCCCGACTAAGACACGGCGTCTGGAATGCTCAACATGCCTGACACAAACTGAGACACGCCTGTAACCGCCCAAAACGTTCGAACAACTGAGACCTCCGGCGAACGTTTCGTCGCGTAAACCGTCCAAAACTATCGGGGCCGCCCAAAGTCCGCCGGATATTTTGCCACCTAGTTTGTTTTGCCTTTTCCAGCGCCGGCCGCAAGAGCGAGACTAATTTTGTATCTGGAAGGTTTTGCCTGACCAATAATTCGTACCCGTTCGTTGTGGCCTGAGTCCTTGACCAAACAATTCGTATCCATCCAAACGTTCTGACTTGACCAAACGATTCGTATCCGGTTGACCGCACAGCTGGTACCGTGACGTTTTTAGCTGACCGCCAATTCGTATCCGCCCGTTTCTCCTTAACTATTGATATGTATCCGCTTGTTTTGGTCTGAATTCTTATCCGGTCGTTTCTGTCGGAGTGTAATTTCGTTACCCTGTTGTTTCTGCGGCAGTAAAGTTTTGTATCAGGTTGTTTCTGCGGAGTGTAGTACAAATTTTGAGGCCCGGCAGGCCACAACGTCCGAATACAATATATGCAGGCAGGTAAAAGCGTCCGGGTAGGAGTTGTGCGGTCGTCCAGATACGAATTGAGTGGTCAGTCCAAAGCGTCCGGATTGCCGTTTGCCGGTTTCTTTAGCCGACTGCCGTTTGTCGGTTTCTTGAGACGTCATGCTTGCTAATTTCATCACTGTACTCACGGCAACAATATAAAAAAGGCTTTTTATTTTTGTGAATTAAATTTGTATTCATATCTTAATCTGTATACGGTCGTAGTTTCTGTCCAGATTAAGCGCAGCGGCTGGCGTGCCGTGGCTTCATCATACAAATTGATATCTTTGATTCGCGATCCAGGCACATCATTTACGGCTGTATGCAAGCAAATTTAACAAAAACGCATTGTATTTGCCAGACGAGAACTGTTTGTAACGTCACAGGAGTTCACTCAAGTAACAGGTTAAATCATCGAACCAGAAACAGCTACTGTGGCGACCTGAACCTCACTCCGATAGTCGCTAAAGGCTATTACTTTAGCATACTATACCGGTAGGTGGCCGCAGCATAGCAGTGATGATAGCACGTCAGCTATCTTTACGAACCGTACCACCGAGTAAACTGCGGCAAAATAGCGAAGGGCTATTATAACGCAGTGTGCGGTAAAATAACAAAAGGCTATTGTGCCGCACATACTGCGGCAAAATAGCGAAAGGCTATTGTAGCGCAGTGTGCGGCAAAATAGCAAAAGGCTATTTTGACGCACTGTAAAAACTGTGGCAAAATAGCCTTAGCCTTTTTTTTATAATCAGGGTTCATCATACCTGACGTGGACCATGCACATGCACGCCTTCAAGAGTTTAAGGTTTTTTGAGTTGTTAATAACGAGAAAAGTGGTGGCTTCCTTCATAATTTTTGATTTTTTAATTTTTAACAGTTGCCACGTTTTATCGCTTGCCAGAACGCGTAGTGGCAAGTGCCACTGCCGGTGGCGGTTGCCAGTGGCAGGTGCCACTGCCACCTTTTATCCCCTGCCCCCATATACAGACAACAGACAGGAGAAAAAGCTAAGAAACTAGCAATCACTAAACTAACAGCTTTCGCACATTCAAGTTTTTACTCCTCTCTTCCTCGTGATCGTCGTCGTCTTCCTTCTCCTCTTCGGACTCGTAGTCGCTGGGTTGCTCGGCGTGGCCGGACTGCTCTTCGTGATCCCAGTCCTGCATGCAGTGCGCTAAGGCAGCCAGGCAGAATTTGTTCAGCTGGCCGACGTCCACGCTGGCCATGTTGTACAACCATCGGCGTCCCCGATAATGTGCCGACAGACGGGGATCGCTGGCCTGGTGCACCCGCAGAATCTGCAGTAAACAGATACCCTACCGTTCTGCACACTTGAAACTGTACAGAGCGCTACTGTTCAAATTCTGCATACAGGAAGGCCATTTTGTTACAGCCAGTATAACTTGAGTAATATCTCCAATTTTACAATCAGTTCCAGAAATCGAAGGAGCCAATTTGAAATTGGACAAGACTGACGGAAACCTGGTTGCGTGGTAAAAACGATCTTTAAACCGAAGCGCTTTTACGGGATGATTCGAATTAGATCGGTTTGCACTTCGCACACTACCTTGCAACCTTGCCGGACCTTCTCCTCGCTGTCAATCATATCGGCCACGTAAATGGTAACCCCGTTGCATATCCAGCGGCGGCCCCTCGCAGCGCAGATGCTCCTCCAACATGTCCGGATTCTTCGCCTCATCCATCTGTCCCCCCGTGATGACCACCAGGGGAATGCGGCACCGGAAGAGGGCCATAGCGGATCGCTGTGCCACCACGGTAAGGCAAAATCTTTCAGAATCAAACGATCACAGGATGCCGCCAGCTTGGAAATCGATCCCACCCGCGATTATCTCCACCGACAGCCCTCCCCGCTTCCACTCAGCCAGTCCCTTCTCACCGAGCCGGGACGATCGGTGGTCCTGGTCCACGATGAAACGCTGGATGCGCGGCATGCTGACCGAGCGCAAGAGATGCGTGAATACGTAGAAGTGCCAGCTAACTGTTCTTAAAAACTGAAGCACGAAAGCACTTTCTGACGCCCTGAGCGCCAAACTGCTAAACACTATTGTGCCAATCCACATAGTCGGCAAATCGCGGTCAGGCGTTGTAAAGGCCTTGCAGTTCCTTGTGCGTACGAATGCGCTGGTTCAGAGCATCTAGATCCGGCGCCGGTGCGCGGTTACCGCACCGGCGCCGGATCTCTAGATGGGTGAGTGACAGAGCTACGACCACTGGCCAGTGAGAAGAATCTTTAGATGAAAGAGTGACCGAGCTTCTACTGTACCGCAGTCCAGTCAATGCGTGGTTCAACTTATAATTTTTTGGTTGGACACATCAGCAATCCAATCTCGATTCTAGAGCCTTTCCTCGAGACGTTGTACAAGAACGGCTAAGGCTGTTAGCCTGTTAATACATTTACTAACGAATTAAACGAATTCTCCATTCAAACCGGCCGTGGATCACAATAAACGCAGAGGCGAAGCCGAAGCTGTTTCTTGTACAGTATATGATAACTTTATTCAGTAGAAGTATGCGTAACAAAGCGCAACGCCTTGCTTTCCCGTGTTCTGAATGAAAAATCCTTTCCAGTTAACATGAGACGGAGCAGTTCCCAAACGCGCTGAGCATTAATACCACGTTGAATTTCTTAAACCTTGAACCTTGAAGAAAACAGGTACGGTGGAGCGGTTTTCTCCCGTTCGAATATACAGTTTTTTGCCGATTTCCTTCAACAGATTAACAGCAGCGTTGCACCACGCACCAAAGGTTACACAACCCCACGTAGCAAAATAACAACGATCAACAAAGGACTCGTATTTCTTGTTCTTTTCCACAAACGCTTGTTCTGCTGCCGCGCCCGTATTTTTCGAAGTCGTTCCAATGTAGGAATCGCACTTAACCTTAAAATTACTTTCTCACTTCGTATTCGCGATGCGTGTTGTGCAGTAAGTATTGCTTTTTAGCCAACGGTTCCCAACCGTACTAAACAATTTGCGGTGCAAACTTTGCACCAGAAACTGTGGTTGTACTCATTGTTCCGCAGGGAGACGCGACCTGTACGGCATCTGAAAATGGTACTCCATGGGCTCCGCTAAATCGTCATTGGCCGTTGGCCACAACACTTCCGACGCACCCTGCGCTAGAAACTTGAATCGACAATGCTGTCAGTGCTCGAATTCTGCACAGAGACTCAATACTGTACAACGGCGGCAGCGATTGTCCAGATGAAAGGGCATTCACGCAGTTCCAGCAGCGCTTCCGCAGCCGACCACTACAACTGCCGCCGGCCTCTGTTCTGTGAATTTGCACATCAAAGCCAAATAAGTACAACGATGGCTGTTACCTGTAACGGCTCAAAACGTCCGGACGTCTGACAATTAGTGAGATGTGCGGACGTTTTGGACGGTTACAGTTGGCGCGCAACATCCGCATTTGGGGCTTAACGGAGATCCGATACAAGTACATGGTGCCAACACTGTCAAATTCGGGTACATACACAAAAACTTTCACTTTCGCGCACTACCAAAATTTTTTTTATCGGTTTTGCAAACGGTTATCATACTAACCTGTACAAATCATTCGGCTACAAAATGCAATAAACGATGCAAGAGCGTGTTTGCGAGTGCGCAAATGTGAAAGTTTTCGTGCATGTACCCGAATTTGGTGCCATGTACCGGGTCACTTCTCTCAAGCCCCAGCGTCCAGAGACATTCATAAACTTCATGAATCGTTCTTGAGGTACTCTTTCAACCCTACTGATACATTAGTTGTATCCATAAAGTACGATTTTTTTATTGGCGGACGCGATACGAGCAGTCACAAATACAAAGTAAATTGAAGAACGGACAATTCAATGCTTTCCGGTATGGAGGCAGCGGGAACTACTAGAGTAGTAACCTACCGGTACATTCCAACAAACTAAAGTTACACCGGTAAAGTTTTACAAGCAAAAACATAAATACGGGACAAAAATCCTAATTATATCAAAACAACGGACACTTTCTGCAACTGCAGTCTTTCCAGATACAAAAATAAGCAGCTGCCTTCGTGCTAGCTAACAGTGCTTAAAAAAGAACTAAAGCACGAAAACAGTTTCTGGCATCTTGAGTGCCAAACTGCTAATCTCTGTTGTGCCCCTCAACATAGTCGCCAAATAGCGGTTAGGCGTAGTACAGGCCTTGCAGTTCCTTGTGCGTGCGAATGCGCTGGTTCAAAGCATCCAGATCCGGCGCCGGTGCGCGGTTATCGCGTTCTCGTTCAGGCGTTTCTTCGCTGGCACTAGAAAAATACACCGATCGATTCTCAAACAGTAGCAAGAATCATCAAACATTCGCTTCGCATTTTGCTAATACCGCTTCGATTTGTTCCTGCAAGACTGCAACAATGTATAACTGGTACATCGTAATTATTTTTTTTAGATAGAATTGATAGATAAGTAAACTTTAGTCAAGATTTCGCGAGATCAGCATGCCGCAGCTGAAATAGTTATTGTCCACATAAATTTATGACAAGCGCGCTCAGAAATTTGGCAATATAGACAACAGTAGAATAAATAACGGGAAAAAATTCTCCGAATTTTTATTGATCATCTTGAATCAGATTATACATCCAGGTTGACGCTGGGAAATGGAATAATTACAAAACTGACCTGTCCAAATAGATGCCGGTATGCTGGAGATGGTACCGCGCCCGGAAGGCGGCCAGATGGGCATAGTAAACCGGCGTGGGGATGCTGACGCTGCGGTTGCAACGCGCGGAGAGAAACGCCAACGAGTAACTGAAGAGCTCGATCTGGTCGGCGGACAAATGACTATCATCATACAGCACATGATAATGTGCCGGACGGCTGGTGCCCTACACAATGTAATAACGTGTATGGCAGTATAAATAATAAATTAATTTATGTCTATAAACACATTAGTAATAGTTATAGCACAAATTATTGACGTATTTGAATCAGAACGGATACCTGAATGCCAGCGTGACTGGCGAGGTAAAAATCGAATTCCTTGAAATGGGTAATGGTGGTATCAACGATGGTACCTGTGACGATAAACGATAAAATGAAATAAGTTGTTAGAGAAATGGACAAGGTGTACATGCCATGATACCGGTACATTAAAATTTAAAGGAGAGAATCCTAATTTATAACTTCATTAGTCAACGTGCAGCATTATGCTTTTTTGTACCAGGCGGGACGTTTCCGGAATGGGTAGTAGCTTCGCGTTCATTAGCATGGAACAGCCGCACATGATGACCTTTGCCGACGATAACATAGGTAAGGGGCGGCATGTACTTCCCATTCGGAACCAATTCCCGACAAGCTTGCTTGACGGAATTCACTTCACGCTCCATGACCTATATGTACAGACAGCACAATTGTACACAGTACAAGCAAAAGTGTTGATTCATGTGCATATTGTTGCAATACAACACGAGATACTCCATGGAATTGCTCTAAACTCGTAATGTTAAGTGGCTTAAACCTTATAATAAGTATCATGTCATAAGTACAAACTTGTTACTAGAAAACATTTATAACAGAAACACTTCCTCAATGCTATCCTGATCGGGAATTGTACCCATTACATAAATCGCAATCCATATTGTTATTAATATTACTACTACACCGTGACCTACACAAGAAGACCGCAAAGACATTTCTGTTAATTATAGTAATAACTTATTTGCAGCGTCAGCGCACGTACTTGCTTATACTGGCCCTCGGACACGCCGTCGCGATAGAAGACGATTTGTGCCGGTTCAGTTTTGTTGCGATCGTAGAACTCCAACAGCAGCTCGCGAACCATCGCCGCGAGATCGGTGATGATCTCCTGTGTAGCGGACTTCTTCTCGGAGTACGGATTGACACGTTTGGACTGCGCGCGGACACGTTGCATATATCGTGTGAAGGTGTCATCGTAGCTGGCCACCACAGCGGCGATGGACGGTTTGGCAATGTCCTCACCCGCTCCCGGGTGCGTCACGTCCGCACCGAATACAATGGTCGGCTGTAAGCGTTTCGTAAATATATTTCTAGTATCGAGATATTAATAATTCTATAATTCCAGATAATAATATTTAAAAACCGAATGGATTTCCATTTATCGGTTTTTGTGTTTTGATCAATGTTAATGTACTAATCCTTTCGATGTTATTAATTATTTGTTTACATTTTGTTGGTAAGTTCTAATGAAAAGAGACAATTTAATAAATACTGCACCTTGTTCCTGAAATACGCCAGCGGTGAACTGGTGGGACACTTGTCAAGGCTGGCGTTAATATTGTTAACGCCACCAAGTTTCGCGTTGATCTTCAGCAGAAGATTCCCGGCATACTGCGCCAGTCCTTTCGGGTGGTTTTTCATTAAGGTCTTCGTCAAGACCACCTGTAAGAAATAGTCACAATTAAGATTACTTAATACTTAAACAAACTGGAAAGCCGTCCACATTAACAGCCACCCTGCATACGTGCAAAAATTTACATGTATTACTTTATAACCTTTCTCTCGTATCACTAATTATTTCGCCACTTCAGGAATTATTTGTACTGCAGATATCTAATGCTAACTTAGTCCATTGTAACTTAGCCCATTTGTTTACTAGTGCTCTGCAATATACAGTACCTGTGTAGCCACGCCGCACTGTACATCGCCGGCCTTTTTAATGTCACCGTACAATTCGTACTGATGAGACACGATCATAATCAATTGGACGTTCTGCCCTCGACCACTGTAATACGACCGGATATCTTCGATGATCCCAGCGAAGTCCGGGTGGGCGTCATGGGCACGGTACATGTAGGGCGGTTCGATGGTCATGCCGCGCTGTCGCGCCAACTCCGTCAGCTTTTTCAGGAAATCATTGAACACCCGTTGCTCGTGGAGGTTATTGCGTATCACCACCGCCCAGGCTGTCAGCGGTACGGGATGGACAAACCGGGTGCGCCGCGTATCCCACGTACCTGAAGATACCGATATTTCCATGCGCTAAATTCAAGCAGTACTTACGTATATTAATAAAACCAGTCGGGTTTCCTTGAATATTTTCTATCTACATAGCTACGCTACTGTATAATGATTTTCCATCTACAACGTTGGAAATTATGTACTAAGCTAAAATTAAGTAATAAGTTAAATTAAGTAATCAGTTAAAATGAATCCGTTTCGCACTTGCCAGTAACCACATGCAGTTAAAGACATTGCCGGAAGAGCTTATGGACGAAATGAAATGTAGTGCCAAAAATAGTGCACGGAGTGAAAGAAAATTCGAAAGGTTTCGAACCGGGTGAAAGGTCATGAAAAGCTGTTAACGCAGGGATACGCTTTAAATTATAAGCGAGTTACACAATAGAATCTGCGTATATGCTGACTGCTGTTGCATTTGTATAACCCGCTTGAAATTTAAAATAATATACAAGTAATTTAATAGCGAGTAATTACTTAATTATTTAATTAATTGCGTATTTTCATTAATTTAGCTAGCATCTGTTAAAACTTAATTATTATCGGCCAGCTGTCCGACCGGGAAGATGCAAATGTTTTCACTGAATTATTTTCGACAATGTATCAGCTACTTTATGATAACACAATTACTCGCAGAATGTACCGTGGCTCTCGTCCACAGCCAGCGTCTTCGCCTCGCCCTGTCCAATCTTGGGCATCGGCAGAACACGACCCTCCAGCGCCTGCATATCCCGCGCCACGCGGATCCCGAACTGTCGCATGTGCTCACTATCGTCATAGCCCACCGCGTGTGTCCGAATATCCTGAATTTGGCGCTTGCGGACGCCAGCTAAATGTTGATGAAACAATGAATATACGTACCACTGCCTGTCAAATACAGTAGTACGTATATGCACGCGCAAGTACTTATCCTGCACCGGAATCTACATACCGGGTTTAGCACACGCTCGGACCATCATGGCCGTCTGTTGATCCGTCAGCTTCCGTTTGACTTTTTGCCCGTCGACCACCGTACAAAGTTCCACAGGCAGGAGACATTTGTTGGATGTCTGCAAATATACAATTTTATAGTTTGCGTAACGTCGGCGCAAATACAATGGACTTCAAAATTTTGTTACACTTATATAATCACAAAACGCGCGCAACCAGGCACTTTTCTGTACTTGAACAGCCAAATTTTGAACTGGCCATCGGCCTGCTGACATTAACGCTGACATCTTGCGCATTTCCCAAACGGAAACCTTCGAACGATATCTCAGACGAATAAGAAAAAAATTTCAAGAATTTTGATACCAAACAAGCTGTGTTTTATGAGATCTAAGAGAAAATCGACGCATCTAAAGTTTTTCATAGACCTAGCATAGGATTTGAATCCACGGTTTGATTTCAGTTTTCACACATAATCGTATGCTTTGTCTATGACAAAATAAAAATGGCTCGATTTTCTCTTAGATCTCATAAAGGATGACCTGTTTGGTATCGAAATTCTCAAAATTCTTTTCTCTTGCGTTTGGTATATCGGTTGATGGTTTTCGTTGGGAAATGCGCAAGGTGCAGGTGTTCAAAGTCTTGCACGTTCCCTTTTCATTGGTCATTTGGTCGCGGCCATTTATTTTTACTGGTCATTCGGTCCCGGACCGAATGTAACAAAATTTTGAAGTCCATTGTACATGCAGTAAATTTCTGCACCGGAATCGCAAGAATAATAACCGAAATTTTAACCGTATCTGGAAAAAATTATTGTGTCGATGTACTTGTAGTGCAGCTAGCGTATGCAACTGGCTGATATTTATAGCAAAAACATGAAAATGCAAAAAATACATGCAAAAATATATGCAGGAATAAAATGTACGATAAAACTTGCAGTTATTAACAACTTGAGTATTCTAGAGACGACAGACAAAAGTTGTCTTGTGTACAAGCTTGTCCTGAAATTTCCATCATAAAGGTATACTGTAGCACATACTTAGCGGAACTGGGCTATGAGCCACTACATTACGCCTGCCACAACGACAAATTCACTGTATTATAATTTCTTCCCACAAAATTAGTGTTATCTAGATAATTATGTACTAATGCGCTTGTTTACCTCCACCATCGGCAATCCGGGAAACTGCAGCCGGTAGTTGTACTTCCGGGCAAAGTAGTCCGCAACCAGCACCTGTTCCCCGTTCATGTGGAAGGCACACTGATCGGCCGCCTCGCGGGACAATCGCGCGACGGTGTAGTAGCGCATTTTACCGCCGACGCCGGTGCTGATCTGCAGACCCCTCAGATCCGCCATGACCCGACGCAGTTGCTGCTCGTTCATAATTGGAATGGGCGGGGCGTTGTCTCGTTGCTGTACTATGGCCGTGATCAGATGGTGCAGCGGGATGTTGGCATAGAATACACCGTGCGCCACGTCCACATTCAGCGACATCCCCAACTGACACAGCCGCGCACTCTGAAGAATTACGCGTTCAAAATTTACATGCAGAATTAATATGCCAGACATCGCAATACGGATACATCGCAATCCCTGTTAATTATGCAGCTACCTGCGCAGATCAAATTTTTAAAACGCACATTAATTAAGTAGCGCACACACTGCGCATGTAATTTTATTACTCGTTTCGTTACTGCCAAATAAATCACATATGTATTTCAACGAAAGCGGCAGAGGAGCATAAAAAAATTATTATATGAGCAGCAAAACCCGATTGTCAAGCGAAAATACATTTAACCCATTTCTGTAATTTACTTTAGCGCTACAATAAAATAAACAGATAAAATTATGCCAAATAAACAAATTAATATTTAGAAAAAAATAAAACGGTGAAAATAGATTTGACACAACTTACCGCGAAAAATCCCATCCACATTATACGGCCCCCACCGAGCGTGATGGCATTGGTGTCATGGTGGAAGTAGGAACTACCGGCTGGCACATTGTGATCAACGGCCAGGGCGGCCTCGCGGAGAATGGTGTTAATGCAGGAAATGACGTGTACCGGCAACTCCGTGGTGCGCCCTTCCATAGCCTCCCGGAGAACTCCCCTGAAAGCATGATTTCGTCACAGAACCAGGGTAGAAGGGGTGACTCGAACACATACATTATGCGGCTGTGCAAATCAGTCCAGGTCAGATTACTGTATTTACATTTTACAGTAAATAATCATGATGAACTACATACAGTATATTAATCATTACGTACGTAAAGACTCTTCAAGAGCGGCGTAAACAAAATTTACATACCATAGTACCTACTTTATATCATTTTCAAAAACACTTGTAATACGTGTAGGAAACAGGTAAACATGTATACATGTACGTAGGAAACACGTAAGAAATAGATTTTGGAATAAAGAAATTGATGAAAGTAAACAAAACAATCTTGAAATAAACTATAAGGATAAACAAAATGAATAACCTACGAAGCCAACATAAATTTATCTGAAAACAGTCTGCCTGTGTATAGTGAATCCTTACCAGGAAAACCGCAGCGGATTGCACTCCCGCAGGGTCACTCGCACCGTTGCCCGCCGATGCTCCTTCTCATTGGGAAGCTCTACGATGGTCTCCACAATCCGCTCCGCCCGCTTCGCCGACAACAGCCCCGGATCCTGCAGCTCCACCACGGAGAGCAAATTGCTCTCTCCATCAAACACCGGCAGCGTCCCCTGGAACAACGCCCGGTTCCCCGCCACCAAGCGATGGATGGCACGCCGGCGGGTATCCTTCCGCACCGGTTTCCCCAGCACCACCAAGACCGGGTCCGCCTCTCGGTCACTGACCCCTCGCTGGGCCATGATGTCGGTGGTAGCGCGCTGATGACTGCGCTCGCGGGTTTCCGGCGCGCGCCACACCAGGGCCTCCATTTCCACGTGGTAGTGGTAAAAGTAGCCATCACGGGGCACCTCCAGCTTGAAGTGGTTGGCGAGTAAACGGATACCGCGGCCCAGTGTCCCAACGTCCGGACGATTAACCGAAACCATCTCCATTCTTCACGGTTTCTGCAAAACATACAAGGTACTTCACTCCATTTACTTCCCGTTAATGCCCTAAACAGTACACAAAATATTGGCGAAATTATTACGTACGTTTACAGCTTTTCGTACCATCGTATGAAAATAACAGAATTACCAATATAATACTGGAACCTTCTTAAACGTCTTACAGAGTTTTGCCGACGCAGCGGTGGATGCGATGTACTGTATTAAGGATCTTAAGGAGTAATAGCAATACTTACACTTACCTAAAGAGTAACTTTGGATTTAAAAAAAAAACATTAAAGAAAACTAACGCCGTCGCGTTCAGCACAGGTGGAAAATGTTTCGCACCATTCACATACGATTTATTTTAAAAACGATTTCTTCTAGCACAAAATATTACGACCGCCCAGAATAGTTATAGTTCAAATTATTTTCAAATGAAAATACTAATTTCCAAAGTCTTCACATTTTACTTATGGTAATAATTATTTTTTCTTGCCCACCCTGTTGGCGTTAGCAGATAAATATACAACCTACACACACTAAAAACTGCAGACCGAGAAATACGAGAAGAACAAAGAAACCCATAACGGCAGTTGGTCGTAAAATTACAGTATTTAGTATTATTTACGTTACCACTATAACCCATGATTAAAAAATTATCACAGCTATGTAATATTCTTCCCTACCTGTGACAAAGGAATCCAAGGATCTTCTTACTCCGGAAACAAGGACAACGTAAAACGGAGTAAACAAGACAACAGAACTACAAGAATCAAAAAAGAATTATAAAGTCCAAATCCAATGTGGCGTAAACACGCGTGGAAATTTTAGAATTCCGCCCACCTCCGAGGCTCAGATAATGCAACTCAAAGTCGCTGTTTCAGACGGATTTATCCCCATCCTAAACCGAATGTTATACAAATATCAAGATAGTGGAAATTTAAAACTTTAATTTTAGAACTTTGGAATTTCTGGTCCCCGCTCCCAGTTTACACAAAATGCAATGGATTTTACCACAATTCCAGGAAATGGAATTTAGCGTAGCGCGCACTGCACTGTCTTTACTCTGCACTAAAAAAGATTTTCCGAAAAAAATTTTTTAACGAATTCGTTTAGAGACGTAAATACTGATTTTATGGTAGTAATCTTTGGCGATATTGTCTTCGTAGGTTCCGCGCGCTGGGAAAAGCTCCATCATTGCAGACATTTATGGTCATTTATCTCCCGCAAAAAATGTTTACGTTCGTAGATGTTCTGGATAATTCGCTGAATGCGCACGCGATATAAAGTCGAAATAATTATAGCTGTAATTACTACTAATTAGTCACGTTCGCGCAGACCTTTTGATTCGACATACACCATACAAGAACAACAAGTTCCACCGGTTTTTTTAAATATGTAAATAAAAACTACGATAAGTATTTAAATGCATTCGCCATTCGGACGCTATACCGGGCGCACAGCCATTTTACGTCTGCCCGAACTCCGGGCGCAGAGCGGTACTTCGTTTATTTTCTTACCTTTTACTATGTTCAGAATAATATGATTAAAACTACACATGCACATCGTTTTATACGGATGATTTCAGCCAGGCGGAATAGTTATTTTGATGTTCCGGTTTTGTCGTAAAGTAGAAAAACAAATACGACTCGCATTCAGTTTTACGCAACCCAGTCTGCTGCAGCCAAGATGCAGTTTTGTACCGGCTTGGTGTCGCACTTTACGTGACCTGGGACGATGAAGCGAAAAAACACTTATGAACGAAAACAGAAAGCGGTATAGCGACTGCCACCGGCCAGAGAGTTCTTTGTTCAGCGGTTATCTATGCAACTTCCACACGGAAATGCGGCACGCGTCCTAACCAAAGCAGCATAAAGGAAACGCTTTTACTGTGAATCTTTTTCAACCGGTAGTCACTTAACGAGTTATTACATAAAGTATTTTTACCGATAAAGAGATAGCCTTGCATTTATCTTATATATGTAACCAATTGTTGAGATTGAGAAACTCGAAATTGTTAACTACAGAAAGTAAACAAAGAAAAAGTATGCAGAGCCATGCACACGCACCACTGATATCTTCATCAGGCTAAACTAAGGTTGTTGGCAATTAACGATAATCAAGTTGTATCTGCTTACTGCTAAAAATAATGACAAAACCGAACACACAGTAAAAGAAGAATAACCGAGCGTTCACAGCTGCATGATCAATCATCCAGACCGGTTGGCCATTCGCTAGCTGCGTCATTTTCTACATACACATAACCGTACTTCCGATTGTACTCATCAGTCATCCGGTAGTGATAATTCACGTCCTCGGTGTCAGAATAAGCATCACTCTCATATTCCACGTATTTCCGACCGTCATACACCGGCGGAAGGTGATGCTGCAGGGGCAGACAGACGGTCTTCTGTGCGTAATCACCCCCGGCCACCTCCGCTTGCAGTTCTTTCGTCATCGGCACATCCACCACGGTCCACTGATTCTCTTCCGCATTGTATCGTTCAAAGGACATCAGCGCCTGTTTCCGCTGATTGTCCCCGTTGACATGGGTCGTTCCGCCGTACACCCACATCTGACCGTCTCTGATGAAGACACCGTGCTGGTAACGCGCCACGTTCAGGTCCGCGATTCGCTCCGGTTCGGCCTGGGCGTGGCTGAGTGAGACACGGTAGCAGGCGGTCACTGCCGTTGCCAGCTTCTTCCAGTCAAAAAAATGGTTGTTGCGATCCACGCAGCCGCCGGTGAAGTAGAGATATCCTTGGAAAACAATAACCCCGCACTGACGATGGAATTTGCTGTCGTCTGTCCAACTAGTGTGCTTCGTCCACTGGTTGCTGCGGATGTCGTACGTCTCCACCACACTTTCCGGATGACCATCATGCTTCTCCTGAACGGAACCAACTGACACGAAGGCAATTCGGCCATGAGGAAGCGGGTAAGGTTCCATTGACGCTCTGTGAAAAGGCTCATTATTTTTGCTCGTGATTCTCTGGTAGTCCTCAACGCATTAATAACTGCATGCTGAACTACATTCCCTTAATGTTAGTACGTTTCGCGGACAAAAATACTAGCTTCTTACCGGTGATAGCGGTAGAGTGCTCCGGCTACGTCGCCGTAAATACGGTCTTGCAACCATTGCAGCTTGAACGTTTCAATGTCATCCAACTCAGGAATGGCTCTAATTTCTTTGATGACGTTGGGAGGCTCTTTCTCAAAGGTATAGTATGGCAGTTGGCTGGCTCGCCACAGTTGTCCCCTGGCCACATCAAAGCTGTACCAGTTTCGAGAATCAATTTTTGTATCGTCAGCACCGTAAATCCGACTGCCCACCGCCACAACGCACATGCAGTAGTTAAAGGGTGAATCTTTCATGAGAGCCCGTGTACAGCCGGTGACGCAGTCGATCGCCACCATTTCATCCGAATACGCGTCGTACGGTGTGGTGCCGACAATCAGCTCCCGTCCCACGGCCACCGCGAATCCATCGGCTTTAATCTTCGGCCAGTGCTCGGCTAACTTCTCCTGCACCGGTGTGTTCAGCTTGGTCAGTTCGTTGCGGAGGAAATCGAAACGGAGGAGCTGATGCGGATGCCCTTCGCGCATGTGATAGAAGATGGCATCCTTCGGTGCCGCACGCTTCAGCAGTGCTCCACCACCCATGAGACCGCGGTGGCGATCAGCCAGAATTTGAGTCAGCGCTTCATGCAATTCTCCGGTGGTGGATGTGATCAGCGCGTGGATGTCCATCTGATCCCACACGATACATGCTTCCAGCAGATGATGCAGGTGTTGTGTGCGCTCGGTGGCGTCGTGCGTGCACCAGCTCAGTACCGCCTGCAAAGGTCAACGTCCTAACAGCTAAAACCACACACAATTGCTCTGAATTGAGTCAGGACTTCGGAAGTGTTACCAAAACATCCAGCACAGTCCTCAGTCTTAATAAACGGTTTAACACGTGGCAACATGATAGTTATCGGCGATAACCATCATCGATTATCGGCGATATTTATCGACGATATTCAGATATTCTAGATTATTGGCGATATTTACTAATAATTGTAATAAACCGTTTCAGCTAACATAACGAAGTGAGCGCATAATTACGGAATTACACGCTGTTGCAAACAGTAAAAGTCATGTACCTTACAATCAGTTAAGAGGTGATACTGCGGTTAAAATGTGGGTTAGCAGGGTATACTGGTCGGGCGGTGCTACAGAAACAGAATGCAGCCCTAAATTCCAAGCTGCATGGTAGATTTAGCGCACACATACCTCGTATACAGTAGTCTCACAATCTGGAGCATACTCTTCATGGGTCAGCAGGACAACCACCTCGTCTACGCTGCACTGCAAAAACACCTCCGAACCGGCGAACTCGACGTGACGTGGCAGTTTCTGGAGAATTTTTGCAAAAGTCAGTTTTTCCAGATCTAACAGGCCATCCCGACGAGCCAGGCGCCACAGACGGTAGACGTGCTCCGGTCGCTGCATCAGTCGGTTCAAAATCCGCGCGGCCCGTTTTTCGGCATCGTCCATCTGCAGATATCGGGCAGCAATCCACACTTTCACGGCGTCTTTTCGTTCAATGGACAATTCCGGATCTCCGTCGCTGAGGTTCTGTACCATTTTGACGAAGGTTTCCATATGGACGTTCTCCGGTTGCTGGAGTTCGATGACAGTCTTCTCGGTTTCTTGGAAATTTCCGGCTAACATGGCGGCGAAGTATGGCGACCCGGCGATCAGTGCGTCTTTATCCACGCATAACACGTCATCGCCGATTTTTAGCTGAATCGTAACTGGGGTCAGTCTCTGCTGTTCGGCCGCCATAGACTTCTTGTTCTTTGTACACTTCGAAGACATGATGGATCTAGATTCGTCCATCAGTATGCTGGTTAAATTCCAAACTTCCGACTGAACTGAAAATTAAGACTTTCTAGTTTTAATTAATAATGTTTGTTTAGTTTTTATTAATAATATTTAGTTTTAATATTTTCAAATAATTATACTTATTTTTAACCAGTTAGCAGCAAGAACTGAAACTGATCTGATGGTTATAAGAACTGAAGGTACGGTACTAATTTTGCACTGCATAAAACTGATTTTGTCTCTCCTAGCATAACCAATGGTACAAATACTAGTACAGTAAGTCCTAGCTATCTGTCACGGTCATGCTTATACTTACATGGCTCATGACCGCTTAGTTTCTTTTGTTCTCGTAATGCCTGGCACTGATCATGAGCTGCCTAAAGCACCTTATCCAATCACAAACGTGAATCACGCCCTTTGGTAGTGTTCTGCTAATTCCTATATGCTGCTGTTTTACTTTCGGTACAAGATACGCGTACGCGTACGAACGCTCAAACTTGTTCAAGCTTTTCTTCGTTGTAACTTGTATTGGTCATTGCTTCTTTAATACAGTGTACACTGTACAGTATTGCCGCTGTGCGTTTATGGATAAGTACGTACCTAAGAAACCTAAGAAACGCGCAAACGTTTTTTTGTTTAGCGGTTGTCTTTGCAACTTCCACACGAGAATACGACACGCGTTAATCAATGCAGCATAATGGGAAAGGTTTTTTGCAGGGAATATTTTTGTTGTTCAAACGTTGGTCACTTAACTAGTAAACAAAGAAAAAGCATGAAGATCAAGTACACTTACCATGGATATCTTCGTTAGACGAAACTCAGAAGGTTCTTGGTAAAGGTTAACCAAATTGTATCTATCTGGCACAACTGCACACTGTAAGGTTGAATGGCACAACTGTACATACAGTAAAAGAGCAAAATAACAGAACAGTAGACATTTCAAGCTGTATCATCAATCATCTAGACCAGCTGGCCATTCGGTAGCTTTGCTATCCCTTTCTTGACGAGAACCGGGCTCCTTATTATACTCGTCTTTCATCCGATAGTGATAAGTCATGTCCTCACTGTCCGACGAAGTATCACTAGACTCGTATTTCACGTATTTCCGACCGTCATACACCGGCGGAAGGTAATGCTGCAGCGGCAGACATACGGTTTTCTGCGCGTAATCCCCACCCGCCACCTCCGCTTGTAGTTCTTTCGTCATCGGCACATCCACCACGGTCCACCGATTCTCTTCCGCACTGTACCGTTCAAAGGACATTAGCGCCCGCTTCCGCTGATTATCTCCGTCCACGTGGGTCGTCCCACCGTATACCCAAATCTGGCCGTCCTTGATGAAGACACAGTGCTGGTAACGCGCCACGTTCAGGTCGGCGATGCGCTCCGGTTCGGCCTGGGCGTGGCTGAGTGAGACACGGTAGCAGGCTGTCACCGCCGTTCCGTTCTCCTTCCAGCGGTAGAACGAGTTTCCAACATCCCTGCAGCCGCCGGTGAAGTAGAGATATCCTTGGAAAACAATGATCCCGCACTGATGATGGAATTTGCTGTCATCTGTCCAACTAGTGTGCTTCGTCCATTGGTTGCTACGGATGTCGTACGTTTCCACCACACTTTCCGGATAACCGTCATGCTTTTCCCGAACGCATCCCACGGACACAAAGACAATTCTGCCGTGGGGAAGAGGGTACCCTTCCATTGACGCTCTGCAAAGATACTAGCTTGAAGTAGCTTCACAGTTGTCACTGCATCTGCACCAAATTTGTGACTGCAGGTCGGTCGGTAAGGGAAGAGACCGGCACATAGTACCATATTCGTGTACATGCACAAACCCTTTCACTTTCGTGCACTCTCAAACACGTTTTTGCAAAAACCATCTGGCTACAGAATATTATTATAAAATAAAGTTGAGAAGTACTTAGCAGTCCGTGAAGTGAAAGTTTCAATTAAGGGACTGCTTTATCTTTAGTACAGCACACGATTTATTTTCGAGTACATGCACGAATACACGAATACTGTACCACAAGTTCACATAAAGTACAGATGCACGAATCTAGTACTTACCATGTACCGGGCCACTTCCCGTACTTACGTTAACGCCAAACGTTTTTTTCGATAGTCCACAACGCGTTAATAACGCACGCTAAATATCTACAGATATTAGCTAGTAGTACAGTTCGCCGAAAAACACTCTGGACTCACCGGTAATAGCGGTGGAACACTCCGGCTACGTTGCCATACAGACGGTCTTGCAACAACTGCAGCTTGAACAAATCCATGTAATTCAAATCAGAATTGGCTCTCACTATTTTAGTGTAGTTGGTGGGCTCTTTCTCGAAGGTGTACTGTGGCAACTGGCTGGCTCGCCGCAGTTGTCCTGTAGGCACATCAAAGCTGTACCAGTTTCTGGTACCGTCATTGTTGTCCGCATCATCAGCACCGAAAATCTGGCTGCCCACCGCCACCACGCACATGCATTCGTTAAAGGGTGATTCTTTCATGAGAGCCCGTGTACAGCCGGTGACGCAGTCGATTGCCACCAATTCATCCGAATACGCGTCGTACGGTGTGGTGCCGACAATCAGCTCCCGTCCCACGGCCACCGCGAATCCATCGGCTTTGATCTTCGGCCAATGCTCGGCCAACTTCTCCTGCACTGGCGTGTTCAGCTTGGTCAGTTCGTTGCGGATGAAATCGAAGCGGAGGAGCTGATGCGGGTGTCCGTCGCGCATATGGTAGAAGATGGCCTCCTTCGGTGCGGCACGCTTCAGCAACGCTCCACCGCCCATCATGCCGCGCTGTCGATCGGCCAGGATCTGTGTTAGCGCTTCGTGTAGTTCTGCGGTTGCGGTTTCTATCAGAATTTTGATATCCAGGTCATCCCACACGATACATGCGTCCAGAAGATAACGCAGATGCTCCTTACGTTCGGCAGCGCCGTGCATACACCAGCGCAGTACGGCCTGCAAGGGTCAAAACGCAAAACATGTTATTCCAAGATGCGAAGGTACAGTTTAGCACTTCGTCACCACATTTTCGAAAGAATCTTGTTAGACAGTTACGGAATTCAAAATTACGTATTATTAGGTTACACATGTAATGTGTTTGCATATGTAATGGTTTATCGAAGCGTAACGGAAGCTTTAATGAAAAATTACCTAGTACTTTTAAAAAGAAGACTAATCTGATGCATCTCAAAGGAATAATTTGTGCTGGAAAATTTTGTCGTCCTAAACTTCAAATTGGATATGCCAAATGTTACAGAGCATAAATTTTGCTGCGATACTGCATTGTAGAGATACGGTAAGGCAGACTGACCTCATACACGGAAGCTTCACAATCTGGAACATAATCATCATGGGTCAGCAGGTCAGTCACTTCGTCCACGCTGCACTGCGAAAACCACTCCGAATCGCTAAACTGAACGTGCCGGGGAAATTTCTGCAGAATTTTCGGAAAGGTGAGTTTCTCCAGATCAAACAATCTATCCCGACGAGCCAGACGCCACAGACGGTACGCGTGCTCCGGACGCTGCATCAAACTGTCTAAAATCTTCGCGGCCCGCTTCTCGGCTCTGCCCATTTGCAGGTATCTGGCAGCCATCCACACTTTCACGGCGTCTTTCCGTTTGATGGACAATGTCGAGGTGCCGTCGCTGAGGCTCTCCACCAGTTGGACGACCGTTCCGAGGTGAACATTGTCAGGTTGCTTAAACTCGATGACAGATGTGGTGGCCTCCTGGAAATTTCCCCCTAACATGGCGGCAAAGTATGGTGACCCAGCGATCAGTGCGTCTTTGTCCACGGATAACATTTCATCGCCTATCTTCAGCTGAATTGTAACTGGAAGTTGTTGGGCCGCCCTGAATTTCGTATTCTCCTTAGACTTTGAAGACATAATAGGATTGCAGAACGAAGGAGAGATGCACAAAATCAGTTTTATCAGTGCAAGTTATTTTTAGTTCTTGTAAACCACTACTAACTGGATAACCAGAGTAATGCGTGCTAGATTATTTGGAACTGACTGACAAAGAACAACCACGACCAGGCACGTTATGGCCTGAGGCCTGTTCTTGCTTTCTCGGTATGATCGGCCAATCACTAACACATAATTGGAGCAACCTGGTTCAATCACGGTTTGTGATTTTGCCGACAATGAGTTTTATACGGTGGTGGTAAATATTCATGACATTCAAACTTTGTTTTGTAGTATTACTACTTCACCACTGTACAGATACGAATATTTCTTCTTTGTTGTTCGAATACAAATATTTTTCTTTACCTATGTTGTACGAATACAGTACTTTTGAGTTTGCTATCATCGGTGCATATGCACTTTAATTGCTCCTCTTGCTCAACGCGGACTTTACATTTCAAGTAGTCCTACTTCGAAAAAATGGAAATAGTCAAGAAAAAATCAGCCTAACATCAAATTAACGCATCACCTTGAAAATTCTTACGTAAAATACGTATTTTACAACATCAAACTGTCTGGGCAATCTTTTCCTTCTGAACGTCCACATGAAGAGATTTCAAATAGGCGACCCATTCGGTCTCCTCTTGCTCCGCGCGGACCACCCGGAATCGTCCGTGCACGAATCTCACTAATCGGCCGTTGGGCAGACGGAAGCGCAACCGTTCACCTTCCACACGCGGCAGTTTACGATCCCGTAGATCGGTGGGTACGAGAACCGCGAGGATGAGCGCTAACAGTACCGGTCCTAGTATCCAACGGAAATTCAGATCGTACCTAAATCGTCCAAATCAGGATTTAAATCTGGAGACTAGAAATAGCGGTCGTCTGCAAGATGATAGGCTAGTCATACGTCTGCGATATTGTGGATAAGTTGGCAAGGAATTATTTAGCAATGCATAAACCTGTTTCTGAATATCAACGTGAAATCAGTTTGTTGGACTTCAGTAAAAGAATAATTTGGAGAGCGGAGATAAAATAAAAATTCAATGTAGTCAATATCTCGTTTTTGTACCTCATCCGTGTCGCAACTCATGCAGAACAACAATACGGTAGGTTGAAATACCAATTATGCATACGAATGAAGAAACAAAACTGTCTACGTACCACATGATATCGTCATCAGGATACGTTATTCTCTGTTGGTTGTACACAGCAGAAAAAATCAATCCACCGCCCACCCCAGCAATCGCCCATGCTGTAAGGATCTACGGATAAAATAATGCGCTATCAGACTGCTATTAGATACATGGTTACAACTCTCACTAAGCGATATATGTATTGTACGTAGACCAAAACAAATGGACAGTGGTAGACAAGAGATCTTTATTTACGATATGCAATAACCCTGGAAATCTCACCATTCCATGCGTTGCTCCGACATTTTTCGCTCCAAACTGATCAGCCAAAAACGCCGGGATCATCCCGAAGCCGCCACCGTCTAAGCAAAGGCACAGTTACAGCATCAGTCAATTATTTTGCACTTGCTCATTTTCTTTCTGTTATCGCGATCATGAAAGGTGAAAATACTTAGGACAATAATACATTAACACTGCTTACAAAAGAACCCAATGATTAGTGTACAAGCCAGCACTCCACCCAGACTTTCGGCATTCAGAGCGCTCGGCAGGCATCCTAGACAGACGGCTTGGCATGTCAGCGACACAATGAAAAGAGCTTTGCGGCTTTTGATCAAGTCGGATATCAGCGGTAGTATTAGCCGGCCCAGCACGTTTGCCTGCAAAATTACAAATGGTGCTTCTAAAGACTTTTATAAAGGTCATGCAACTATGTACCAACCCCTCCAAGTCCGGAGTTGATATCAGCGGATTCCGCATTGGATCGCCTGAGCTGATTATGTGCAATGCTCTGCACTTTGGAGATGATCAATAAACCGGTGATCTCCGATCCGAGAAACATGAAATACTACAATTTCACCAGGTGACACCGTTGCTTGAAAACAGTCGTAAAACGGTCGGATGTGAATTTGACATAAACAGAAAGCGTAACTCATAGCGGTCATTAACGATTTATACGGTTTGCATACATTTACGTAATTTTGACTTCGGCTTCTGACTTCGGCCTAGATTTTGAAGATAAGTTGCGTGATGATGTTCCAGTCATTCAAACACGCGTACCAAAAATAACCAACTTGTAGATTATATAATCTACAAGTTGGTTATGTTTGGTACGCATTTGGCATATATGCCAAATATTAACTTAATTTGTCACCGTATCTTTACTCGTTTTGTACATAAAAATAATAAAAGAGTTTACGTAAGGTTCTGATCTACACATGCTACGTAAAATTTCCATTTATGAAAATATGGAAATCTGTCTTGTACTGACCATCATCCAATACTGCGGTGACGTTAGTGCTTCCTTCAGTGTCATGGAAAAATGTTTGGCGTAATCCGGGATGATCTCCACGACCGAGCTGCCGCGTGACCGTGCCCGTACTTTCGCGGTGAGTTCCCTCTCGATCGTCGCTAGCTCCATTTTGTTCTTCTCCGTTTCTTGACCAGGTTTCGGTAGGTCATCCACCAAAGCCTTCTTAGTTTTGAATAGGTTTTCCGCGCCTTTAACTGTGTACACTGTCACGCCTTTTACAGTGTACCCTGGCCTAAAAATTCCAAATGGTCAACACAGGAACAGTCTTTCATTTCCCTACCAGATTTGATGGTACTCTTACGGTGGCATGCGAAGAACTAGAGCGCTGGTTGTCATGATGACAAAGTAGCAGGAACCCAGGATAACGAATGTCAGTTCCAAACCCAAGAAAACCTTCCCGGTGTTGGCGTATTCCGGTCCGATTAGCTCCCGCTGTGTATAGGGTGAAAAAACGCTGCCAGCTCCAAAGCCGCAGACTGCTAAACCAGCCGCAACGCCCCGCATTTCGGGGAACCATTTTTGCAGAGGCGACACAGGCGAAATGTAGCTGATGCCGAGTCCCGCAGCGGCAATCACACCATAACCTGTAATTTGGTAATAATAACCGTGAACCGGTTAAGTGCACCGCGGAATATAACGTAATGTACCGATATAAATAAGCCACATCTGGTTAACGTAGATGGCCAGAGCGGTGGTCAGGTTGCCCAGATAAAACAGGCACGAGCCCAGGAGTGCCCCCTTCAACGGACCGTTGCGTTCCAGCCAGGGTCCCAGGAATGCCGCGTTCAGCGCAAACACCGCCACAGCCAGGTAAAAGACGTTGACCGCTAAACACAGCCGGTTTCGGTGTCAATTCAATGGTGGTTATACATGTGCAAAACATAAACAGTTGCAGTAAGAACTGATGAATTTTTAGCCATTTTCAGTTTGTAAGTTACCAATGGCGCGATCCTTCGCGTCGTTGAATCCGTACATTCTGGCTTCTATGGGCAGATTGTAACCGCTCCATGCGTATAAGGAACCACAGCATACCTACACAAAACAGGCGATACCCAAGGAACGGCTACGTAACCACGCAGTTGGCAGACTGCATGCGATCGTACCAGCCATGACGCAAATGTACAGATAGAACGTTATTAGCAACCGTGTATCCGTTGCATACGCTTAATACGCCGACAAATGAATGCACGACACCTTTCGTCAAAAACCGTACGTAAACGTAGTACAACTAACCGTTCTCACAATGCTACGTTAAAACAAGCGTTACGCAAGCGAAATTTAGAAACCGTAAACTGCCGTAAAATTACGGTACCTGACTGAGAATAGCAGCCGGCATCAGCATGTAGCGACTGAACGGGATCAACTTTGGAATGAGCCATCGTTCCCGTTCCAGCTGTTCCTCGGTGCGGGCATACGTCGTCTCGGTGTAATGATAACGTACGGCACTGGTAATTTTCCTCCACACCACACTCATTTTCCACGCTTATTCCGCGCACACTGTAAACAACCTGCTGTTGCTTATGCTGATCCTGCTCGCACTCCTGACCAACGCCAAGTGAGCACTTTTTTACAGCGCGCCACTCTCTCCAAAGGCAGGCGCGATTTTTTTTACTATGTCAGCACGCCTGAGTGCGCATGATGACACCGGTAATTAAACTGTCGTTCCGTACTGTACATGTGTGTATAGGCAGGTGATTTTTTTATGACTGATAGTCGTTAGTCATACTTGACTTGCCGGCAGTTAGGTAAATATGTACTTGCATGCATAAGGGGAAATTCTTAGGGATCAGATTGGGTGTATTGTCAGCACCAAATATTTAATGTTGTACTTAAAGTTTTTCAACAAGCTGATGGTGTCGAATAATTTGCTGTAACGCCAAGGCAATTTATGGTTACTGCAAAGCGTTGTGGAGCTATAAAACTTTGACAGCTCTGAATACATAACATACACACAGTCACCTTGTTTATGAAGAAACTGATTTCCAGTACAGTACTTATTATGAGAATTGAGACGGTTGCTATTGTGCTCACAGCCTCTCGTATACTTATGCGAAGACAACGCAGGTTGAAAATTGTTACTTATGTTTTTGTCATTTTCATCATGGTATTGTTTTGTATCCGTGACAGCAGATCAAGTCCCACCATTCTTTTTTATTCGCGATGCAAGATCGTGCTGCATCTGATCCGTTCAAATAGTCTTACGGTGGTAAAATGTGAATATGCAAGCAAGTACAGCTTAGGACTAAAAAGACGCATAATCCCACACCCAGATATCTGTACGCATGTGGCAAGTGCACTTGTACGACTACCAGATATTTTGGCTGAGTCGTACAGCGCACTGCGCCTCATGCGTTCGGAATGCTGTGGGTGGAATTATGCGTCTTTTTGTCCTAAGTATGTATGTACCTAAAGTATTTTAAAGACTTAGTATGTATTTTAAAATTTTTCTTTTTATTTATGTTCACTCAGCGACATAACAGTCAATCAATCCACTACGGCCACTACTGCACAATCAAGAATTCAAAAAACAACCAAAATCACTGTTGTCAACAACTTTATTCTTTCCCGGCAAAGTTCCTAAAATCGCGGCCGCATTGCCTTTAATAATTGCAAGGCTAATGCGCTGCTTTAGAAAAGCCGTGGATCTGCCTTCTCCGGTTCTCTCCTTGATTTTCCGACCAAAAAAGCTGACCATTTCTCTGGCTCCTTCGCCGAGCACTCCGAGTGTTTCTACAGCAAAAGGATAAAACCAGTACTGATCGCCCAGATCCCGATAATTGTATCGTTTTCGGCATTCTGCTTGGTGTGCCGCTGCGCCCGCTGCCTTTGCAGACCGTTTAAGGTACGACTGTGCTAACGTGTCCGCAAAGGTGGCGTCCCATACCAACTGCTTTCCCTCTCGAACCGGCACCAAGGTCAATCCATCTGGACGCTTTCCATTGTCCCTGGATAACCCTACGGGTTCCAACTCGCAGGGAAAGCCCGCTGCTACGCATCCTCGTTCCAGTATACTGTTCAATGTATTTTAAAATTATGTAAGTATGTATTTTAAATGTAAGTATGTAAGGTTACTCTATTCCTTCCAAATGAAACGGTTTACTGTGAGAATAAAGCAGTCCCATTACTGCATTAATGATAACCGGTGCATTGTAGCAAGCATTTTACTTTGGGACAAATGCAGGAGAAAGGGTACTTCTAGTTGTCTTGTTGTACCCACCTAAGTACCCACGTAAATGCCTTTGCGGTGACGCACGCACCGAGTAAATGTAGTAACGAATAACGATAGAACTTTGATTGTAACGCCAGGAGCCCTGTTGGTTGCATTTATCTACCGATTTAATATTGGTTGTTCTGTTAACAAAGACCTGAACCCCTAATTTTAATATTTTTGACCGCATCCCCCGATCAGGAGTATCTTTGAAATTAGTCTTGCTGCAGCTCGTCTTTATTGGTCAAATCAAAATGCAATACTCGTACACAATTATTAGAAAAGACACACAAACTACTACAGAAAAATTTCATTTAGTTTGTCCAGCCCTTCCATCGCTTCCAGCACTGTAGCTTGTTCTGAATCTTATTAACACTGAATCTTATTAACAGATTTTTGTCCCGTACTTATGCGCGTCACGCTGCTGGTCAGCTTTCTTTGCTTGCCTAGCTAATGAACTCCCGCAACAACCTTGAGTTGCTTTGTTAGTTGTTACGTAACCGAAATAAGGTAAGCGTGCATCCCGGGTGCCTAGAGGCAACAGTCATCGAAAAACGGGGTGCCGGCATTAAACAACTGACTGGGCTTGCCTACATCAAACAGGAGTGATGCCTATAGTATCCGCATTATTCTTAAATGCATGTTTACCTGCACAGTCTTATCACAACGCAAACGGAAGGTTACAGATTATAGCCGAATATGCTAGCAGCACTATTTACTTTATCATTAATAAACAACGTTAAAGTCGCCCAAACTCACACAAATCAGCAGATGTTACAAAGAATACATCCGCGCAAACAAAGGACAGTTAAAAAATTAAAAGCAGTAGCCCAAAGCATTCAAGAACAACAACCGAATAAATAAAAAGGATTAGAAAGAAACAAACGCTAATAATTAAAAAGGATTAAAAAGAAACAAACGCTACTGGTACGGCATTCGGAGCAGCGTTAAAGCAGAAATGTTTCTATTACACAAATTAGCAAGACAAAGAGAGAACAGACACAAAAAACCGGAATAAACCATTACCAGCGCATCATCAATCATCCAAACCAGTGGGCCAATCGGCAGCCGACTTATCTTTCAAAAGACCATGTTTCTTGCGATATTTTTCCGTCATGCGATATGGCTCACCTATGTCATCCTCTGCGTGTATAATATAACGACCACTGCACACTGGCGGATGGCGATGCTGCAGCGGCAGACAGACCGTCTTCTGCGCGTAATTGCCTCCCGCCGCTTCCGCCTGCAGTTCCTTGGACAGGGGCACATCCATCACGGTCCACTGATCAGTCTCGGCATCGTACGCTTCAAACGACGTCAACGCCCGCTTCCGCTGATTATCCCCGTCGACATGGGTCGTCCCGCCGTACACCCAGATCTGCCCGTCCTTGATGAAGACGCCGTGATGATAGCGCGCCACGTTCAGATCCGCAATACGCTCCGGTTGAGCATCGGCCAGGGTCAACGAGACGCGGTAGCAGACGGTTGTCACGATGCCATCGCTTTCCCAGTATGATAACGGCGGGGGATACATACAGCCTCCAGTGAAGTACAGATAGCCGTGGCAGACAATGACGCCGCAGCGATGGTGGACCTTCGTTTCGTCCTTCCAACCGGTGTGCTTCGTCCAGGTGTTGCTCGGGATGTCGTAGAACTCCACTATGCTCTCCGGGTGAATTTTGTATTCCTCAATAAAAGAACCAGCCGACAGAAAGCAGATTCTATTGTTCGGAAGGACACAGGCCTCCATTAGTGAACTGTAAAAATATCCAGAAAATGAAATATAAAAAATGTAATAAAATACTGTATAAAAATATGATATCTGGTTATAAAAAAAAACAAAAATAAACATAAACAGAATATTAAATATACCTAGAACATTTAAATATAAAAATTCAATAAGCATTGAGCATTCAATAAGCACTGATACGTTTTACGCAAACTGATACCGACGCAGACACTTCCAGTCTACGTCTACGCAACCTTAGCTCAACATAGCGCAATGCAAAAATCATCAATGACAGCACCGTAAGCGCAATAAATAACCACGGTATGCATTCTTTGTCTAATGGGACGGGTGCAGAAACTTACCGGTGATATCGCAAATATATACCGGCCACGCCACGGTAGCGCTCTTCTTCCAACTCCTCGAATCGGATACCATCCATTCGCATCTTGTCAATCGTCTCGCTGCTAACCCACTGACCACTATCAGGATCCGATCGGTCGTGCAGGAAACGGACCCATCGTTCCGGTATTCGCTCGTGCTCGTAGCGTGAGACTGGCCCGATCCGGCGCACTTGTCCCGTAGCCATATCGTAACAGTACCAGTTTTCGCCAAAACCACCCACTTCCTTTTCCAAAGCACAGTAGAGCTTACCGCCTACGGCCACCGCCGACAGAAAATGCTCCCACTCGCTGAAAGGCGATCTCTCCATGAGTGTGCGTGTAGTGCCCGTGATGCAGTCCATCGCCAGCACTGTATCATAGGTATCGACGATCAGCTCCCGCCCGACGGCCATCGCATAACCACCACGCCCGCCGTTCAGTGTACGCCAGCATCCGGCCAACGTGGCCTGCAGCGGTGAATCTAACTTGGTCAGTTCGTTGCGGATAAAGTCAAAACGGAGGAGCTGGTGCGGATGGTCTTCGCTCATGTGGTAGAAGATGGCCTCCTTCGGCATGGCTCGCTGCAGTGACGCTCCACCGCCCAACAGACCGCGGTGTCGATCGACACGAATCCGGGTTAACGCGGCGTGCAATGGCCCTGTGGTGGAGGCCACCAGTGGCTCAATGTCCAGATGATCCCACACGATGCTCTTATCCAGCATCTGATGCATGCGCTGGCCGGCGTCGTGCATGTACCAGCGTACCACCGCCTGCACACACGAGAGTAGGAATTAGGTACGAGGACACACTAAGTATACGTGATAGACAAAAAATTAAGCGAGAATAAGTGATAACCATGCCCGGCTCATGCAACGCGGGCAACCACCCAGGTTTGCAGTTGCTTGTAAGCACATAAAAAATGACTGACTGAAAATTATGCAAACTTTCAACGCTGATTTCTCGTGCACTCTGGAACGTGACTATTCAACCAATATAACAGAAGACGCAGAAAAAAATAACACGATTTTTTGATACCAAAGAGGTGAGAAGATACGCTGATTCAAACAGATTACAGCTATTTTCATTTTCTCGTAGACTGAGCATAGAATCCACGGTCAAGGGTTCCCCACAGAATCCTATGCTATGTCTACGAGAAACTCAAAACGCTATCTCTTGTCTTAATCGCTATAAACTGCAACTTGTTGGGTATCAAAAATCTTGTAGATTTTTTCTGCATCTTTTGCTACATTGGTCAAATTGCTTCGTTCCATAGCACACAAGGAATGAGAGCTGGAAGTCAGCATACGCGTCTATGAAGACGAGCTGTTTACTACGCAGTACTTGGACCGCCAACCCTTGGTGGCTGGGTGTGCTGCACAACACGTGATTGGTTATCATTTATTCTCGCTGGTTTTTTGGTCTATCACGTATACTTAGTGTGTCCTCGTACAGTATTATGATGCGCATGGCTACGTGGTTTTAACCGCTTAGAAATCATAACACTTTATAATATTAGCTGCCGGTTGCAGATTTTGATAAATTATTTAATTAACACCTTTTTGTTTTAAACGTCAGTTCTTGAAATAATTTATAAATTGCGAGTGTTTATTGCTTTTAAGAACTTGCTTGAACTGATGCATAATTATTACCATAATTAATTCAGCCAGTAGACAGTAGAAACTATTACGATATTAACTGTTAGAAATCCAATAATCATAAATTAGTAATAGTAATACACAATTTACATCAATAGGCAAAACCTGGAAGTTCTGGAAAGCAATTTCAAAAATTACCGATCGAAAACTAGCCGCTAGCGCCATCTTATTATTTTAAAAATAAATTAAATATTAGGCAATATTCTGCCGTATGGATGTCTCGAATAATTGTAGTTAAATAATAAAATTTCAAGAAAATGCACCAACCTGATAAAGTGTGGCTTCGGAATGCGGAACGAATTCCTGATCCAACAGGTGGGAGACCTCTTCCTTGCTGCACTGCAGAAACATCTCGGAATCAACAAACTGAGGACGGCGTGGATGCGGCTGCAGGAGCTCCGCACAGGCCAGCCTTTCCAAATCCACCAGTCCATCCCGACGGGCCAGACGCCACATGCGGAGAACGTTCTCCGGTCGCTCCATGATCTCACGCAAGATCTTCTCGGCCATTTTAACGGCGTGGTCCATCTGCAGGTATTTCGCGGCCATCCACACTTTAACGGCGTCTTTGCATTCGAAGGCGAACTTCGAGTCCCCGCAGCTCAGGCATTTTATCAATCTGATCAGTGTTTCCAGATGGACGTTCTCGGGTTGCTGGCTTGCTGCATCTCGATCACGGTGGAGTCGCTTTCCTGGAAATTCCTGGCCAACATGGCGGCAAAGTACGGTGATCCGCGGATGAGAGCATCTTTGTTCACGGACAATGTTGTGCCACCGATTCGCAGCGGGGTTTTCACTGGGTTCTTCTGCTGCTGTTGCGCTGACTGTGATTTCTTCGAATTCGTACGCTTCTTATCCATACTGACGCGATATTATAAGGAACCGAAGGAAGTGATGCACAATCAACGCTGTGCAATGCAAATTGCGGTAAATTAATATTCAGCAGGAATTATTTCAAGATCAAGCGATGAAAAATAATCTGGAGATTCGCAGCTAAGAACCGCAGACGAAGGACTGCATGCATGCCGCATGGATGACTACGGGTAGGTAGGGACTGAATCAAACCAGCTGTGCAGCTCTCTGGTCTGTTGCTGGTCGGGTGAATCATGACTGTACGAGCAGACCTAAACATCACGGCTGATCTAATCCTCCTGGAGGGATTGGATGGGTGCTATTCACGCACTTCGGTTCATTTTATGGACTTAAGCGTCGTGCTCAGTGGCAGCGTTTACACATCCAATCTGCCACAAAACCCATTGGAAGTTGTTGTTTTTCAGTGCCTAAGCGCAAGTCCAAGCACGAAAATAATTAATATTATTTGAAATTAAAAATTTTAATTTCTGTCAAAAGGAGGGCTTAAAAAGTTTCTGTCAAAAGGAGGGCTTAAAAAGCAAAGCGCAAAACGTATCGACCCTGATAACAGATACCCGATTTTCTGTTATTATGGTTCTAATCTGACTAGCGTGTGGAACATTATGTGAATTGTAAAAGGTACCAGACATCGACATATGCCTCGTATATGAAGAAGAATAGAAGAAGAATTTCTCTCGTTCGTGCTAAGTTTTATTTTGGCCAAATCAGAAATGAATCTTTTTTCAGATAACTTTCCGTATGTTACACTTTCAGACAATGGAAGCATTATAAAACTGTTTTTTGTTTAAAATGAAAAGTCAGGGACCGTTTTCGTCCTACCAAAACATGCTTACAAAGAATTCTAAAATATCTATATTATCACTTCCACTCAAGGAAAACCTTCCGACAACACTAACGTGAGCACTCGGGTTAATACTATGGTCAAAACTAACGTCAGCATTTGGGTTTTTACTTTGGTAAGAACTAACGTTAGCACTCGGGTTAGGGCTCTGGTCAAATTAAGTGCAAGACGAAACGGGCATACCATTGTTAGGCTGAAGTCTTAGTTAGATAGTTAATTCGATGGAACAACGATTCAAAAAAGTTTAATTTTTCTGATTGATCATTCACCACCTTTTGGCTGTTCGCAGCCCCTTTTTAAAAATATTTTTGCCACCACGTTTGGCTATTGTCACCACCTTTTTACACCTCCTTTCGACTATTTCCACCTCCTTACATCTTTTAATAATATTATTATGTTTATAAATACTTTAAGTCGCTACGGAGATCTTTCTTTTATAAAACGATTGTAAAATCATATTTCTATAACGTTATGCGTTAAAACGCACGACCTTTAGAAGCCGGGAAAAGTAAACCCGATATTACTTGCCGGTATAAACAAGTACTAGCAGGTGCAAAACCATGAGATACAAGTCAGTTAAATATGACTGCATCCGCCAAAAAGTGCATGACGCTAAAAAAACTGGGAAATGACCATTCCTGCCGGCGAGCCGAATGCAATGCCACTCTAACCGTAGCGGCCGGCACGGCTGAAAGAACACCGCCTCATCATTACTAAGCAAAATACGTATGCGGCATAACTATCCTCTTACCAAGGATGGTTGGCAAAACGTGCTGGAAAATCGACGGTTGGATCCGAAAGAAGTTGTAGAAGTCCGTGAACTGATAGAATCGCGAGTGAATTTAAAAAAGTGCGAGTGCGAGTGAATAAAAAGCTACTGAACTTTCAAGAAGGCCAGTCGATCGACATTTTGCTTTCTCGGGTACAGCAGCAAAAAAATGGATACGACTGTGGCGTTTTCGCCATTGTTTTTGCAGTTGAAATCATTTTCCAGCGTCTACCGGAAGAAGCCAGACTCAGCAATAAGAAGATGCGAGAACGTTTGGCAAACAGCTGCAGCACGGATAAGATGCGCCTAGATACTTTTCCGGCCGGCGGCGGCCTCAACCGTAAAGAAAATGCGCCCCTAACGGCAAAGCTTTGAGCTTTTGTCACGAAGTCTTTTATAAAACTTACTGTGTAAAAAATGCAATAAAGAGGTGAGAATAGCCAAAAGAGGTGTGAAGAGGCGGTGGCAATAGTCAAAAGGTGGTGTTAGAATTAATTCTTAAAAGGTGGTATAAATAGCCAAAAAATGGTTAAAAATTCGTGAGAATAGCCAAAAGTTGGTGCGAGGTGGTGGGAATAGCCACACCCTTTTAAAAAATGGGTGGTTTTAAAGGATAGCGTAGAAACAGAAATTCGGACTTCCTCATTTTTATATTTCTGCTACGGATACTCAACTATGTACTGTATATTTCTGTACCTCAGGTTACTATTATTTGTTTATTTCGTTACTATAAAGAAATGCGGCATTCTACTGACCGTGGCGGGTCAAGAAACGAAAGATCTAATACTCCGGACACTTAACTTTCGTGAAGGTTTTCAATTCGATGGGATATACAGTCTGTATTTTGATAGCAATCACAAACCACCTCTTCGAAGCCTGGCAAAATTCAAACATGGTTCCGAATTTAGTTTATAGCTGTATACTATATAGTACACTAAACTTATTATACAGTACACACTAAACACTTAATATTTTAGTAAACGTTCTAAGCAACTGGAACTGCTATTATATTCAAAGTTACATAAAAGTTTTACAGGAGCCAGTTTTGCCGGAACCGGCATCGGAGGGACGGGTTAGAATAATTTTAATAGAAATAAAATACATGTGACACAGTTTCTGATCATGCTGAATCTAATGGCGTTTACAGGTTTTTCCAGTATGTTATGGTTTTTTAAAATCTCGATGTCCCAGATTTCTTTTGTAATTAAATTACAGACCATGTTCCTTGATGACCGATCTACGCAACTCCACGACCAGTTCAAACTTAGATTGCTTCCAGTCTTCCTAAATTTTTTGTTTCTCCCTCTGGCACTAAGCGCTAGCAGTTCATTTCTGTTAAGGTCCCGCTCCCAATAAAACTAAGATAAGCACTAAGGTTAAAACTTGAGTGAAAACTAAGAGCAACAATACAGTATCTACTCCGGTCAGTCTTAAGATATGCACTCGGGTTAACGCTCATGGTCAGTAACACGCAATTCTTCTTTAAAAATTTCAACTGCTCTGTAAAGGGTAAATCTTGCTTAATTGAAGATAGAAAAACGAATTTGGGGAAATTAATATTCTGGGTGTTTCACTTGAACGACCATCGCTCATTCACTAATCATGGTGTTTCGTAGTGTTGCTTTACTTAGTAAAAGTAAATAGTAAACCTACTTAGTAAGCTTTTTTTGTGTTTTAATAATTAAGTAAAAAGTAAGTAGACTGCAAACAGAAAAGTAAATAGTAAGTAAAAAGTAAGAGCAGCCGAGTCGTGAAAAGTAAATAGTAAGTAATAGTAAGAGATACAGTATGGAGAAAGTTTATTTAGTAAATAATTTTGTTTACTATTTGTCAGCAACAATATAACAGTACCAAAACTCTGTCAAACTCAATTTTTTGTAAGATTTAACGTTTGGCAATACAGGTTTCTTTCTGCAGCGCTAAATTTTCGCTGCACTGCAGACGCTAATGAGCACTTGATGCGCGAGTTACGTGACAGTTAGATGGACTGTAATACTGTGTCTATATAACACTCGTATAGTAAATGCATTCGCTTATTTATGAAATTTTGCTAATTTTATTCGCTATCGTGCTACCATGCATATTTTACATGTATGAGTCGGTTTGTCAAGCACAGTAACTTTTAGCAAAAAACAAAATCGCTTCGACGGAAAAATGCACAGTCAAAGTACCAAATTTTCTGCGAACTGTTAAAATCGCAGTTCAAGTAATGATTTTTATATTTACCGCTCTGTAAAAACAAAGATTGCAATATATTAAATTTGTTGCGTACGCGGTTCATGCAAAATCTAACAGGAATAGTAAATACTATTTTACTAGTAATTACTAAGTAAGTAAAAAGTAAGTAAGACTGCGACGGAAAAGTAAAAAGTAAGTAATAGTAATACCGGAAGATTACAAAAAGTAAATAGTAAGTAAATAGTAAAACCGACGGCAGGAAGAAAAGTAAAAAGTAAGTAAGTCGCTGGACCAATAGTAAATACAACACTGGTGTTTCGCTTGAACGACCATTCGAGTAGTTAGTGTAGGCTGTATAGGGCGCTTGTTTACGTTGTCGGGATACCAAGCTGCTACCTGTCTTGGGGTGGCTGGCATAAGTACACAGATACACAAGACAGTCACGGCTATCCAGTATTCTTCCCATTGTTGTTATTTACTCTTGCTGAATTTCGGCAGTTATGGTGTTCTGACGTGTTTATTACTATCCTTAGAATTAACGCCTCCATGATTTAACTTTTGAAAATTCACGGAACATTGCTCTGTTTTCTCATTTCTAGCAACGTAATTTCGGCATTAGCTGCAAAAATGTCAGCGTTGCCCTTTCCAGTAGGACAGATCGTTTGGGCAAAGATCAAAGGTATGGCTGCGGATAAGCTTGCATCGGAAGGGTCCCCATGGTTTTCAGCTGTCAGTATACTATTAGCAAACTATAAAAATTAACGCAGGTTATAACCGCTGGCCGGCGTGCGTTGAAACGCCACCGGAGAATGCCAGAAACCGAGGCGTTTACGTGCAATTTTTTGGAACCGATAAACCGGGGCAATTCGGTTGGGTTCCTAAAGGCGGTAAGCTGCAAAGCAGTCAAATAATGTAGCACCATAGTTTTCAACGCTAAATAATGAAAAATGTGATGCATTGCTTGATAGGACTAGAGCCATTCACAGTGGGCGATCAGTCCATGAGAGAGCTGTCCAACACGCAGCTGCAGGCATGCGTGAAACTGGCTGCGTTAAAAAACAACGGGAATACTGTCGCTCCTCCAGTCGTGCCTCCGATTCCACAATGCGGTACATTTTTTAACTTGACAATTTTTTTGAACTAATCCGCAATACTTTGTACATGACTTTGTGGGTTGTTATGCACTTTTTTGTATAGATAACTAATGTACCACTCTTTTATGTAGAGGTTGACACTGTGCAAGTACAAGGGGAAACTCAAGCCCAATCAATTCTCGCGTCCGAGCTCAACCAGACTCCAGGTAAACTAAAATAAAACGTTATCTATAAAAATAAAAATATATACAATCGATGCAGGTAGAAAGCATACCACTTCGATTTGTACTCGGGTTAACTGTACACTCCATTACTTTCAGCTGCACTAAGGTCTGCATTAAGGTCACCACCTGTGTATACACTACGTTTATCACTTTCCATAACACTTTTCTACAGCAGGTTAAATTTTTGCGGCAGATTGCAGGTGTTATACTACGTATATTTCAGTTGTCAGTACAACAGAAATCTTACAACAATCGTAGAAAAAGTAAGCACGAAAGTCAGCTTTGTTGTAGCATTTTTGGTTTAATTCTTGAAAGCATTGACGCAAACAGCTGTGAGAAACATTTTGTATTTCGAAAAATTTGTTGTAAATCGATGTTGTAGTAGAAGAAAAAGGCTTTTCTTCTTTTTTATAGCAATCGTGGCAAACTGGTCAATGGGCAGTTTTGTGAGAATCGCCGAATTACAACTAATTATCTGTATGCAGTTTCAATCCATGCAATTATGGATACGAGTTCAGACGTACTTGCTTTTAATTATTGCTGATGACTCCACATCATAATTATGTAACATCTGAATTAGCGATACCAAACCTGAAACCGCACTGCACAACCAAACCACACTGTATGTAGGTTGATTTTTCGAAATGGTAAAGCCGATTAACAAAATGGCCAAAAGCGTGCGCCCGTCAGCGTCCACGTCCAAAAAACCGCGTCGTAATGCGGACCAGGAAATCTGTATGCATTTTACGCAAGCCGTTCACGAGCACCAAATATGTGGAAGCGAGCTTTGAAAGAATTTTGCGAGCGCGATAAAGGTGCCGGAAAACACAGGGCCTGGAAACATTACTACAACATCTTGGAAACTGTAGTTCCCATTTTAAGACTACGATTTGTTGTACAACTTTGTCTTACAACTAAAGCATTGGCTTAGCATAAGCCGAATCCTAAAACATCAGCTAGCTGTAAGCGCTGAGATCAGCAGTAGCGTGGCATGCAGTGCACATAAGCAGCAAGTTTTAATCGAAATCCCTGTGCGAACAAAAGAAGATCGTGTCTTTCCCCAGCCATTGGCCAGCTGAGCTCATATTGGTCAGTTCGTGCACGCCAACTATGCTTACGTGACGTAGTGGTCATTAGTGGGTGACGCTGGTGATTTTGCCAGATTGACGATGACATCAGTGTTATGGAGAGTAAATGTGTGCAGAGTCTGTACTTCGTAGAATGAACTTGTACTCAGGCAAAAGATGTAAGCGTACAGTGCGGGCCAATCAAAAGACAGTAATCAACAAACTTGAAATCTGACATAGTTCGAGCATAATTGAGTTCGAGCATAACTGCCAGTATATTAGCTTGTTGTTGTACGTTCCATACTGTAATCTACGTTCGCGCAAAGGACAGAAACAAAAATGAAGAACGGACATCGTTACATCAGCAAACTGTTTGGAATATAATATTACTCGCATGATATTACGGAGCTACCTGTTAGTATAAAACTAACCTAAGCACCGCTAACAATTTCTCATTGAAAAAAACAGCTGAAAGAATGGCAGTTCCAAAAAAAATTGTTGTGAAAAGATTTAAAGTTTAAAAGGTAGTGCAACGCACATAAAGATAGTGCCGAATGTTTGTGTACGGAGTAAAAGGTCGTGCACAAAAACTTCGAGTGAAAGGTACCGGTTATGCACGGAAAGAAAGTATTGCAAAGGGTTGTGTACGGAGTAAAAGGTAGTGAAAGGTTGTGTACCGAGTGGTCACCTATAGCGGTTCCTATACATAATTTTTCTATGCTACAAAAAATGATCTCACAATTAAGATAACAAAATTCGATCTCGTTTTTTGGTGTGTCTCTAGCTTTCATGAATGTCAATGCAACTGATTCCTTATCTGGAAATTCTATTGCCACAATATCGCCGGCCGCTGAAGTAAGCACTCCGGATCTGTCGCACAATTATTCATTCCGCGGCGACGAAGTTCCGGCAATTTCTGAACAGGTGAAACAAATAGAAACAAAGCCGTATCCGTATCCACAAAACTAAAATTGTTTTACTTAAACGATTTTATTATCTTGATATTTAAGATGGAATTTATAGGGTATCTGTAAATCACCTGCGGTATCTGCTCCGGTTTTACATTAGACCGAGTTTGTGCTGGTTTTATTATTTAGCACCAGTGAAGCTAATTTATCAGCCTTGCATTACAAAAACTGAGCGTCTTATTATAACCAAAGTGTATTTTGTTACATAATTGCTTGAGTTCATACATGATTAATTTTGTTTCAGGATGTAATTTCCGAAGTGTCAGGCAGCACAACCGGACGAAACAAGGGGATCATTCCCCTAGAAGAAGTGGACAGCTGGTAGATAAATTTGCGAACATTGCAACAAGAGACTGCTTATACTTATTTTACTAGTATTGTAGCTACAACTTACTAATTTTTTCAGGATTAGCGATAATTTTTTGCCTAGCAAGACAGCACAACTGAAAAGTGACCTGATTTGGCATTTCTTTGAAAGGTACAACGGCACCAAAGCCTCGTTGCATTAATAAAAGATCTATATAATATTGCAGATTTTGCGCAAGCAAAAATTATGTCCCAATGCCGAACTTTCGAAAAAGCCTTGGCCGGCGATTGTCGAATCGGTTCAACGTAAGCGGGGGTTTCAACTGCGGAAACAAAAGTGCTAAGGGACAAAAAAGGTCCGGCATTAAGTTGTCCGAAGAAGGAACTGTTGCGTTTGAAAGTTTGACAGGGCATAATGTGACGAAAATTATAGTACGCTATTAACGTGCCGTTTTATTGTTAGCTTTAAGTGTACTTGTATCATGTGCTGTAAATCACATACAAGCTTGTCACATAAATTCCTGCGCATGAATGCAACAAAAAACACAAAAATTATTTGGTAACGACAGCTTTGCAACTGTAATGATTACATTATCGCAGTAATTACAGATGTACAAGATATACTTGTACCGAACGCAAAGTAGTACTAGTATCGTACTAAAATAATCAGATTCTAGAGATAGATCTTTATTACCATAAAAAAATTGAAAAGGGATAGCTAACCCAGCTTTACCGAACAGAATTAGCAAAAACCATTTCCACTATCTGAAAGCCCATATTCCAAAACTTCCAAAACTATACCAAAACAAATTGAAATGCCCTTTCATACTACATTTACATAAACTGCAACCACAGTACAACAGTACAACACCTAACAACAGTACAACTAACAGTACAACACCTAACATGTAAATTAAAATGACGTTTCATACTATAATTACATACGCTAGTATTGTTTTTTATTGTCCAAGCTACTACTACTGTCAAATGCACAGGTCCCGTTGGGTGAACGAGTGACTGAGCCGAGTTACCAATACTGTCCAATGCACAGAGCTAGTAAGTTATCGCGGTAAGTGAGCAGGTGACCGAGCTACCATCAAGAAATCCCAATGCTTGAAACAGAAAGATTCAAAACAGAAGTCTCAGTGTTTTTGCGCATTTGTGATGTAGCGATTCAGGTTCGAATTTAGATATTCATTCGAAATCAAATAAAGTGGCCAATGGCCATGGACCACAAGAAACGCGGCGGCGAGTTTCTTGTACTAAATAACAGTACATACAATGGCATTATGCCTAGAAAAATAGCCTAAATAACGCTTTGATAAACTGAATCATTTGCTGTATGACACAAGCCAGCTATTTGTATTTATCATAACACCATGTTCAATGTCGCACCTTGCCGGTACTTGCCTCTAAAAGCGCTTTTGTGCCAGAATGCGTTGGTTCAGAAAATCTCAATTCGGGTACAGTGTATTTAGGCTAGGATATAATTATTATGACTGTAACGTATCGTATCAACATTATATATATTCGGGGTTGTATATACTCGTACTGTGCATACTTTTACTACTGTATATGGATATACTCGTTACATTATACTCGTATTAGTATTATAATCGGCGTCCAGCAGAAAAACAGTTTCCAGGTGGTTGCTGGTCATAAAAAAATTAAACCAATTTGCAAAACAGGGCACCGGCGCTTCTGAGTACCGAAGTGATTTCCAGCTGTACAGCAGCCGGGCAGCATCCGTGTTCAGCGTGTTAAAGCCGACCGGCGTTGGGTGTGGTCACACTGGATAATTTTGGTTATCAAATACTGATAAACTTTAATGCAGATACCCTTGTTTACGGACTAATAGCCTTGCTCAATGGTTCAGAAGTACACGTTACCAGTACAAGCTAAATCTAAATAAAATCTGAGCAGCAAAGTTAGTATATTGAACGCAAGTCTACATCATAGTCTCAACCCGAGTGATAAAGCTATCACAATGCAGAGGTTAAATTATAGTCCAAACCAGAGTAACAGAGTTAGTACAACTACAAACGTAATCCAACGTTATTCGCTTTGGGAACATTAAACTTGTTTAGTCTTCTTCTTGGACTTCTTAAATCTGCGCGGCTGACGTTTTAGTCTTGAATTTCTTGCTTTTGCTTCTCGAATTCCGGCTGTAGAAATCTGACTTAACAAATCAGCTTTCGTCCGGTGTTTCTGAATTAACGCAGCACACTTCGACACCAGCTCCAAGTTTTCTGGACTCTTGTTGTCCGTGGCGTCATTTAAAAAATCGCGAAGTGTCTGCAACTGCATTGTATATTTCGACCCAGACGATTGTGGCACAGTTGAAGCGCTCTGTAGCGTGGACATTAGAAAGTCTGACCCCGCCTGGGCGACATTTTCGAAACCGAAGAAGTCAGCCTGCAGATCAAAAAATTAATTTAGTAATGGTCATAATTAGAAGTACATGTCGCTCATACTGTTTGTTGGGAATCTTTAAGAAGAGAAGACGACTGCAGTTGTGCTTTTTTGGATAGACAGAGCAAATGGACGTGATTACAAGCCCGAAACCCTCCTACTGCAGAAGGACAGTCGCAAAGAAAACCGTGAATACAAATCGCAACATTGCATCCGGTGCAAACCGTTTCGCAGTTTCTTGTAGCACACTCAGCAAGGATAATGACATGTTCATTAAAAGTAATCAAGTTCTTGCAAACATATCGAGATTCTGCCTCTTTTTCAAACGAATACTTCGAAATTGATTTTACGGCCTCCCGGTGATTTCGCTTAATTTGCTGCTGTCGGTACGATGGACTGGCAGTCACGGTATCAGTAAAAAGCTTAATTTCAAGCTGCTCGATGAAGTCCAGTAGGCCGCCGTACAGCTCATCAATTCGAAGGCCGGTTTTTGCATTCAGATGTACGCGCTTAAGAACTCTGAAATAAACCACAAACTGCATTACAGCTACATAGACTGCAGAAAGAAACGCCTGACTAATTAAATATTGAGATTAATCAATAGTGCTATTCGCCAGGCATTCCTTGCGCAAAACCATGCCGGCAATCAAGGCGCAAAGTCTATACCGGTAGCCCCTCCATGCGCCAGTGTTCATGTACGGTTCCCGCGATTGAGTGATAAGCGGACACCGTGACCTTCGCGCGGTTCTTTTCATTTAACAGTTCCGGTAAACACGCACTACCAGCGAGCAGTTGGCCGGGCCCCGCATGGGTATCGGTCCCGCTCTCATACGGTCTTAATTCTGGGAACAGTAATACAAGTTCCTGAAATTTTAGCATTTTAGCCTATTTCACCCCAGATGATGTAGCAAAATGTGCATTATGTTAAAATATTGCTAAACTTATCGTGAACTAAGCTCATCGTGAATAGCCGCATCAATATTTTCTTGTATTCCAAAGTCAAATCATTACGCTTTCGTTTGCCCATGATGATTGATTCATTTACGGTAATTCACTCAAATACTGCCAACAAGTGTACTTTACTTTTTTATCTGCTTGACGTAGCTGAGTTCTGTCACTTATAAGTTACAAAGCATTAATCGCGGACGTATCGTTGTAACTTTGTCTGTTTCGGCCAGACTGTATGTAATCGGCAAATTCGTTTTCATGGATATTTTGCATCCGGTCCAAAATAAAAGTGTATGTAAGCCTAATTTGAAGGTGTATTCAGTGTGCAGGATGCCCCTGTGCCGGGACGCGCCGGTTAAAATTTCAGCGTATTATCTTTTCGGGTACAGTATTTATTTACTAGGTGTATGTAAAGGCAGGTTTTACTGTACAGAAGCGATAGCAAATTTCAACGACAGATTATCGGGCGCGTTACAAACTGACTACGCGCCAGAAAAACGGCTTTGGCAGTTTTAGAAAAAAGAAGTACTATAAAATTAAGTACTTACCTGTGGAAGCTTTCTATAAACGCACTGGTCGAAAAGGCAGCGCCGATGCGGTAAGGCAGTGACCACTCGCTTATGCGTTCCAGATACTGGGATAAATAAGAATACACCTTCTTGTCCGTGCTGACCAATCTAATCAGCTCAGCGCTTTCGGCTTCCGCTTCAGATATTCCGCGAGCATACATAATATTGCCGAATCGCTTTTTCGCATCGGTAAACGAACGCGCGTGTCTGTCAAGCCACTGATTCACATTTTTCCGTACATGCCATGTACATAGTATTTTTTTGGCATTGCATCCAATCACTTGCTGGTAAGCGTTAAAAAACGCAGGAGCATCATCAGATAAAAACCACTCCGCATGGAAATTTAGGATTTGCTCTTTCAGCATTTTGAAAAAAGCCGAAACTGTTAATTCGTCTTCGTGATTTGCAATACAATGTGCAACTGGAAATCCGCGTTCTGCAGCATCGATACCCATTAGCGTTATAAGTTTAAATCCTCGCTGGCCACAAACACCATGTGTTGCATCAATACACAGACTTTTGCGGTTTAGTCTTTTAAACTGTGCCCTTTGAAAAGGCGTCTGAAGAACGGCAATAAAATAGGATTCGGGTAATTCCGGGAATTGCATACATTTTTGCGAGATGTTTTTTAAGTATAACAAATTCCTTTCCTGAAATGGAACCGTGTTTTCGTACGCAGCTTCAAGTCCCATTGACTGGTATTCACAGGCTTTGCGTGGCTCCCAGTGCAGCTTTAGTTCGCGACGAATGTTGTATACATCTTGCAATGTAATGTATAATGCACGCGAATGAACACCCTCTGCAAGGTTCGTATAATATCGTACTCAAGCAAAAATGACCGCCGTAAAAAATTTCTGTGGTTTTTACAAACCTTTCTCGAGCCTTTCCCATGCGCTTTTTCGCACATCTCGCACAATTACGCGTGGGTCTGCGCTCAAAGCCAGCCTACTTCCGATATCGATCCGAAGTCTTTCGGGAATCTTTTGAGCATGAAGGTCAGCGTTGACATCGTGGCCATAATGTTGCTCACAATAAGACGCTACCACACTTTCACTGGTGGTTTTAACCTAAAAAATAAATTTGTCGTCATGTTACTGTTAAAGTTAGTGCTATGCGCCCTGACAATCCGGGCGTGGAATGTTGATTAATTAAAATTATGTATATATTAGCTATGCGCTCCAAATACATGTACTGTATTTCCTTTTACAGAGTGTACATATCCCGAGGTATCCGTATTACCTTGCGACTTGCGTCATCAAATTATTAGTTCGTGTTTTAATTTATGGATGCAAGTACTTTTATAGGCACGTCTTCCTACTTCCGTTTAATATTGGGATTGGAGGATTAGGACCCTCCGTAAGAGGCAGAACGTATGTCAGTAAATGTTTTTGCGCATGTACAAGGATTTGGTTTTATGTACCGAGTCACTTCCCAGTTCCCAGTAGCCTAATATTAAGCTTCGGTAATCGGTAAGCAGCAACGTTTGGGACATTTACTAACAGTAACAGTAAGTAAGGTTTTTAAAATAACAGCAAACTGTAAGTAGAAAGCAGGATGGTGTTTGAGTTTTTGCACACGTTTAGCTTAGAATGATGTTATTACCCACTCTGTCATTGTTTTTCCAAAAAATGAGCTCTTTTGCTGGTTTATTCCATTGAGCGCTCGTGCGCAAACGCTAAAGCGAAAGGGCACACTCGATTCCGTTTCTTTGATTTGACAGCCTTACACTGGCTTACAGCTAGCCGTTATCCGCTTTTCGGCAAGTCAAAATATACGTATAAGAGTATCTAGATCGTTATGCAACCCACCACTGTATGACTTCGAAACCACAAATTAACATAAGGTGGTGTTCTGATATTGCCGGTAGTAATAAAATATACATGATGGTGTCGCAGAAATGGCCCGAGACAAAACGTGGTGCAGACAGTGGTGTACAGAGCCTGGTGGTGGTCAAATGTGGTGTGCAGCGACTTTTGGTGGTACAACTTTACGGACTACGGAGCTTTCTCGTTATGTATGAATATGATGTTGTTACTAATAAGTATACTAGTACTGTACCTGCATGGCACAAACAGCACAGTAAGTACTGTAAGTACATACTAGTAGCAAAAGTCTTTTGAGTATGTTCGTACAAATAGATACCCGGCCTTTTGCAGTTGCGACAATTTTCTAAATAGCAGTTTTCCACACATAGTATTATGGTTATTCGTATAACGCATAAAGTGCAAGTAGTGCTTACCATTACCTAGCAGTAGGTATAAATCAAACTTTAATCAATAACAGAACGTGTTTTCCGCTTCGCTTTAGATGCAATTGTGCACTAACGTTAGCACTAATTAAACGCTTGTCTTCTCTACGCTCTTCTCTGCACTATGCTCTGCACTATGCTCTGCATGACCTTTGTTACTACCCCCAAGAATTGCACTGAGTTCTATCTGTAGACGCTAAATTGGTGAATGTTCTAGGCTCTAGCTAACAATGATTGATGACATACCTTAATAAAAGCGGTACATTTAAATTTTCGTTCTTTTTTCGAACTCCCGTCTCCGGTAGATTTGAAATTTCGAAAGCAAGAATACATTCTGAGAGATTTTTCAGCTCCAGTTTTTTTCTCTCCATTCGCATGGTTGAATTGGCTGGCAGTCAAATCTTCGAAATCAGCTTTCCAAGATACAAATTCATCGAAATTTTGAAATGTTTTCTCCTTCACGCTGAATTCAACCCGATTATGGAAAGCACAGAGATGTGAAATCAAAGATTCAAGGTGATAAAAGACAAATTGGCATTCCGGCTCTTGACATTTTCCCGCTACGACACAAACATCTAAATCTTTACGAGTTCATCTTGCAATCATTTTTTAAAAAACCTACCAATTTTTGGAACAGAAAATTCTGGATGGTGCTTTTTAACGTGACGGTTTAAGTTTGACTTCGTCGTATAGGATTTTGCTCCAGTACAATGATCACAGCGTAGATCTTTAGAGGACATAGTGAAGGGAAGCCGACAGCGACAGTATTCCACCAATAAAATATGCAATTAGCATTGCAAGAAAGCATTCGTTCAAAATATCAAGATTGAGATAGAACCGTAAAGAATTCAAACAATTAATTATTGACTATTATGGCAATCATCAATCACCACGCAATTATTAATAAATTACATACCACATTCGCTTTTTTATTTTTTACAGTTTTATTGCAACCGTACGCTCAGAAGCGTTTACTAGTAGTTGAAACTTCCAATGGATTTTGTGGCAGATTGGATGTGTAAACGCTGCCACTGAGCACGACGCTCAAGTCCATAAAATGAACCGAAGTGCGTGAATAGCACCCATCCAATCCCTCCAGGAGGATTAGATCAGCCGTGATGTTTAGGTTACGAGCAGCAGTAGCAATACCAATGACTGTAGCAATAGCCGTCCCGTGGTCCGTCTACGAGACGGCTATGGCTATAGCCATTTGTATTGCTACTGCCGCACCTTGCCCAAATTGTCTAATATTTTTGTCAGACGGATGCGGAACCGCTTGTACGTACTGGTCACACCCAGCACGTGCAGTTGAGACAAAAGAGCCATGTTGATTGGGCAGCGTCAAACGCAGGCAAGCGGTGTAGCGCCAGCGCGTGCGGGCACACCGAGCGCAAATACGTAACAAAAGCAGAAAGCCGTTTAAAATTTTTTTGAAGTTTTGTCGGAAAAGTGTACGTACATTGTATGCTATACACATTTGCTTTTGATAATAATATTATTAGATAATCATGGTTGCACAGCCGATAGCGCCATGCATACGGGTGGGTTTGTATTACCTTCATTACGAGGTCCACTGCAATGAGCTGCTCGCACCCAGCGGCCAGCGTGACCACTGGCCACCACTGCACATGGGATCAGATCCAAAAAAACAGCCACATTATTAGCGCTGGTCAATGCCATCACCGTATAAACGCGGTTCGAACCAGCCATTCGTCCAGCACATCATCCACTCTGAACCAGCATCGATACCGACCGGCATACTCCCACCGGAACAATCAACGCCACGTAGCAGACGCGCCCTTTGGCTTTCAAGAACCAGACGAGGTTTTCCGATTACGCACCCGGTGACGCAGATGGTCGGCGCCATGGCACAACTACATGAGAATGTCGCGTTCGTTAGTCCACATGAAGCGCGTCGCCAAATCGCCAAGCATCCGGTTAAATTTCACTTGACAGCACAGCTCCACACACTCACCAATCATGGCTGATACATTGTGCATGGGTGGCGTAAAGAGCTGTTGCGCGGTGAACGCAGCGCTAACAACATACCGCTGACTAATAAAGACATTGGTGCCGCTGCGCCACACACACTCATAAGTCATATTCCCGGGTACTCGCGTGACTGAAATTCATCAACGTGAAACTGGCGAATGTGGAATTGTGATCAGCGACAATAAAGCCGATGAACGGTAATGTGTGCTTGTGCATCCACAACTGCTACCACGGAGGACCGGAGGTGATCTGTGGTATAATTCCCCAGGGTATTTTCCCTTGTGTGCTCTATTCCGTTTCTGCGGACCGCTAGGTAGCGGTTTGGATAAAGAGGATGCGCAGTACGGTTGTCGTGGCAATGGAACGTTACCGGCGCTCCTTTCGCTGCCTTGATTAATAATAATTAATGATTAATAATAATTAACATACTGGTAAGAAATTATTTTTTAGATTTCGTGATACAACTATTTGGAACCTAGTTAGTGTTACTATTTAAAAGGAAGTAGTAGTTAAGTTAACTTAAGTAGTAGCTTGTGTTGTGAAACTGTAGAGTAATAGGCATTTAAGGGATTTGGCCCGGTACATAGTACCAATTTCGGGCACATCCACGGCAACTTTCGCTGTCGTGCACTTTTAGTACACCTCCGCGCGTTTAAACTTTTGGAATTTTATTTCACTAATAACTTCCAAACCGGATGTATAAAAGCTCTTTGGCTACAAATATCATAAAGCAATGCAAAAAAGTGTTTGGGAGTGCGCGACAGCGAAAGTTGCCGTGGCTATGTACCGGGCCAAATCCCTTAAGGAAAACTCGTATGGTTTACTACCAGTACCAGAAGAAAAGGAAAGCCTTTTTCGCACTGGTGTAGACGTTAAGTTGATTGTGAGCAAACAAAATAATAAGTAAACACAGCATTTTTCTAGATACAGTACTCTGGCAAGATGACAATGTTGTGACATGACAACAGACAGCTAGGTAAATGTTCAATGGCATCGTACAAAAAACTGGGCGTACGTACGTACATGGTATGTACTTATCGTAAAAAAATATAAAAAAATTGGCATTAATGCGTTTGTGGGTGGTGTGGAACGTAGCGTGCCTGCAGCTGAACGTGTGCTGGGGATGCCTGCCAGTGACACCTACTCTTACCATTCAATGGCCACTGTCACCGACCAGTGTGGCTCCGACGGACCGTAAGTGGCTATGATTTTTGGGTGGAGAAAACTACAGCATGGGCGACACTACAAAAACATTGCATGTAATTCGTTTCAACGCAGATTGCGCAAACCAGTGCTTCTCAGTTCCAATCCGATGCTGGCGACTGGCAAATCACATTAACAGGATTTTCTTACCTAATTTTTGAGCGACCGAATGCCCGATTTTCTTCTTTGTGTCCTACAGTGCATGTGACATACTGACATACCTTCTCCGTCTGCAGTGGCAGACATGATTACGGATGCGATGCGGACCGGCCGGCAGGACGAGCGCATCACTCTCCATCTGGCCCCGGATGAGGGCATTATGCAGGGAGAACTTCGCCGGCCCCGTTTAGGCGAGGACGCCATGTTCAGCTGCGAAGCACCGCCCGGGGGCGACTGGCGCATGCTGACCTGGCTGCACCGCGGACGGACCATTTTCGAAGGAGGCCACGCCCCCGCTCAGCCGCCCGATCCTGTACAGCGCTACAATGTCAGTCGTTCAGGTGACCGCGGCCTAGAGCTAGTGGTCCTCAACGTCACCGCCTACTCGGGCGGGCCAGTGCTGTGCGTGGATGCCACGCCCACCCGGCTCTACACCAGCCAACCGCGCATTCTGCGCCGCTTCACGCTCCTTCCACTAATTACACGCGCCAGCGAAGTCTTTGCGCCGCACTCCGAGGGCAGTGCGGCGCGCGTGGTCAACGAGGGCGGTCGCCTCAACATCACGTGCCGCATCCGCTTGCCGCTCCCGGAGGCGGTTTTGCACAACCAGGATAATTATTTTTTCTGGCGCTACAAAGGCCGCATCATCAGCCAGTACACGGAGCCGCCGTACGGTGCGCTGTTCCACAGGAAAAACCCGCCCATCATCGGCTATTCAGTCGCGACATCGAACCACGAAGAATTCAAATTCAGCAATCTTCCCGGTCAATTTGTTAACTACACATTACATTTGGCGAATTTCCAAGCCAACGGTGACGGCGAGATTCAGTGCTTCATCCGGCCACACGAAGGCATCCACGAGTGGATCTTTCAAACTACCACCATCACTGTTCTTGCCTAATGGTGATACTGACGCATTAAGTCCATATACGAAGCCTGTCGTCTGTAAAGCACTGTACGAGTACAGTATTTACAAGATAAACAGCAAGATCCCTTACGAGTAGACCGGACGCACTACTCTAGTTGTCGGCTCCGCTAAGATCAGTGGAAGTGACAAGTTAATGTACTTTGGCTAAGTTTTCGACCATGTCGCACACTGAAATGGTCTTATATTTTTATGCGGCTCCCGAACTAACGTAAAAACTAATATTTTTAATATGTAATACGCTAGCTTCGTAATATTTCGTTGGTGCTAAAAAATTAATCAAAAAACTTTACCGCAAGGCGACACTGGCAAATGTGGAATTATGATTATCGACCATAGAGCCGTTGAAAGGTGGTGTTTCTGCATCCGCAACTGCTACCGCGTTGGTGAACTTGGGGTAATTCCCAAGGGTAATTTCCTTCGTATGCTCGACTCCGTTCCCCCGGACCGCTAGGTAACGGTTGGGTTCACCCCAACCGTTCGTTCTACACATCCTCCCCACCCCAATCTGGTGAGGAGGATGCGTAGTACGGTTGTCGTGGCAATGGAACGTTACCGGCGCTCCTTCCGCTGCCTTGATTAATAAGCGCCATTGCTTAGATTCAGGCGAGGAAGGGTTGGTTAGGTTACCCAAGTATTTTGTCTCACTCGGGTTTAGCAGCACTGTTGCGTCTAATTGCTCTAATACTGAAAGGAAGAAACAATGGGAAGTACGAGGTATATGTACGAGTGCAGTCATAATATTACTAAAAATACTAGCATTTAGTAATATTATGGTACAGTCGTAATACTACTTAGCCATAATATTAGTAATATTATGGTACAGTATATTGTACGTTTACCATACTTAGCTAACTTGTCCAAAGTTTTAGACTACTGCCGTGACAGAGCACGCAAGGACGCTTTCCTGAAGAAAGCGTTTAAAAGACCAGACCTGGGCAGTTATAACTTAACTCTATAACTTAACGCGAGTTATTTGCGAGTTATCGAGTTTTAACGTAACTCTGTAGCGTAACTCGCTACCCAAAAAACTTAACTCTAACGTAACTCGCCTGAAATTTGTATACGTTGTCTATGGTAGCGTAACTCGCGGTATAACTCGAAACTCGGTTTTACCTGCATAAATAGCGTAACTCGTAGCGTAACTCGCACGCTACCTGTAACTCATAACTCTAACGGTGGGTGCATTTTCCATAACTGCCCAGGTCTGAAAAGTACTGTAAGTTTTTCTATTACAGATTTTTGTTTACTACAGAACTTCTTTACATTTTTTTAAAAGGTCCCTTTGACCACAAGAATTCTCTTCCTCAAATTTTTGCTCTTCCTTTTTGACCATAAAATCTCCTTCCTTTCCTTTACTTTATTTCCTTTTTTATTTCCTTTATTTATCTGTCTAGCGGATGCCGCATGGCGCATGCACGAACCACTTTCACGCCAAGTCATTTGGCTCCAGAATGTCATGAAGCAATAAAGAATTCCCAGGTCCCCGTTTTAGACAAGATGTGAGGCAAGGGATACAAAGACTGTACGTTACAGACTGCAATAATTGCTTATTTAAAGGATCGCATCTGCTCGGCATGAAATTATGTTTTAAAAATGTATTGTAATCCTAATCAGCGACAGTAACTTCTGCTCCTCCTATCCTGCCCGGTTTGCTGCCGGCAGAGAACCCGCATGGTAACCTGAACAGATCGATATATTATCGTCTTTCAGGGCACATAATGAATGCGGTATATTAAGGGCCCACGGAGTTGGCACGGCGAGGAGAAATTACACTATAGGTGGCATGAATTACGTTTAGTAATCACGTTGCAGATGCATTGCTGCAAATTGCAATTACTTAACATATCCCAAAAATATAATCCAAAAGAAAAAAGTATTCTGTAGTGAGGATGATTTCGGTTAATAATAAAATGGTAATGTAAAAATCGCTTTAGCCATTTAACGGTAACCTCATGCGCAGTAAGTACCGTCTGTAAATGTCTTACATTGATGATATTAGAGTACGGTACTTCAAGTAGTACATAGGCTCGAATCGGTCGAATGCCTTCGGTAACAGCCAAAAAGTAATTATTATTACTGTATTATGTATTTATTTATAGGGTTTGCTTAAAAGTTACACTAAAACTAGGACAAGTCTCCTTTCTTACTTTATACATAATTGCTGAGTGGCAACGATAAGGTTAGGATAAGCGACACAAATACGCACAAAGTTGTACTGAATAACTGAGAACAAAGACAAACACAAGAACTTCCGCAGTCAGTCCCATTTTTGAAAAAAAACCCGTGCCATTTCCAGACAATGATTCTGTAACTGTACCTTGTAAACAAATCCCGGTGCAGCAAATTTCTAGCTATGCTATGAAAATCGGCAAGATCTGACTGTAACAGTACTGTAGTGTTTATGCCGATGCGCCGCTTTCGCCATCGTCAATAGCCTGAAAACTGGACCGTACGTTTCCACTCATACGCTGTACATCCAGCTCCTTTCGCGTATGCTCCTCCAGCTCACGGATATCCTGCATGGTCAGTCCATACCAGTGATCAATGGAGCAGAATACTTGACGATGAAAGTTGGTAAATAAACGCTTCTCCGCCTAAAACAGCTGACAATTGTCGGCACAGCGTCTTTGTCACAAAATGTATAACAGAAAATGACTCTCCACCTTGTGAATAAAGTTTTCCACTTTGTTCTGCAGACCGGTCCATTTGAACTCCACCGTAACCAGTTTGTAGCAGCACATTACAGGAGTGGCTGAAGCCTATCAGAATAAAACCAGCCATAATTGTCAAAGTTGTACAGGCCGGTCCATAAAATAATTAAGCATGGATGTATTTTCAAACACTCCACTTCAGTCTTAAATTACAGAGGTAGTAACTTTATAAAAACCTCGACAACATACCTGCCAATCGCTGCCGAGAGGTCCTCTCCCAGTTTTTGTTGATCTGAACTTCTGAGGATCATACTGTAATTTGTAATCCTGTTGCGAACAACGAAAGCGCGATATATTACTATCAATAAATAAACAGGTACCGTGTCCATGGTAGTACTCGATGGACATGTCAGCTGTGTTAAAATGTCTGCCGTCTATCTTATTAGACCGCGAAAAAGACGAATGCTGACATACTTTTGATGATATCTTATCGTTGGCAATGTCGACGAATACAACATCCCGCTTTTTCAGTTTGTCGGGGGAAAGCTGGTGCACCTAAATGCACACGGCGAAACATCTTCAAACGTGTGGAAGAGTGCATTGGCGACAGTTAAGTAATAGTGCGCGAGAGAAAAATTCAGGCGGTTATTGACCTTTACCTTACATTGTATGAATTTCCGCGATCAGGGAGGTGGAGAGATTCAACGGTCAAAAGGAAAGCCTCTTTCATGTAAGATGGATTCTGCAATAGCCCAGCTGTAAAACGGTCCTCGGTGCGCAGCAGAAACCCGACAGTACAATACGAGTAGAAAACCGCTGAGGTTGCCAGTGCAGTATTATGCATTTTTATAGTACAGTTTAGCTGTATTACGATTGTCCGCGGTAACGCGGTAGCCGTGGTGGATACCTGGTCGCGATGACTTGAAAGATTTTAAGTGTATTTAAATGTTCTACTACCGGTCAACTTGAACTCCACCGTAACTGCAGCAGCAGTGTTTTGCTTGCCGCTTCTGTTATTACGAATGAGAATAAAATGGGGTGTTATGCAAGTGACAATTAAACCCGCAAACGACGGCCATTGAACAACACTAAGGGCTTGCGAACAGGTCGCAACCAGGTACTAGTCGAGTACCTTACTTATCGTAGTTTTTAAATTTTGAGTTGTTAATTGTTGTTTCGTAGTAGTTTCATGATAATGCCCTTTTTGAAAATTTTGATATTTCACTGTTAAAACGGGACGGCTCAGCTGAATAAGACAACAGAACAGCATTTACAAAACCAATCAAAGTGCTGACTTACGTACGCTAAACTCCGTCTTGCAATACGGATAGGCATTCCATGCTTTCTCCGTGAACTCTAGCGAACCTTTGGGAGCGATCGTGCGGACCCAGCTGGGTACTTTACTGTAAATACGGTAAAGCGTAAATTTCTCAATTTCAGCAGTCCTGGTTTTCAAGAAAATAAAAGCAAAATAGTGTTCCGAATTTTGAGATCACTATTTGTAAGTGTTTGCAGTTTCTCTATTTGCAGTTTAGAGATCCGATGATGTTAAATGCGAGCACTGGAAAGTTGCAGCATTTACAAAAGCCTCAGAAGTATTGACGCACAAGAGGAGTTTATCGTCACCTTTGAAGATAATACGTCTTGTGTGTGAACTGTCCACGATCCGGCTGACCATCCAGAAGAGGAAAATTCTCATAGGGCTCATTCTGTAGTACCTGCACGCCCTCGCCGCCACCCGTTTCCCCTTTGGACGCTTCGGCTACGGCGTACAACTGACCAATTTGATACTGCAATAACCAAAAAGATCCACACCTTCGTTCGAAATTGGCAGTGTTAAGAAACTGAGCATAGAATAATGATATGATAAATACCTCTTCCACCGACATGGGCATCACAATGCGACTGAAAAAGGCAAATAAGCATAATCTGACGCACACATCTGGAACTCTAATTTTCGGAACTTACTATTCCTTGATTATCATTGTGGAAGAGTTGTGGCTAAAACAGTAGAATATAGAGCCGAAACAGCTTCTCAAAAACAATAATTATTGCACTATAAATTGTGCATAATCCTCACTCATAATAAATTTCCGCATGCCCAACAATATTTTGCGGGGAACTTTCCAATTATTGATTGGAACTTGGTTAATCAATAAAATAAGACTGTCAACGTTGACGTGCAGCACTGTGCTGTACACTTAGCAACGCGGAAAAATCGTTCTTTATACAGAAACTGCCGAACCAGACAGCTTTCAGTAGTCGCTTAAAACGCTTTCTTGGCAGAATAATGCTTTTATATTGTGGCATAAAATAAACAGATTTACTCGTAGCATCTTGACAATTTCGCAGTGTGGGCTGGACTCATTGCCCTTTCAGGATAGAGAGTGTTGTAGATAATAAATTTTGTAGGTCTTTTAATCGCAAATTCGCCTGATCTTGTGCTGCATTGGCAGAAAAATTTATGATTTCCCAGGGTTTTACGAGGAAGTATTACCCAAAAAGATTTTTAAAGAAATATTCTGCAAATCATATACAGGACGTGGTTGATTTTTTCAGTTATTTGCTTGAACTGTTGCCATGAGCTACCGCAACCGATTAGACTAATAATGGATATAATCCGTCCCAGACGGCTGCGACTGCTTTGGTACAATACTGACAGGTGCTGTGTTCGATGACCTTTCGATCAGCTGTGCCATGCGCGGCAGCCCAAGCACTGTCGTCTGTCAGTCGACAGACTTCACAGAATGCATTTGTCTGGGAAAAGCTGATGTTTTAAGCTTGTACCCTTGAAATAAAGTTCTAGTGATATTACAAGAGGATTACGAGATTTGTGATACTTCGAGATTTATGACTTGTGCTGTAAATATAGGTTAACAAGCATTTTTGTTTTTTACTTGATTGAGGATTGCGCCGTACTGCCGCGCTTATTGCTAACTTGCCGCCAAAACTGAACCTTAATCATAACGCAAGAAGATGCACAACTTTCTATCTGAAGCGGCGCATGTAAAAGTTTAAAGAACACCGCATACCTATTTTATACTTCTAAGGCGAATAGTTGATACGTCTTTATACACAACGTCGTAACGTATGTTCCTGTTAGTACAGTACATACTGGACTACACTTAAGTTTCGCATAGTACTGTGGCTGAATAAGGGATACCAAATAAAACACTGCCAACAATAACCTTAAACTGCCGTAATACGTGGCTCTGAAATCCACGGACCCGAATTTGCCGCGAAACCCATATTTCCTTTGGAAAAGGCTTGGTCAGACTTTTGCGTAACAATATTCGGTTTCGAATACAGGATTCCGTTTTATTTTGTCGATAGTATGAGCGTTTAATTAAGTCGCACGTGCATTTCTTGCCCAGAAGCTTTGTATTCAACAAGCTTTCCTGAAGCGGGGCTATTCATTCGAGCTCAACCAAGGTTTATCAGACTTTTTCGTAGTTCTTGCGACAGGCCAGGTGCCTGTGGGTCATCTTACCGTCAGCGCTTTATCGTGAACCTTGCAACCTTGTTTGATGATCTGCTAGTGTTATTCGTCTTCTCTGCCGGCTGTTCACTTTCTCATCTTGCCCGTACACCTCCAAAAATCAAAGCCCCCCACCGCGAAAAATATGGTGATCATGTTTTCCGTAAGGCTTCCTTAATCAGCTCTGCCACCGAATGTGTTCCTTACATGTGTCGCCCATGGAATGCAGAACGATAACACCGATGGTAAACCAAAAATTTTCGTAGTGTTAACTAAGCTATCGCGGTTAACCAGATATGTGGGCTACTGCGATTAACCACTCATTCTTAAAAACAACTCGCAACCTTGCCAATGAACGTAGCAATCGTGAATTTTCTGCTGCATTTTGATCAAGAGTCGAACTTTATATTTTGCCAGAATACGACCAATTAAACGACGCTACATCATCTGCACCCAGTCCACAATCGCGGATGCCTGGATTATACAGTCTCCTGACCGCGCCCTCCATGTCTGCTTTTCCTCTCGTCAAATCCGAGCCCTACGAACCATCCCTTCCGTCAGATCTGTCCGGGAATGCTCACGCCGAGTTCCTCCATCAACGGTCTTTCGCTGGTAATAATTTAGCACAATTTTATTTACGTACGCGGGTCGAGAACCGCCGTGTGGCTAGGTCCTGAAGACGACAGTCTTACCGCCAGCGGGAGTAATGCTGGTACCACTGCCGTTCCTACATGCCTGGACGAGCTGGAGTGGAATACCTTCAAAGCGACCGCCTCGCGGCAGCTTCAAACCCTCTCGTCAGATGTCATTCATAATGCGGTACGGCAGAAAAGGTCACGAGGGTATATTGCCCGGATGCTGGCCGAACAGCAGAAAGATGTTACGGTACCGACTGCCGCATCATCGGTGCCCTCGTCAGACAGCGAAGAGCCGGTGGTTAAAAAGAAACGGTGTACGAGAACGGCGACTCCAGAAACTGACTTTGCCCCGGTGGATAATTCACTGCTTGATGATCCCATGGCCGCCATTAATATGCGCAAATGGCGGGTTAAAACCGTGGTGGATGAGCATATCTTCATGATGCGCTCGTTATCCGCCACGACAGTTAGCACGTAAGCTTAATCATCCCAATTCCGCTTTTCCAAGTAATAAATGTTTTACAAAGTCAGCACAAAAACTATTTACAAAGTCAGCACAAAAAACTTTTGATTTTACAAAGTCAGCACAAAAACTATTTTCAAAAGCAAAACTTTGAAAAGCGAAAGGTCAACAAATCTCATAGCACAATTTAAGCGCTTGCATAAATATTTGTAGAAAGGAAAAGGTCAACAACTCTAATATACCGAACTAAATGAACGAATTGTTAAAGGTCAACTCTCAAAAATGTTTCGTAAGTGCTCTGTGAAACGTTTTTTTCGTCGATAAGATGTTAAAACAGTTTTTAACGCGTTAATTTCGATCTGGCAAATCTCTAATCAATTCCCGTATAACAAAATTTGGAATTTTCAGGACGAAAATGCCCGGTGATTTAAAACACATGGATCTCAAACCGCGCCTGCTGAGCAGCGACCGCAGCGCCATTCTCCTGTATCAAGGCGAGATGAAGAAACTGCTGGATAGTGAATATGAAATCCTGCAGCAGTTGCGCGAGTGTCTGCGTCCCGTAACGGTGACCAGTAGTATGGTGGATGAGCAGTTCTTAGCCACGGAAATCATCACCTCCTTCGATGCACCGCTGGGCTGGGACAATCCGTCCGATCTGTTATTGTGACCTTTTCCTTATTTCGTGATCTGTGGCATGTGATCCCATACGGGCAACCGGAATTACCGGTTTTCGTATTTGACTGTAATCCTGTTTTCGTGATCCGCTTTTTACTGCCTTACCGTTTGTTACTGAAAGCTTGGTGTTCCTCTGTTTTGTCGCCGTCCATTTGGTTCGTCCGAAATTACCTTACGTGTTTTTGATTTTAAAAACCGAATTTCCTTGCGTTTGCTTTACTGACAATGAATCCGTCGCATTTTGCGGTAAATCTCATCGCAAAGGTCATCGCCTGGGAGACTGAACGGTTATAGGCGATTTAGGGTTTTACGTAATCAGTGTATATCTCGATAGAGTTACTCAAAGAGTGGAAACATTTTCCAGACACAACATTATCGAGTCTCAGCAGTTGACGAAACAAGTACTTACACGATCGCGGTTAAGATGGTGTACGAACTGCTCAATACGTGAATATTGTGGTTGCCATGCGGGCCATATGGCCATAATCCGTACCATGTTGTAGGCCAACTATAATGCACCGTCGTCGTACACTTTAATGGAACTGCGGTTCTAAGTGGAAGCCCAGCCGCACGGTAATGCGGCTGATCGCGGGTAATACATTATCCTCTCTGTTGAATTTGGATACGGCAAAGTAAGCGTGCGAATTATCCCATGATAAGCGAGTGCTGTTATTCGAGAATTTAGTGGTTTTAGCAGGGGTCTTTAATGTGGTTACTGTAGATTAGCTGAACGCAAGAAACTCGATGAGGAGACCCGCTTACGCCGCTTAGCCCAGAACGCCAGCGTCCGCCGCATCTACCAGGGCACCACCACCCCCGCCGCCCCGCCCCCGCCCACCTCCAGTCGCTTCAGTCTCCCCGCGCCCACCCTGCACAAAACCTTCCCCGGCCGCCATGAACACGACCGCGTCCGCCTCCTGGAACACAAGTTCACCAGTCTGGAGAACCTGGTGGAAACCCTCCGCGGGGAGCTCCAGGAACGCAGCGTCCAGTATGAGAAATCCCAACGGGAGTCCGCCCACATCTCCTCCAAGATCAACAGTCTCCACGAACTGGTGGACGACCTGATGCGCTCCATGGTGGTCCGCCCTTCCCAGACGGGCATCGTCACCCGCGCTGATTGCTGCTCGTTGTGCGGGCATCACGCGCAACACTACCCCACCGAGTGTCGGACAGCGGAGGGTCCCCAAGGTTCCGGGGACTCGGTGCTGCTGACCGACACCACCACCGCGTCCTGCGATCAGGAGTCCGCGAAAACCGGGCATCTGTATCCGTCGCGCTTTGCCGCGCCCCCTTTGATAACGGTGATTGTGGATTCCGTGTCGTTCCGCGCCAATTGTGACATTTTTCTGGGTGCGTGCGGGAAGCGTGACCATGTGGCGCTGATTATTCGGACGACCTTTCTGGGACTGGAGCCGGATGCCAACGATATGGAATGCCAGCCGGGGATCGTGTTTAACACGCCGCGTCGACCTGATGAGATTGTTTCCATCGACAGCTTCGCTGGTTGGTTGATTACTGTACAGCACTATTTGTATCACTTTTGTAAATTTAGGTGACAAACGTAGAGAAGTGGCTCACTAACGTCGTTTATCTAGCCGAATATGGTTTAATAAAGTAGCGCTTATTATGAGGTTGTACCAGTAAGGAAATTATATTTACAATTTTTTGTATCTTTTGAATAGCCCAGTTGCCTTTAAAAAAGTAGATTAACAAAATTTGAGCAGCAAGATTTCTTTGTAGATTTTACATTTTCTTCCAAAAAAGAACTCGACACACGATTAAGGCGCGCCCGAGCGGAGGGAAAAGAACCGATGGTGACCTTTCGTATTGACACGTATAAGACCGACAAAAACCAGCTGGACCACAGGATAGGCGTGGCTAAGTTGGCTATTCTGCGATCGTTGAAAAGTCATCATGATCCCGAGAAAGTGATTATCAAAAGTACGATTTGATCAAATAACTAGACATACCGCACCATATATCTTAAGTGCATTTTTTAATATAATTATTCGCCTTACCTGAATTACGTACCAAAAGATGTTCGTTTGTCCTGTCCAAATTCGCTGAATGTGCTGGCTTTAATTCCGTGCTTTTGTGTGTAGTACATCATTGTAAAAGTGGACTGGTGATTGGTGGACTGATGGTGTCGGCGCGTGCGTACGACACGCTGAGAAGTATGGATTGTGGTTGATGATTGCGGCGGCGGTTTTTTATACTCTTTTTTTTATAATTTGATTGTCTTGTTTGGCACCTGGGCGAAGATTTCCGAGAGTTCTCCGTTTTGCCGGCATGGGTGAATGGCAGTTATTTCCAGGCTTAATTGCTACTCTAGTCATAATCTCGGTTAATTTTGTTTGATTCTTTTATTGTGATTAGTGTTTCGCCAGATGTTCCCACTGTACAGAAGCTTCAATGAAAAAATGCAGTTTTTAAACAGTTGGCAAAATTTTGCCAAAATATCGAAGCAGGCAATCGAAGGCGAGAAACATTGGTTGGAAGAAACTAGGCGGGACTGTCTTTGTTTCCTTTAGATGTTCCCAGAAACCTGTGCATACGATAAAGCAACCATTTGGTGGTTTGTGGCTTCTCGGCGAGCGCACAGATAAATTCCTTAGTAAAATTAATTTTTACAAGTATTTTGTTGGTTCATTTTTAGCCCGAGAAAAGTTGAAATAACGTAGTAGTAACTGCATTCTACAAAATGGTTTTTAACAAGGGTTTACGGCGTCTTTATACTCTAAAGATATCTATAGTTCTTGTATAAAATAACTGTTTAGGAATTTTTTTGCAGAACAAAGGCACTGCATTAAAAATTCCAAAAATATTTTTATAATGTCCTTGGAAACTTTAATTACTGCTTATGCTCGAGGTTTATCGAATACGGGCGCTTATGATATCCAACGAAGCTTGTCTAGGCGTACGCTACACTACGTTCTGTGCTTATTACACGGCCATCCTACTTTGCGCGGTGAAAACACCGTAATTCATTTTCAGGATCAGTAAGTACTTCTATGCAATTAAGTACGCATTCAAATCACGAGTATAGCGCGGGAACAGGGTTATGCCTCAAATTCTGGTAAACAAAATACTTACCGCGACGATGGTCAAAAACAAAAATCCGCCGAACGAAAGGTCGGCAATCTGTATCGGTTAGACGACTCGATTGACTTTAATACCATCTTAGTCAAACGGAAACGGTCGCGTATGGCGATGGTTCCTTATTGTGCACCACCATCATGCAACGAAATTCGCTTAAACTTATGAGGCTTGAGGGCATTAATAAAAAAGCATCAGTTGCGTAACCTTGACAACTAATTGCAGGCGTTGATGAACGACTGTGGACAGCTGAAATCAAAACTGTGCTGTATGTAAAGCAAATTGCGGACACCCAATGTAAATAAACACTTAAGTACAGTACGAGTCCGCACATCTGCAGATACCGTATTGCACGCACGGTGACTAGAAAAATACCAATTACGAAGAGAAAACATGGGCCCACAACCTTTTTTTGTAAACCTTACGATAAAATGTTCCAATGTTCCCGTTGTTATTAACACTGGAAAGCTTTTAATTGGCTTTATGCACTTTATTTCACTCGCAAAATTGGACTCTTGTGACTTGGTCATTTAAAAATCTGGTGAACGAAGCGCGAGCTGACACAGGATGCCAAGTATTTTGAATTAGGCATTTCAGTCAATTTTTGCGTTCATTGTTCCTTGTTTACTGGGAATGATCTCTCATGTCATGCACACGCTTTCTGTTTTTCTGCTGGGTAATGCTAATCGATTCAGACTAACCCAGAGAATGTTACCTTACCAAATCCGCTGTTTAATTGCGCGTTTGTGAGCCGTTTTTATCTGGGCATTAAGATTAAACTGCCCCAATGACCTCATCGATCCAGCGCTCCCTGTGGGCGTTGGGCGACTTTCTGAGCTCCAAGAACCGCCTGATGCACAGCACCCCGCCCACCCCCACCGGCATCGCCCTGCTGACCCTGGACTATGAACGCGAGACCGATCCGGAATTTGAGATCATCCGCGAGAAACTCAACAAGGTGACGCAGCGCAGTCGCCGGGTCCGCCACATCCTCCTGTGGGACCGTTTGCACAACATCCTCGACTCGCCGTTCCACCACACCATGCAGATCATGCAAAAGCACAATGTCCAAGCCTTGTGCTTACTCCTAAAGTACACCGAGGAAACGACCACCCTGCGCACGTTACGGAAGCTGGTCGGATGTTTCTGGTCCCGCAACATGGTCTCCATTGAGGACCAGTGTTTTCCGCCGCTTCCGCTCTGCGTGGTCGTCTACGTCCGGGACGAGAAACACCTCCAGGCGCAGATCAGTAAATCCATGTTAAAGAAACTGATTTTACTGGAGATTGCGCCGGTACTCCCGGCGGTGTTCGCCTCCGTGCCTAAAGAGATGCATTTCATCAAAATCAAGTTTGTATGTAAACGGAAAGAGTACGACCTGATTGCCGATGAATCCGCGGAGTGGCTGGCGCAAGTGGCCAAACGCTACGTTAAGTACTGCGAGGAACGGAATATCTGGGCGACCATCTCGTGGGACAAGGTTCTCCAGCGGGAACGCGGCCAGATGTGGAAGAACCTCGCAAAGTCCTTCGCGCTGGCCCCCAACCGCCTGCACCGTTTCAAACTGAAAAGGTCACAATCCGAACCGGCTATTGCACCGCGGCGGAAACCCTTCATCAGCGATGAAATCTCGGCGAGTTTCGATGAGGAAGCGGCCGCTATCGCCGTGCAGTTGAAGCACTACCAGCGCCCCCAGGGAATCTGGGCGCATAAACATCCGCGGGCCGAATACCTGCATAAGATCTTTTTGGAACTGAATCATCTGCGGGAAGCGGCGCGGATTAAACTGATCCATCGACGACAGTATTTCCAGCGGAGTGGGATGCACCGCGGTTTCACCAGTCCGATGGAGCGGTTCTACACGCGGTTCCAGTGGATTAAGAGCCATTCGCGGGATAAGACGGACCAGCTGATTATCTACTTTCACTATGGGACCGTGATACAGTTTAATATTGCCCGCATGAAGCAGCCGCTGACGCCGAGTGATATACAGATTCTGCGGCATCATCTCTTGGCGCACAGTGAAGCCAAGAAACACCGGAATTCGCGGATGCTTTTGAAGCATAGCGAACGGGATGGGAAAAAAGTGCAAACGAAGGAGACGTAATTCTGGAAATTATTTTCTTAGCTTACAGTTATTTTGTAATTGATTGTGTTGTGCAGGTTTGCGTACTGAGCTTTATTTGCATATTCTTTCGAAAACTGGTATTCCTGAAAGATGACCTTATGGTTCTGCCAATTCTGTATGCGTCAAAATGCCTTTTTATATATTATTGTAGTTTGGAACAAAATGAAAACAAATTCCTGATGGTGACCTTTACCTCCGGACAGCCTTTACTTTTTGTTGAAGAATTTCTTTGAAGCATTAATTATTTTGTTTGTGGATTTTATATTTTAATTTTGCGGTATACATAATAAAATCAGTTTGCTGATAAATTGCGACTGCTGACCTTTTGAAGCTTCCCAAACCGATTATTCTAATATTGTTTATTTTTATAAATTTATTTCATTATTGTGGCGTACGAATAAAAACAACAAACCAAATTAATGTTGACCTATTGATTGAGACAAATGTTTTGAATGAATCCTTAACACAATTCTAATCACAGCTGTTCTCGTCACTATCATCACAGGCTTTTTCGCCATATTCTTCCTCATTTTCCTCCGTGAGCCCCGGTTCCTTCCTTTCTTCCACTCGGACGATCTCACTGCGCTGGAACACACTGCGGCACACCGGGCACCGGTTACCCACATTCTCCCACGCGGCAAAACACTCCGCATGAAATGTATGCCGACAACCGGCTAGTTTCACCAGCGGCCGCTCTTCCTCCGTGTCCATCCCGTAGCATAATCCACACGGATCTTCCTCCGCCGCCGCCGGGATACTGGTGGCGCTGTTGTGGTACGTGAGACTCTCGACATTGCGCAGCTTCTGCATGAGCTCCTCGTCGGACTCGCCGTTGACGGTGATGTAGATGAACGCCACCCGCGCCACGATTTGAAGAATGTTGTTAACCATGTCACGGTAGCCGCAGATATCGTTCACCAGGGTGTCATGCAGACCGATCCCGTTGACTATCGTCAGGGAGACGGCCAGGACGCCCGTCAGGCTGGAGCGAAAGAGGGCGGTGCCTTTGTCCATTTGGGAGCGGGCGGTCGGGGTCACCAGACCCTGTAACAATAATTTACGATAAAAATAAACTTATTGATGATTTAATAATTTTCTTCAATTACAGTATATAAGTAAAGTTATGAAATAATGAACTATTTTATTTTGAATAATTTTTTTTTGGAATAGCGCAGCTGTCGAATTGCAAAGAGAGCCAAGTTTACTGCGCCTGGATTTTACAATACCTGGTACACGAAAATGGTGACGACTTCTACCAGGGCCACAATGAAATTGTAAGCAATCCACACCGAAGTCATCTTGTTGATCTGTCGCCCGAAGCACTCCGATACCAGCGGCGCTGCGATGGTAATATGTTTGGCAACAACACAGGCGTAGATAAAGTACAATGCGATCGCCATGACACCGCCCACGGATCGCCGCCAAATATTCTCGTCACACTGGCATTTGCGGCGCACGGTCTGTCCGATATTCTTGATCATTTTGCCGCAGAGGGGAATTTGTCCAAACATTACCGCATGCGCCAATAAACGAACCTAAACATATCGAATAGTAAGTTTTAAACAATTTTCTAATTGGTGAAAATAAATAATTATTCTAGTACAGTATTATATTACTGTAATAATCATTTTATTAAAAAGTTAGTAAAACATTTTTTTAAAAATAAAATTCTTTAATTAAATAAAAAAATACAAAAATATGAACTAATTTAGTTAATTAAGTAATTTTTCGGTTTCTTAAGTTTATACACTGCATAAACAAAAATATTAAAAAGCCAGCATAAACACTCAAACGTGACCTTTATACAAAGATAATCATCTGTGCGGGAAATTTTTACAAAAGTCACCTGCAGTTCGGGCTTCACTTTCCAAGGAAAGGAATTCCACCGGATAACCTGGACGGTATCGAAAATCCCTTTGAGAAAGTTCCCTTTGGGAACGACATCACTGCTACACGTCAGCACACTAGCCACCGACGTCAGCAGCATCCCAGCCGCCAAACACGCAAAGTACACCGTGGCGGTAGCGGCGACAAAACTACTGGAAAGCGCCCGCGCCACATAACTCCCGTACCCCTCCCGCAGCGCCACCGGGGCGCTCGTACTCCACTGGGCACTGACCACCGTGACCTTTAACACCAAGTACACCATCCACGCCAGGTGCATCTGATCGGAGGGGATCGATTTCCAGCCGAGATCCCGCAACATCAGCGTGTACGCTCCGGTGATATTTACCCGAAACATCCAGGCAATGTTATGTACGGAGAACTCGCAGACCGCCGTCCGCAGGGTCCCCACCACCCGAGTGAGCACCACCAGTGCCACGTCCAGGTTCAGGCCGACGTACACGATGGCGTCCGTCATGCCCAGGCTGTAGCGGATCTTGGAGTAGGTGCTGACGTCGATGTAGGGCTCGGCTTTGAGGAGGACGGCGTACACCAGGGGTGTCAGCTGGATGAGCTGCAGGCCGCGGTCGGGGACGAGGGGGCGGCGGAGCTGGTCGAACTGGTAGAAGGTGCGCTCGGGGTCGAGAGTGCGCAGGGTGCAGGTGTAGCGGCGGTACAGGTCGACCAGGAGGACGAGGACGGCCGACACGGCGACCGGGTAGGTGGGAGTGGCGCTGGTGAAGGCCAGGTTGCTGAGGTAGCCCATGATCTGGATGAGGAGGAAGAGCTCTACGGCCAGACCGTTGTACCATAGCTGTTTGGTCTTGAGGAAGTGGGCCATCCACCAGGAGAGAAGGAAGCCTGCGAAACCATCGCTGTATTTTACTTTGCTGACAATGATAATACGACAGTAATACATATTATTAGCAAAATTAAATTTATTTTCCAGGAACAAGAGCTTAAAATTTCCAGCTGTTCAAAAACAAGTTCAAAATGTTAATAAACACGTTAGTAATAAAATTTGGTTCTAAAACTTGCAGCTACAGTACTTAAAAGTAAGTTAAAAATGCTAATCATTCTCTCAATATAATCGAATAAACCACTATAATGGTTAATGTATTATTGGCCATTCCAAAAATTTACATAATGCTATAAAAACAATGCAAGCAAAAACATATTGTAAAAATTGCGCTGCGCTGCCAATCGCGACTGCTTCGCTTTCGAAAAGCAAAAAATAAAACGTCCGGGACATGGAATTGGGTAAACTAATGAGCAAAAACAAATGTTTGGTGTTTCCACCTACTTGTGCCCACGGCATACCCAGTCCAGCCAGAACATGATGGCTGCTGTTCAGGTCAAATAAATACTGATAATCCGCTCCGAATAAAAAATCAATGGCCGCCGTAAAGTTATTAATCAGGAACCAGCGCGAGCCGGCCAGGAAATCGGCAAGGAGTAAGAAAATGGCACGATGCACGAGACTGGCCACAATACGACTGAGGCATAATCCTAGCATGATCACATGACGCCCCGCCGGCGGGACCGAGGATGTTGCAGAACCAATAAGGGGAGCGGGCCATGGATCGCCTGTGCCCTTTGCAATACAAAGGGCACGCGACGTTACCCTAACTACATCGTGCTAAAGGGTGACCTTTCCACAAAAACTATGGAACTTTTGCGCCGATGAAAATAATCCACAGAATCCACACCCCCTCGGAAAATGCAGGTCTGGGTGAAATCGGCGAAATGCTGCGTATTCGATCAATAACTCGGCAAGAGCGCGTAGAATCCATTTATGTTGCTGATGACCTTTCAAAAACATTCAGAGCAATTGCTAACAAGGATCGGAATATTTAAAGTAGTCACTCAAAGCAACAAATCAGATGTATTTTGAGTATCTAGAGACTCAATTGAAGATCTTCAATTGCAGTTTTGCTTCGGACGACATCTATAGTCTGCATTAACATCGTCTGCAGTTAGCACACTCCACTATTTGGCTAATCGTGCAGTTGCTATGCCATCCATTTCGAAAACTAGATGTATTATCGAATCGTAACAATTCTGTTTTATCGGCAGAAATTGTCTAGCGTACTTCATGTACAGTATATACACACATCCACAGTAGTAAGCAAAAATCAACACCTTTGTACTGACCAAAACCTAACTTATTTTTGCACTAGCCTTCGAAAAAACGTGCGATTCGTACCATCTACGCAAACACCTTTGTTGTACTCACAAATTCCGCTTGCGCTTCGTTTTGTTTTGTAATAAAAGTGTTGTTTTATTCCCAAGCACCTTGGAGATTGTGCGATACGTCAGGGCGGTACAATTCCCGTTCCATCGCTGTTATCGCCATTTTGTGCTACTCATGACCATGACGATCTGATTCACCAATGGGAAAACTCGTACTCGGATTACTCGTAACAGCGCTGATTAAGTATTTGTCCGTGGAGAGCTCCATACTCAGTATGTGTGACATTGACATGACCTTGAGCGACAAACCTCGTCGATCTTACGTTTCTCTGCAGATTTCTGTTGGCCTTATAAAGATGTCACGGTGCCGCGTCCCGATGGTTCAGGCAGCAGCTCTGCCAAGCAGTTACTCGGTAATTGTGACGGTGACCTTTCTTGCATATGGTAGTGGCGTGGGTGAAAAGTACATTGGTATGGTTGTGCAGGAAAGGGAACCTGTTATCAGAGCGCTGATGAAGCGGCGTGCAAAGCCAAGAACTATTCGGTATCGTGGAGTAATTTGGCGTGCGATACGTGTAATAAGGATAGCGAATTTTGCTGTTGGAGCCCCACGCCACCGTCTGATATGCCAGGTATGGTGATGGATTTTTCAGATGTAGAACTGCAATACTTTTTACAGCATAAAACAACTGGTTTTTGAACTATTCTAAGCTTTTGAAACCTACGTTTTCTAAAATAATTTCCCGCTTTCTAAAAATTCATTTTTTTTGGAAATGTTTCATTTCATTTTAGTTTTACCTCATATAAATAAATATCAAAGCGATCTAATGGCATTACGCGAGCTGGTATTATTTGTGCGAGTTTATTTGGGGCAAATTTGATAACGCTTTTCCGTTAATCGATTTTGTCTAACGTATCGCTTAAAGTTTTACGTGATCCGTGCAAATGTTTCCAAATGTTATGCGCTTTGAACAGACTTAAGTTAACTAAATTTTAATTTAGTCTGCGTACATTCTATAGCATGCAAGAATCAATGATAAATAGACGATAAATCGACGATATCGATGCATTTTAGGCCAGACTTCATAATCCCAGCAAAATCTCAATACTGTCTTACTATAAACAGATTAAGACGGAATTTTAAGTACAGTTCTGTACAGACGGAATTTTAAGTTTTCTCAGTTTATTTTAAAAGGAAGTTGAGCGTAAGCGCTGAAACACACTGTTAAGTACAGAACAATAAGCAGAATCATTTTGATAAACTGTTTTCGCAGATCCGCCCAAGACCTGCCCGGTGGCGCACAAAATTCCCTACGTCATTGACGCTCTTTCGTCCACTTGCGGGAAGGCCCCACTGAATCCCAAAGCACCGAAATACTGCTACATGGCACAGATCGGTTTCTTAGGACGCTACGCCAACGGTAGCGACAACTGGATCGAACTGGGCAACGCTCCCCAACCACGCAATCAATCACACGTCGGCGTGATCGTATCCGACCGGCTGGTTCTCAGCACCAGTGCCAGCGGAACTGACACAGCTGCCGGAATGTAAGGTCACCTCGACGTACAGACTTCTTCGTGACGAAAGCATCTCTGCTTACGCACATTCAGTCGTACATTGGAAAAGTTTAGTGCTATAAAAATTAGATTGTTATCCTACAAATTAGTCTTTTGTAACACAAGATGCGTACCAGTGTATTAGTGTAATACTTTTAATTTACTTATTTTAGTAATTTATTTTTAATTTAATTTTAAGAGTGATTTTTTAAAATTTTTGTCTTTAATCTTATTTTTGATTACTGTATAAATAGTTAATCAATGCTTAACCAGATACTATATAAATATTACTATATTACCAATACCAATAAATATTACCAATTACTATATATAGCTATTTTAACTTATTTCTTAATAACGGGAGACAGCCGCTCCACGCGTTTTCTGTTCAACATGAGAATGCTCAGAATATTTTAGGTACCATTCCTTTCTGTTTTAATTGGAAAGGATTTATTTTTCTTTTTTATGTGTCTCAACATGCGCACGAAGCGCAGCGCCATTCTTAGATTTCAGTGAAGTCACTTGCACATCTTTTACTTACTATTATGAATAATCTGCTAGAAAAAGCACCACCGATTCGTTTTTTAGTTGGGAAATGTACGGCGCAATCGCGGGCACTGACACCCGCCTGGCCGTGAAAATTAACGGTAAGCATTTCCCCGTGAAAGACATCCACATCCAGGCCGCCACCGGACCTAACCGACAAAGCCGCCTATTCGTTCTGGAACTATACGATAAGATCGACTTGATCAGCGACGCGTGCCCGGTGTGTTTCGGCAACATGACCGGCGTCATTCCCATGTCCAACCGTCCGTACTACGAATTCGGGGCCCACAAGGCGACATACCACGGGAAATGCGAGCTGGTCGGCCGGAAACCGGAGTTGTGGCATGCCCCGTTCACGTACCATGACTGCGATAAGGATTTCTACGGGATTGATAGCGCCGTGTGGAATCTGCATACATGTATCAGTGAGCTGAAGAATCCGGCGTACGGCACGGCGCCGTATAGCGATGAAGCCAATAAGGTCACGCTGAGCTCCATGGAGTTTTGTACAGGCGATCCGGAATGGAATTACTGCATGGTATAGTTTGGAATTCGCTTTACTTTTGGTCAAGCCACACTAAATAATCTGTTATTTGTTTGCAGTGGGATTTGGGATCCGCGCTGTAAGTCTTCGATTTGCTCGATCTGATCTGCTGTTTAAGGCGTAACGGTTGTAGTGTATGCCACGATACACCGACGTCCAAACCAAGACTCGTGGGACTGCAGTTTAGCAGCCAATGCGGATGTAAGTCAAGCTTGCTTTTCAAGAACTATGTCAAGATTTTAATCGATCTGTACTTTAGTTAACTACCAGTTCGGAGCGCTGATGGAGGATGTCATTGATCTGGACTGGCTCAACGAAATCTTGCCGAAGCGTAAACAATAAACCGTACATATCGAGCTTCGATAAAAAATTATTATATGCGTCTGCTACAGCGACCGTGGAACCCACGACCGTAACGCCACCTGGAGACCAATCCAGCACGAGTTCTATATTGGGCGGCGGTTCGGATGCTACCAAAGGACCGCTGCCTCCCGGACCTCCAACACCGCCACCAAAACCCAAATGTAAGTTATGACGTTATTCCTCTGTCTTGATTTTTGAAGAGAAAGATTGACGAATTACAAATTTTCAGGCGAACTGGTGGTCCAGAATAAGTACTCCCAGGAGATACCCGACCGCGGCGTCGTTACCATTACCATTCCAACCCGAACCGGTCCCACAGTGGACTCTGTCTTGGCGGTGTGGATGCAGAAATCGGGATCTATTCGGGTACTACATGTGAATACCTTCTCTTGCTAATGAACACAGGACGGAACAATTCGTAACAGGGTCCGCTGCCGCCCAGCGACGCCACCCTGTGCCAGAACTACGCATTCACTATTACACGGATGGATAGTAAGCAAAAGTGCGGGATCGAGGATGTGATACGGCACAGTGCGATCCTGGATGTCTTTGGCACGAAGCCCTCGTCCGACGCGTGTACGGTGCAGTGTTATAACGGCACGCAGGAGAGTTGTGGACCCTTCAAGTACTGGCTGGAAGCGCGACCAACACCGGCTGATGCGGCACGGGAACCAGACGTCTATGTACCGGCTTCCATGATTTACTGGGTAATTTATTAGTTACGTACATTATTCAGGTTTTCTCAAAAAGAGAAAAAATGGTTAATTAAACAAATTTTAACCTGATCGCGTACATAACAGGCGCGGATCGATTATACACCACCAGGACCCTTACCGCAACCGCCGGATTCGCGAAAATGTATGTCCTAAACCTATTGCATGTATAATATGTGTTGTAGCATTTAACCGCATTTAACTTAGGGAGTTTTGAGAATTTGAAAGGTCAGGATGAGGCGGGATATGTTGCAGCTGTACTATAAAATTTTGCTGAAAGCGTTTTATTATACTGTAGGCGTCATCGCGTTGGCGGAGTTAAATCAACGCGGCCGACTATCGGAAGGCGAAACAATAACGGTCACCATTCCAAAAACCGGCCCATTGAACAACACATTGCTCGTAGCTTGGATGGAACGCGCGGGGAGCGATAGGGTTAGAGTATCTTTCTCGGTTTACTAGTAGTTTTTCCACGCTCGAAAGGTCATCGCGCACGTAACCGGTTCTTTGTTTAGGAATTGTGCGACCATTATAACTTTAACAACCGTTTCCTGCGCCTGGTTAAACGTGCTGCGAAGGATTCGTGCGTAGTGGAGAGCCGAGTGGACTACACACCCCACGGTGCCGTTTTCAACCTCAACGTCCAACCGGGAGCGTGTGCGCAGCGATGCTATGAAGAGGGAGCGTGCGGACCCTATGAGTTCACCATGGAAGCCACACCCCCCGTGGCAGAAAGCACCGCCTTCCCGCTGGAGTTTGTCCGTGATGCGCGGCAGTATTTCGTAAGTGGTTGCAGCTTTGCAGTTACTTGCAGCTTATTCTGTAAGCTGCTTCTCATTGAGCTGGTTTTATAAAGGTCAAGTTTGAGAGAACGTTGTCAGCGCCATCATCAACCTCTTCACTGTCACCAACGACCACGTCGTTATCCCAAACTGTTTCGACCATAGATGCTCACCCGAGCAAACGTAAGGTCACGAAATATGATGAAAAACTCCGCGTGAATGTTTGTAAGGTCTAAATACGTGTAGCGACTGCCGCGCCACCTGGTACAAGCAGTGCCAAGCCCTCTGCAACAACGTCCACTGGCGGCTCAACGATCTCTACCCCATCACCGCTTAAACGAAAATGTGAGCATCCAGAAAAACAGTCAGCGATGAATAGTTAATTCTGTGGGTTTTTTTAGGCGAATTAGTAGCCGTGAATAAATTCTCGGCGCACGTCCCCCACCGCGGTGTGATCACGGTTACCGTCCCGCAGAACGGTCCCGTACAGGACACCATCCTGACCGCCTGGATGCAGAAATCCGGATCTGTCCGCGTACGAGCAAATTTTCTCGGGCTTCGGAAAATTCACGCGCAGAAGAATTCTTTTCCAGGGTCTCACGCCACCCGCTGCCGACGATCTGTGCGGGAACTACACTTTCACCTTGGTTCCGATGACCGACGGCCAGTCGTGTAGTATGGAGGAAGTTCTGGAGCAAAGCGATATATCCACGACCTTTGGAACAATTCCACTGAGAGGGGACGCTTGCACCAGCAAATGCTACTACGCCGACCCCGGACTTTCGGGGATGGAACCGCGGGATGCCGGGGAAGCCTGTGGACCGCTGAAGTACTGGTTAGAAGCGCAGCCGGCGGCGTGGGATGCGGCACGGGAGCCGGATGTCTACGTTACGACCGGGATGTTGTACTGGGTTCGTTAGGTCTTTCGAGTGGTGAGTTTGGTGCGGATAGGTGCGTGATCGGTGTTATTTTAGGTACGGATTGATTACAAGCCGACCAAACCATGGCCGAACGTACCGAAGCATCCTCCATGTAAGTTTTTGCCGCTTCTAGACAACATTACGATGAAATTTCCGAAAACGGTTTCTTGGTAAGAGGGGTGAGGACCTTGGCCGAGGCCATCAGTCCTCAAAGTCAAACAATTGTTTTCGTCAAAAACTGAGCTTGAGCCATTAAGGCGTTGGGAACATACCTTATACCAACCCTATTGAATTATACTTAAAATGTACAACCTTATTGCTTGCAAACTTTTTAACGGGCGTCAATTTAGGCGTCCTCGGTATGACTGATAATCAGAACGTCAATCTACCGGAGAACGGTAACGTTACCATCAAGATCCCGAAAACCGGGCCGTTGAATGAGACATTAGTCTGGGCGTGGATGGAGCGGGATCTTGGCAGCAGTGATGGAAAGAAGGTATGCTCAACTTGACAACTGAGCAGTGTTGCAAGAAGGACTTTCTAACCGGTCGTCAACTACTGGTAGGATTACTGTACCAATTACAATTTTAACAACCGATTCCTGCGACGGATGCGAGACACAAGCGAAACCTGTGTCATGGAGGCACGACAGTATTACACCGACGAAGCGGTACATTTCCATGTCAACATCGAGGCGGGATCGTGCGCGCAACGCTGCTATGAGCAAGGAGAGTGCGGACCATACGAGTTGGCCATGGAAGCCGTGCCGCCCATGGCGCATAATCACATCACACCCGGACAATTTGTCCGCGACGAGCGGAGATATTTCGTAAGACGACATCTTGGCATTAAATGGTCTAATTCTCGACCGAGTACTATACAAAGCCAGAACCTTATTGGGAAAATATTCGAACGGTTACACATGCACACGATCTTGATTAATCGTGTAGGTGAAGTTCGATCCTGAAAAGCGAGATTTCCTGACCACTTCCGCTACACCGTCCACACTGACTCCGAGCAGAGACAAATGTACGAAAAGCATCCACATCAATCAAATCGTTTATTCCGCGTAATTATTCGTTGCAGAAACTTAGATCTATAATGTCGTTTTGTGCATTGCAGGCCGTATGGTCGTAGAGCAAGGTTTCGATCAGACCGTTATCAACCCCAAAGATCCCATCGTGATCCTGCTGGATGCCGGCTGGGACGGGGAAGAAGTGGTCGCCACAATGTTGACTGCGGACCGAGTATACCAGCGCTTCATCTCAATGACGTTCCCGCATGCTGATTGGCTGTCTTGACAGGTGGTCTGTCCTAACTACAAGTACAGCTCGACCGCGACGAACACCGTCACCAATCAGCTGCCCACGTGCGAACCGGCGGATCAGGAAGCCAATACGGCGCAGCGGGACGGAATGATGCTGGTGATGCACATGAATAAACCCCTGACCTGTGCGCAGCGGTGTTTGAAAGGGGAAGCGGCGGGATGTGGGCCGTTTGCCTTCAACTTGCTGGCCACACCGGATAAAGTGACGACCAACCGCGGTGTTGGAAGCGAAACGATTACGGTACGTTAACGAATGTGGAAGTGGAAAACCTTTTCCCTGTTCTCAGAGGACTATTTCGAATGACAATTATATCTAAATTTTAATCGAAATCTGTGGCGACTGAGCAAACTGTAATCAGATTGTTCTGTATTACCTACGTAAACCGAAAGGTCACTTGGTATATACCCGTCGCTTTAGGAGACGATTTTTCCGCTCAAGCAGAAGCGTCTTGTTTTCAGCGTTCAATATGCAAAGTTGTACCAGAAAGTCAGTAAATACAGGCATGTTAACCTAAACAGAAAGAGCATAATTACAGTATATTCGTCCCTTTGTCTGTTTTTGCGCGCATACTACAGGAGAGCACAAACGGTTTCTTAATCTCAGTCGAAAGGGTTTTATTTTGCGCGACAACAGATCGTATACAAAGTTCGGCAACCGACGACGAGTTCCACGGCTACGACGACAACTACTCGACTGCCTGCGACAACAACAACATCAACAACAACAACAACCACATCCACCACATCGTTACCGGCAACAAGCGCATCGACAACCAAACTGACCACAACCGCTCTGTCCACAACAACCGCCGGAAACAGATGTACGTGATAGACGATTACAATAAATAAGTTGTATTGAAATATCGTGGAGGTTTTCGCCGCTTACAAATGGACAATTTATCTTCCTAGGCAAAATGTTGCTGGAACTAGGCGCTTTTGACCAGACACCCATCGACCCTGGCGAGCCCCTCATCCTCCCGCTGACGGCAGATCTGGAATCCGAAACATTTTACGCGACCATGACTATGAACAATCAGGTACTTCGGACACCGGCTCGTTTGTGCAGGAATCTTTCGTTAACGCCTGGAATTTGTGCTCTAGGTCTGTCGCAAGTACGATTACGCCATCACCGACACGCGCTACTCTAGTCAGCAGCCGGCGTCCTGTGAAGCCATGTATCCGTTCCTCAGCACATCGGTGCAGGACGGATTATCGGCGTACATCGGGGATGATGCGCCGACGTCCTGCGCACGCAAGTGTTTTAACGGCGTGACCAGTGCGTGCGGTCCTTTGCTGGTGACAATCATGGCGACGCCCGATCAAGTGACGCCATCGCGTCCCGTCGAAAAGCAAACCGTTACGGTAAGGAATAACCGAGAACCCCGTTTAGAGATCGATTTTGTGGATGATCCGCTGAGGTGTTTAGATCATCTTCCAACTTCCGACGACAACGGGACCTACCACGACCACGATGTTAACTACCACCACAACTGCCACAACAAGCACGGGCAGAACGACGAGTGAAACCACGTCGGCTTCGACCGCGACGCCATCAACAAGCCAGAGCACAGTAAGTTCAAGTAGCTTTGGGCCAACAGCGCTGCCACCCGGTCCCGAAACACCGACGGTACCAACTGGGTCCAGTACGGGCGCAACGGTAACTCCCTCGACTGCGAGTGCCGCCACTTCGTCACCGGTTCCCAGTAGCACGGCTTCCCCGACCACATCAACACCGGTACCCACGCCGTCCAGCGCAAAGCCGACCACGGTGACGGTGTTACCGTCAACGGAGAGCACTACCACCCCAACGCCGACTACCGATAGCACGACCACATCGACGTCACCGACCACGTCTGCAAGTGCCGCTACAACGTCACAAACGACTAGCAGTAGCAGTACGACACCAACCACTACAAGTACCACCACTATGATGCCAACGACTGCAAGTACCACAACTACAACACCCACAACGACAAGTGCCACCACCACAACCCCGACGACTACCAGCACCACCACTACGACACCAACTACTACAAGTACCACAACTACGACACCCACAACGACAAGTACCACAACGACAAGTACCACAACGCCAACGACTACCAGTACCACAACGCCTACCAGTACCACCACTACGATACCATCGACTACAAGTAGCAACATGACGGCGACCCCGACTACGAGTTCCACTACTGCGACACCAAGTACTACCAGTACCACTACTACAACTTCAACTACGTTGTCAACCGGTACCACACCAGCACTGACGCCACCGACTGAGACGGCCACCACATCAACCTCCACCACTGCGTCACCATCGCCGTCTCGGTCGACCACCACCACTCCGGCCGTATCATCCAGCTCCGAAAGCACTCCCGGTCCCGTGCCACCAAATCCACCGTCCACACCTTCCCGCGGACCGGACACTACGCCAACGGGATCATCGGTAACGTCCACAAGTCCGGTGCCAAGTTCCACATCGAGCGCCACAACGTCCAGTTCGGTTCCGGTCCCACCCGGTCCCGGTTCTTCGACCAGCATTGCGCCAGCACCGTCCACGGTGTCGCCATTGACCTCCGGATCAACGAGCACGACAGGCCCGGTGCCATCTGGATCGCCGAGTGGGGGAACGAGTGCTGCTCCCTACACCACGAAGGATCCAATGTCATGTACGCAACATTGCCCGTCCTCGCAATAACAGAACGGATACAGTCAAACAGACAAGGACTGTGTTTTGTAGGCGAAGTGTCTATGGACGCCGTTGGTAATAGTGCAAAGGACGGCATGATGTTCGTCGACATCCAGCCAACCGGTCCGCAGGAAAACGGTTTACCGTTGGCATTATGGTCAATGCGACGCCATGGTTCCAGGGCAAGTCACGTCCTACTATACATGTGCTCGCAATACGAACACTTAATTTATACCTTTCACGGGTTCACCGCTAACTGAACAGCAAAAATAAATATTTATATTTCCAGCGAATTTGCTCTGGGTATCGGTTCCAGCTGTTAAGCGACATCTCCACCACCGGCTGCGAGCTGGGCACCATGATGGAGGGTTCGCCGTTCTTCGAGCAGGGCTGGATGATCAGCAAATCCCTCATATCCAGCAGCAACTGCGCGCTGCGCTGTTTCCGGGGTGAACGACAGCATTGTGGCCCGCTGGTGTATCCCGTCGGAATAACGCCGCCGTTTGCTGCTCCGTTAATCCGCAGATTTCTTAACGTACGTATTTAACCTGCAGTTTAAAACAACAGATTTCCGCATCCGCTACGGAATTTTGTGCAAAGCGCAGCAAGTGATTCTGAGCGTACAGAGCGTAATCACCCAGTAGGAGTCGATGCGACGAAGGTAAACCCGGAAACCGGTTTTCTAAACGAAAAACGGTTTCAGTGGTTTAAACGGTTTAAAGAATAGTTTTCTCGTTTGACTAAAGAACATTTTACTCGCGCAATCAAAAGTGCTGATGTGTTGCAGGTGACCTATCGCCCACCGTCACCGGATGCGCCAGTCATTGCCAACCTTTCAGACTGTTAGTCGACTATTTCTTCATTCAGTCTAATTTGATTGGAACTCTCGAGCGCGACCGTGTCAACACGCCACTGATATTTATTAAACTTTCAGGCCGATATTTCGTTGTCAGCCCGTTAGGCGAAAATCTAAATTCCACCACCAGTACAACAGTGAATTTTGCTGTGCCCCTGCCAGCGGATGGACTGGGTTCCGGGTTAACGCTCTTCACCGCCGCTATGAAGAAGACCGTCGAGGTATATTCAAAATCTCCGATAGTCTAAGAAACCTAAGAAATCTAACAAACCAAGAAACCACACATACGCACTTTCGCATTCAGCCGTACAGTTTAACAAACACTGTAATTTTTAGTGTGGCTCCCTAAATTCTAATTTATATGATATGCGAGTAGCGCTGGTAGATAGCCTAATCATTATTGCGGTAATCCAACAATTATTCTGTACAGGGGCCGTTCTGTCTGGACTACACGTACAGCCAGACCAGCGTCTCCACCAGCAACGGCTGTTCGCTGGGCCAACTGAGACCGATCGGCTACTGGCCGGGCGTACAGTTCGCCGCGGATACGCAGTCGACGTGCGCTGTACAGTGCTACAACGGGATCACCGCCAGCTGTGGTCCCCATATCGTCACCATAGTGGCACGCCCCAATCCCGGTACTATCAACGGATTGGAGAGCTGGTCAACGATTACGGTAGGTAGCCATCCATACGGAAAACCTGCTACTGTGAACTTTACAAATGCTCATTACACTAGATGACGTTTACCCCTCCCGAAGTGACGACTGGTACCACCACGACCACAGTAGCAACGACTTCAACGACGATGTCCCCTGCGACTACAAGTACCTCTACCACGACGCCAGCGACTACCAGTACCACTGCTCTTATAGCGTCCACAACGTGGCCAGCTCCATCCAGCACTACCGGCACCACGAGTGCTGTTTCCACAACCACGATTGACCCCATGTCGTGTACGTAAATTGGTCGATCTTCGTATAATGGAATGGGTAGAGACAAGATTTGTGCTATACAGGCCAAGCGTCCATGGATCGCCTTGGAAACGTTGTTATAGACGGCATAATGGTAATCGATATCCAGCCAACCGGTCCGCCAGAAAGCGGTATACCGCTGGCATTGTGGTCGATGCGACGCTATCGTTCCCAGGCAAGTCACATATAAATAGAATGTGCTCCTGTTACTGTGATTGCATAAGCTACCAGAGAAATTCCGTACAATGCAACCACCAATGGAATGTTTGTCCAACCTTTTCACGATTCACAGTACAGGCCACAGCATACATTACGCACCTGTACAAATACAAAATTTTTCCGACAGTAAAATACCAGACTGCATTTCCAGTAAGATATTAGCTCGTATGCCGTTTTTGGTGGTATGTTCTTGTGCAGCGAGTGTCAAACGCTGTACACTATCGTTACCTTTGCGCTGTAAATTTTTTCCTGATTATTTAATGTGACCTTTTCTAGTCCGATACGCAATAAATAGGTTTGGTTAAAATATGAAAACAAGTGTTTATTTTGCAGCAACTTTGCTCGGGTTATCGGTTTGAGCTGCTGAGCAGCATTTCCATCACCGGTTGCGAGCTGGGCACACTGATGACGGGTTCGCCGTTCGTCGAGCAAGGCTGGGTCAGCAGCAAATCGCTAATGTCCAACGGCAACTGTGCGCTGCGCTGTTTCCGGGGCGAACGACAGCATTGTGGCCCTTTCATGTACCCTATCGCAATTACGCCGCCGGTTGTTGCTCCGCTGATCCGAAGATCGTTTAACGTACGTCAACGTCCGATTTAGAATATTCCGCTTCCACAAAATAATACGGCATAGTACTGCATAAAACGGAGCCAGACGATTATCTGCTCATTCAAAGTGGATGCATGTCATGCGATATAGCCGGGTGAATCGGGAACCGATTTCTGTTTGTTAAACTGAAACAGTTTTATTGTGTGATCAAAATGTGCCTCGGCTTAGCTACTAAAATGTTATTTAGCTAGTCTGGTGGAACTATGGAACGGTTTTTTGTCTTAATTTGTATTGTGTGCCCCGTGATAATGAATTAATGATTACGCCACAAGGTATACCGTTTGCAGGTGACCTATCGTCCGCCGCCACCGGATTCGCCGGCCATTGCTGACCTCTCTGACTGTCAGTCGGGTTTGATGTGCTTCTAACTGAGATATTTTTATAATAAATAAACCATAGCTCAATTTAGAAGGATGAGATTCCAGTTACCGCTAATTTCGACCTTCACTTTCAGGCATATACTTCGTCGTACTGCCGTTAGGCGAACACCGAAATGCCACCGGCCATCCCACAGTGAGTTTCGATGTCCCACTGCCATCTGAAGGACTAGGTGCTGGGTTAACGCTCTTCACCGCCGCTGTGAAGAAGACCCCCAAGGTGTGTTCAGAATTTTGCTTCTCGAAGAAACCAAAGAAATCAGAGAAACTGAGAGACCACGTTTACTGTCCCACAGAGTCATTTCGTTTAACAACCATTGGTATTCTCCAAACTATATTATACGAGTAGCACAGGCGTGCATCCTACTAATTATTGCACTTATCAAAATTATTATCAAAATTCTTATTCTACAGGGGCAGTACTGTTTGGACTACACGTACAGCTTGGTCAGCATCGAGACCAACGATGGGTGCTCGTTGGGCCAACTGAAGCCCATCGGCTCCTGGCCAGGCGTACAGTTCACCGCGGATACGCAGTCCACGTGCGCTGTACAGTGCTACTATGGAGTCACCGCCAGCTGTGGTCCACATGTGGTAACTGTCATGGCGATCCGCAATCCGGATACTATCGGCGGAATCGAGGGCACGGCAACGGTTACGGTGGGGACTACTTTTCATACGAAAGCACGTTGACTTTTCAATACAGGAATCTGTACTGTATTAGATAATGTTCACCCCTCCCCCGGTGACGGTTAGCCCCATTACCACGACGATAGCAACAACTTCGACAAGTACTACAACTCCCGCGAGTACGACGACAACGACGCCCACGACTACGACAACGACAACTACGCCCACAACAACGACAACTACAACCGCGCCCACAACAACGACAACCACGCCCACAACAACGACAACTATAACCACGCCCACAACAACGACATCGACGCCTACGACAACAGCAACCACGCCCACAACAACGACAACCACGCCCACGACAACCACGACAACGACGACGATGCCAACGACTACAACGACACCGGCGCGAGCTACAACACCCTATCTTGGAGAATGTATGTTGAGATTGAAGATATCCTAATGAATATATTGATACGAGTAAATGATGGTCTTCAGCTTGAAGATTTCTGGTCCAATTTTCAGGCGAAATAACCGTTGACCCGTTTGGCGCGCCCATGGGTCCGTCGTCGAAAGGGGCCGCCGTGCCGCTCATCAAACCGACCATTCCCCGCGAAGGAGCCGTTAAAGGGTTCGCGCTGTTCCAGATTGTCATGCGGCGTAACGGTCCTGGCAAGGTACGTATACAGTACCGATACAATTTAAGATAAATCGATCCGCTTTCCATTCCATCAAATATTACGGCCATGACAAGGGCTCACACAAAGCGTGCGCATGCGAGAAACGGTTTTTAACAAGAAATGCGGTTTTTAACAAGGAAAGCAGTTTTTAACAAGGAAGGCAAATTGTAGGAATACTGCCCCGAATATGGTTATTGGCCAATTACATGGACATCCGCACCATCCTGCTATCCCGGCAACTTCCGGGCCCCAGCGGCTACCTGGGGCTTCGACGGAATCGCCTTCACTAGCCGCACTTTGCTGCAATCGCAAAAGCAAAAAAGCTGCGCGGAGGAATGCTACGATGGCAGAGACGCGTCGTGTCGCGGTATCAGTTTTTTTATTACGATTACGGGAGGAACAGCCAATGTCACTAAAGAAGTTCAGGTACATCGGGTCGCTGTGTAGAAATCGGGGAAATATTTTTTTACTTTCGGCGTTTGCAGATCGAGTTCATTGATCCCCCGCACTACACCCAACCGGACAATTCTGGATGTGAGGACCTTCGATTTCCGTTGCATCAGATCCGGTTCTTCCGGTTCTGAACAACTCTTTTACTTTTTAGGTTTCCCACAGGCACCTCATGTTGCCTTCTGGCACACCAGCTTCAACTCCGGCGAGTTCATCATTGTCAGCTACCCCGCTAATACCATCACGGTGCCGGTGTTCCACGTGGCGCTACGGAAATCCTCCAATGTAAACCTGTTTCGTCACATAAAATGCAGGATTTACTAAACTGAATGATTGATGCGATATTTGTAGGTCTTCTGCCGTGGTTACAACTTCACCGTTACCGTGACCTCTCCGGTGGTGTGTACTCTCGGCTCGCTGATGAATCTCAATCCCGAACTCTCGTTGGAAGGCGCAACGTTCATGCTGCAGAAAATGTGCGCGGCGCCGGACTGCAGTAATTTTTGTATGCAACAGTGTGTCAACGGGATCCAGGGTGCATGTGGCAACCACACGGTGACGGTGACAGCCTACCCGCCTCCGGGAACCGGTGGACAAGGCGTTATCTGGAATGTTGTGTTGTACTTGAGTAAAACGCTGACCGGGTCCACCACGTCCGCGCTGCCCATGTCGTCCACGATGTCATCCACAACGACAACGACAACGGTCGCAAAAACGACGACAGTGGATCCTAATATTCCAACGGAATACATTGGCTGTATGTGACAAACTATCTCAATTAGCTAAATGTGCATCCAGTGCAGCACAAAACAGTAGAAGCATCGTTTTAACGCATAGTGCGAAAACAAGGGCTTCTCTGCTCGAAACCAGTGCTGGCAATTTCTACAAACTAATATCGTTTCTTGACCGCGAACCGAGTGGCCGATTTCTGCATTTTTGGTCATTCATTGTGCACGCTATCAGTGACTATGACTGTCGATGATTAATGTGATCTAATATAGGCGAGACATATCTGGATCCTTTGGGAAATAATTACACCGCCACCAGTGACGTGGACGGGGCGTTAATTAATGGGATGCTGAGCGTGGAAATTCCGGCGAACAACCCCGGGGGACTCCCGCTATTTGTCATCTCCATGCGGAATGACCGGGTACGATGCGTTGGCTGTTTGTTTTATGGCGACAGTAATCGAGCCAAGCGAGGGTAATAATATAAAGCGCATTGCAGGGGATTTGTCCGGGATACCGCTTTCAGCAGGACCCAAACCCACCCATCGGCTGCTTTATGGGCTCACTGATGGAAGGACTACCGTATCCGGAGCAAGGCCGCATGTGGACTAATTCATGGGGGGCCATGGGCGGTTGTGCGCAGTCCTGCTACCAGAACGACACGAAATACTGTGGCCCGCTCGCCGTGCCGATCAACATCACGCCACCCTATAAAGCCCCGAAAATCCGTCGGGTGATCTCGGTGAGTGTCGCCTGTATAAACCAGTGGTGTAAGCATTTCACCGCAAACGATGCGATTGCGAATGTCTGCTTAGGTAACATTCCGGCCGAAACTGATCGTGACACAAGGACTACCCGGCCTTCCAGCGGACATAGCTGGATGTAAGTTCAGCCGTACATCAAGTGCTTTTAATAATAAAAAATAGACTGACCAATATTTGCGTAAAATACTTTATAAAAAATGATACATGCGCCGGGGATTGTAAGAAAATTTCCGAAATCGAGACGAACCAAACAAAGTCTGTAGTCAGCTGAATCAAATAGGTTTGCATATTTTTATCATCTTCATTCATTTCTGTCGTCAATTAATTCAACATATAACGGCGTCACTGAATGTGATTTAGTTGAAATACAGAGTACTGTATGCAAAAGTAAATTGTAAGTATTGAATGTTAAACACTCAATAACTGAATAAACCATGTAACGGCAGGTCGGCTGGTAATCGCCGAAGGTCCCAAGACAATCGTCACCAGTACTACGCCTTTAACGCTTGACATCATCGTCCCTCGCGATCCCGGACCGGTCGACGTGTTCATTTTCCATGCCTTTATGCGCCGCGGCCGAAATGTAAGTAGGATTGTGCAGCGCCCATACCTTTTCGACATTTCCATTCACGGTGTCTACCGATTGCGCAGGGCACGATCTGTAAGGAGTATGACTGGAGTGTGGATGTCAAGACCAACGTCTCCTGCTATGTGGGCGACATGGTTTTAATATATGCCTGGTATGGCATTAACTACCGCCCGGCGTCATACACGGGGATGGACTGTGTAACGCAGTGCCAACGGAACGTTCCCGGCGCTTGTGGACCGCATAACGTGTGGGTCCAAGGGAAACCCGGTGCAGGAACGGTGTACGGGGAGACGGGCCGGCAGGTTGTCATTGTAAGTTCACGCCTATGATTATGCGGTATGTGTTGACCATGGGTTACCAACGTTATTGTAGATTAACTACGTGCGCAACGGAACAGTCACTAGCGCTCGCCCAACGATCACTACAACAACAACGACCCCAACAACCACAGCAACGACAAGAACAACAACAACAACGCGACCAGCCCCGGTTTATATCCCGACACCAGCGCCATCGCCACCACAACCACCTCCGCCCCCGCCACCAGTATGGACAGTCGCGCCAGTTCCCCCGCCACAACCATGGCCACCTTATCCTTATCCACCCAGTCCGTCACCACCGGGACCGTCGCCACCCGGTGGATTCGATTACAGCAGCTGTACGCTGAATATCAAACAACACTGACTTTCACCAGATGTACTGTAATGTGACTGTTCAACAGGTCGCCTGAACTTTGATGTCTTGGGCAATCAGCTCACGAACTCGAACGGCTTCGAGATGATTAATGCATACATTCCGCGGGAAGGACCGCCGGCGGTCGGTTTGCCGCTGTTTAGTGTGGCCATGCGTTACGGTGTATTCGATCAGGTTTGTAACAGTCTACTTATTGAATTTTGGACATGATAAGCTACTTCTACAAGCCGAATGATTAATTTCTTGCGTAAAGGTACTGTTAAGATAAGCGCCATGCTGCCTCTTTGAAATCAGCCACTACAACGCAGTTGTCGCAATGGTAAATCTAATTATACGAGGAGGTATACTTCAGAGTCAGTAACGGTACCACTGCGTCTAGTCGACCTTTTTTCCCGCACAATGTCTGAATATAAAAAAACACATTGCCGTTTTATTTTAACGCGTACTTTGGTTCTTCTCCTGTTAGATTTATCATTGAATTCTTGATCGGCCGACCGACTGGTAGATCCTTCCTTTTTAATCTTTCACTTTGACCGGTTACCGTAAGCAGTAGACGGGCTGCGATTTTCGTGTAGATAAAGAATATACTATTATCCTTTCCATGCGTCAGTCCGTCATTTAGCAATCAGCATAATGATGTTGTTTCTGGAGAGGCGGTGGCATGTTCTGTGATTGCAGGCAATCTGTCCGGGATTCACCTTCACATTCCAGCAGCGCCACAATCGCAACCCCTGCTCGTTGAGCAACCTCTTCGATGACCGGCGTCTGTATGTTGGGAAAGCATGGGTCACCACGCGTCCGCCACCCGAGAACCCCTCGCAGAACTGCGCCCAACTGTGCTACGACCGGACGCCGGCGGGCTTGTCGGGCTGCGGCGACCACGATGTGGTCCTCACCATCACGCCGCCGCCACAATACCCCAGTCTAGCCGAAACCCGGAACTTCAAGGTAGAAATTGTTTTGCAGGCGTGCGACAATAAATGATGTCAGCTGTCTTTAGGTGATGTTGACCCCGCCTGCTCCAGCCGATCGCCATCCGAAAGCCGACTTGCGTGGCTGTAAGTACCGCCGGGGTAAAGGCCGAGATAGGTTTCATGTATGTGAGTTTTGGGTTGCAGGTGAGACAGTTGTGGATCGTTTGGGCAATGGAGCTACAGTGAATCAATCATACCTCAGTTTTTACCAAATTGCGGGACTAGTGGCAGCGGACGGGCTGGTCGTGGTTGATCTTGTCTACAATGCCCCGAAAAGTCCGCTGCTGCTTTTCAACGTCGCCATGCAGAGAGGAAAATATGTACGTGATTCTTCCGTATACTGTACTTATCAGCGGCTTACCGGTATGCAGAAACATGAGACTTAGTACAAAAAGGGGAATAACGAGTGCACCCACCCTGATTTGGGTAAAATCGAGTTACGCCAATAACATAAAGTTATGACCGTTTACCACCAGATCGTAAAAATGATGAAACAAACATCTAAGATATAAAAATTTAAAATTCTTAAATCACAGAGCGTTTGCAGCTTGTAATACCGCAGCAGTTCTACCATGTGTTATCAGTGAACTTATTACAAATTAATACAATCTAACGCCAAAGGGTGAACTCGACCTCAAACAACAGAGTGGGTTCATTCGATATCCCTGCCCTTGTACAGTTGTACTGTAAACGGCAATTTTCTATTGCCATGTCAATATCTGTAGCCCATTGGCGCTTATATTTTCAAACCGCCTTCGGGCTTTGATTTCGCGTGGGGGAAGAGGTGGTCTTGTACTGCGAAGCAATTTAGATTCGGTCATACGATATTCGTTGTACATTTCGTAAAACGACCAACTAATCGTACAAAAATCAAAATCTATGTATGCAGAGGTTGTTTAATAACAGTTTCTCTTCTCCTGTCATTCGCTGACGAATAACATATTTCTGTTGGCCACCACAGGGAACCTACTGCATGAACTACCAGTACACCCACAACATCGTTTCCAACGGCGGCTGTTCCCTGGGTTATGCGGTCATCGGCTCCAACTGGTACCTCCCCGGCGTGCATGTGCGCGGCGACAATACCAACCCCAACGACTGTGCCACCCTGTGCAACAGCGGAAATCAAGCCGCCTGTGGCCTGCACACTGTCTCGATTACCGCTTATCCCCCGGATAATGACATCGGCGCTCTCATTGTCACAAAACGTGTCGATGTACGTCAGACGTGTGATGCCGTTTTGCCCGTAGCCGTTTAAAAGTGCCAGGCTGTACGTTTATTACCGTTTTAGGTGATATTTATCCGACCGGCGTCGGAACGAACGACACCACAACCGCCGCCTTGGCAGTATCCCCAGACACCGGCGCCCTCGCCACCTGGAGGACAAGGAACATGTACGATATCTCTAAAAAAAACTTTTGAATCATTTAGCATACGAAGAAAACTTTTTTTGGTATTGCGCCGCAAGGCGAACTAATTATGGTGAAACGACAATTGCTATTGGCTGTAGTGAAAATTCCTATTGGATATTGGTTGTGTCTAGAAAATAGATCTTATGTCTCGAAACCCAAGGGCGCTAATTGCATGGCGCTCTTTACGCTAATTTCAGTACATTTATGTAGCACGCTACTTTTTTACCTTGTTATTATCCACACCAGTAAAGAAATCTTGGCAGTGACCTTTCTGGCTTACAGGCGCCTGGTATCCCTCATTTGACGGTAACCTCTTCACGGTCAACGTTGTCCAAGGCCCGACTGACACCACGCTATTCCGCACCGCCGTGTATTACTTTGGACAAGTAAGTGTGATGCTGTACAAGCCTGTCCCGTAATTTCTATCGTAAAAGGTACAAATAGCGTAGTATTTGGCACGAAGTTTGCGCTGTGGACGATTGCTACTACGCTATGTCTACCACAACGGCAAATTTATTCCACGCAATATTTAAGGTGAAGGATATTAAGGTGCAGAAGGTAATGGCGCCGTAGTGTGGCGTTTGGCGTAACCCGTGAATTTGTATTTGCCCTTCGAATGGAAATTACGGGACAAGCTTGTACAATACTCGTGTCTGTCATACCACTGCCATGTGCTCCTTTCAATACATGGAAAAATGATTGATAGGTGTGCAGCGTCTATCAGTACAAAATCATCCGTGCTGATTGGTATAATCCCTCGAATTTCCGGGGTCCGTTGCCAGCCGAATGGGACTGTCTGCGGATCCTACCGCAGAGCGATGGAGCACAGGCGGTGAACAGTCTGTCCAATGATCCGTGCGCTCAACGCTGCTACCGGCAGCCGGAGTTCAACTGTCAGGTGTCATTTAAAATGGTGGCCTATGATCCTAACCCCAATAGTGCTATTCCTATCCTCACGCAGGAGTTCAAGGTACACATGCCATTGAATTCAACAAAGTCGTTAATTTATAATTTGCTTAGTATTATACATATATTAAGCTAGCCATTTTGATATATAGATATTTATTACTTCGACGTTTTTCACATTCCGGTCAGTTTCACATTTTTTGCGTATCGGACACCAGCTTATGCAGCTTTCATACCAGCTGGTACACGAGATTAATAAATAGTTTTTAAGTTGTTCAATTTGGAGCTACGCAGAGAACACCGTGTCTCTGGTGTGCGGTACGCGAATCCATAATGTGAAAGTGTCCGGAATACATATGCGAAAAACTTCTTCCAAAAGTCGGCTTGGGTTTCTAATTTCTCAGCCAGGGATTTTTTGGCTCTGCACTAACCAAATATGATACAGCACAGTAATGACGTCAGTTTACGTGTGATACTATCACGTGTCAAGCATCCTTAAACAGTGTTTTTAGTCGTCCATCCGTTTTGACAGCCTAACGTTGTAATTTACAGGTGGATTGGAGCAAATCGCCGTCCCTTGGCTAACTGGTTTAACAAGTTCTTGGTTGTGTTATCGCCGTTGTCGGCATTGGGTTCAACATGGATTTATGTTAGAAACTAACATCTCGGGAGACGATTGATCATTGAACAAAGGCGCAAACTGCAAAGACGTTGCTGTTGATCCCCTTTTAGTCACGCCGTTTCTCTCATAATAACGTGTGTTATATGATGCTGCTTTTACCGGTGTGTTAATCTATTTCCTTGGTTTCCCTCGATGCAGATGGGGATCGTACTGACATACGTAGTATTACAGTATTCGATGGTTGATGCTGTGGCTGTATTTAGAAGTCAGAATCACAGTGCCTTAACAGTAGCCCTATAACTTCAATTTTATGTGGAGACTGCATGGTTTCCTACGTTGTGTGTTAGGTATACACAGCTGTACCTGTAACAGTGTGTGAAAATTTCTTCAGCTATCAACGATTGATTCATCGCAATTTTATTTACTGCCGTGTAGAAACACATGTCCGCAATTTCAGTGTTCTTTTCAAAACAGGTTTTTGCGATATTCGAGGTACAGTTAGCAGGTCAACCGCCAAAGCACAAAAGCTCACGCAAAAAGCAAAACAAATATTTGGCTTGCTGCATTGATCAACTCTGACATTAGAGTAACTTACTAACTGATACTTTAACACTGGATACATCCACTACTCTAGAAAACAAGTTATTACTTTAAAACAGCAACCCAGCGCACAACATGTTACATATCTGAAGAACTGTTGAGTACATTAACAAACTGAAAAGGGTGCATCGCACTAGCAGCACGGACTGTCCACCTCCTTTTGTAAACACGGGCTCTGCAAAGAAGGCTGTTAGAAATTTGGCTAAAACCAATAAGTACATAAATGCAGAATGTCCTGTATTTGCGCAATTAACAACTTTATTTTGGCCATATTATAGGTACAATGTACAACAGCAGTAGCGGAAGTACCTTCCTTCGGCATCACTCCTTGATCGTTGCAGTTGGCCTTGTCTTCACAGGCGCATAATTCGATCTTTTTGGCATCGTCAGCATACCAGCAAGAATATATAGATTTCCGTGTTGTCGCATTAAACGTGGCGCGCTCACGGAAGTAGCGTATAATATTCATACATCCTCGAGCCATCACCGTCCCTAATAGAACAAATTACGGTAAAATTTATTTCGAGACTTTCGTGTACAGATACTTCTTGAGGTGACAATGTGCTCTTAAGGTCTTGCCAAAAAGTGATGTACGCAATACGACAGGATCGCGACAAACTTATCTACATGGCTGAAGTCTGTATCAGTGTAATCAACATATAAAAGGTCACTTCTAATGCCTACGTGGCTCAAAATAAGGCAAACAAAAACAAATAAAATATAATCATAATGAAAAACACAATTTCTCTACAGGGATCAGATCCACAATCCATAATTCAGACTTGAGTAGATATTACAAATTAAACATTTTAGGGAAACAGCGCGGTCAACAGCACGAGGAATAATTTGCACTTACTGTTATACATGACGGTGGCACAGCCGTAGCGCTCCACGATGCACCGAACAGACCTTGGCGTCACCGCATTCTCCGTGCACAGCGTCATGCTGCCCGCATTCTCGTATCCCGTCAAAAAATTCCTGAAATCCCGGTTGATAAACAGATTAGCGTCCGCTTTGGTTAGCTGCGGGCGGTCGGGATCGCGCGATGTCAGGGTCTCCACGTCGGAGAGACGAATGGATAGCTCCAGGGCGGTGTCGTTGGTGGCCACACATGCCAGACAAGTCGGCGGAGCGACAGATTGACACCGCACACCTGAAATCAAATTATACTGTTAAATACTTCGTGCCCAGCCAGATCCTTTTCCAAAATTAGTGGTTCTTGAATTTCTTAGGGTTCTTAGATTTGTTAGGGTTTTTTAAGGTTTCTTAGCGTTCCTTAAGGTTCTTAGAATTGAGGTTTTTTTAAAAGTTTTCTTTAGGATACGCACCGCGATCAAACAGCGGGATAAAGGTCACGAAGATGGCCCACAGTGTCCGCATGGGGAAGCACCGTCAAGACTGGCTGGACGAGATGGGAGCACATTTGTAGGGGGCCTGGATTGCACAGATTTAGGGCATATCGATCATGCTGTTGTTCGAATAATTATGGAATTTGTTGTTAGTACTCCCAATCGACCGCAGAGACAAAAACTGGTCACTTAAGATGCAGACTTGCTGTCTTCTGCAAAATTTTAACACAGATTACAGGTAGAGACTTGAAACACCAGACGCTTGTAGCAATGCTTGTAACAATGGTCAGTAATTTTTGCAAAGTCTAACATGCAAGCCTAAGTTTTTTGTCACTTAACAAAATTATCAGAAATCTAATGAATTAGTTAACCAATCTCGCTTCGTTGTACGAAAGTAATTTTCATAATAATATCGATATCTAAATCGGACACGCGACTTAAATGCAGTCCGAGTATTCTTGTACAGTACATCTACGTTAATCTACTTGTACATCTACGTTAACATACTTAGGCAAACACCAACAACAACAACAACTTACAACAACTTACAGTACTTACAGTGACAACAACTTACAGTACTTCTATGCAACAAACAACAACAACATACTTAGACCGGCTGAGTCGATAAAATTTAAAATACGACCTCGGTCACTTCAGAATATAATAAAGAAGTACAGTTCGTAGTACCTACTGTACGTACGATATACTGTAACCATCTTAATTTTCTCACTTTCCTCTCCATATATTCGGCGTACCGGGTGCATTAATATTGTATTATGCTTCGTCGTCAGAAAGTTAATACTTTACTGGTCTTGGCAGTGTTGGCCGGAACATCTGATGCGCAGCGCTTTCATCGGGATACCGATGTCTATGGACTCTCTGAATTCGTCCTGCCGGGTGTTGCTAATCCGTTCAACCTTTACCTCACCGTGGAATCACCGCTTGCCAAAGCCCGCTTACAGGAAATCTGTTTTCCGGTCAAAAAGCCGCTTACCGATGGCAGCGTAATGAACAGAGCTGAGCTCTTTAGAGTCAAAAGCTTTATCGATTTGACCAAGTTACGCAGATCTCCCGTAAAATTTCTCTGTCAGTATGTGTTTGGGAAGCCTGCGACCAATTCCGCAGCGTCGCTAAGTCTTGAGTTATAACTTATAAGCTTTGCTCTCTAGTAAACAAATTTTTACGGTCACTCTTTCCTTAATGAGAATTTGAACACTGATGAAATTAAGTAATGTACAGTATAAATGTACTCTGATTCGGTACGAACATGAAAAGTCAGTTTTGCTCCGCTTTAGTCTGAGCGCCAATTACCCAGAGACCATTTAATAACGAAGATCACTACCCCGCACAATTTTTGTTTACAAACATAGGTTTACTGCTAAACAAGGGTAATCTTCGAAAGCCACGAATGCTACTGTGTCCAAATCTCATTTCCGTGGGCCTGCTGCTTAAACCCAAGGATAGTGCAACAAAAATAGCGGCAGTGAAATTTGTCAATTGGTAATCATTAATTTTGCTTGGTGGTTTGTGCTGTGTCTGCTTACACAGTGAGAAACAGATGTGCGCCTAATGATTTAGGTTATCTTCTTTCGTACTGCACAGTATTGTACGGGTATTTTTCAAACAAATCAATTTACTGAATGTCGGAATTTAAAGAAAAGAATGAAACGTTGCCTGGATATTAAGGACTCCTGTACTCGAACATTATTAGCACATGGGACGAGTCCATTATGACTGCCGATTTGTACGTACAAAATGCGTACAATGATTAATTTTATTATTATTTAGTACAATGCTGTACGTGTACTGCGAATTAAGTACAGTATGTTGGCTTTGCATTGCATACATGTGAATTGCGATAGAACCGTATATCCGATCAATATGAACCGTATACCGGTCTTGTCATCATAGAGCTAGTGAAATTACAGCATTAGCTGGTTTTCGATTCGTGTACATACTTATTATGTTTGATCGTGTTATTATCTGGTTTTATCGTTTTACCATGTTTATTTAAAAAATAAATAATGCACTCATATGTATGCCTTTGGCGTTTATGACACAATGGAACTGTTCCATTACGGTTCAGTTTAAATAACAGCAATAGAGAGCAATGAGCAGTAAGAACAAAAGTACTACTAACGCCGTATGCAGCACTAGTTACAAGCTACTGTAGTACTAGCAGTTATTACTCTATACAGTATTAGCACTGCCTAGGTATCTTTTGGTATTAATAAAAATAAGACATAGCCACATTCCATAATATCATAATTATCAGTAATCCAAGAAATAACATCAAAAATAGCAGCTAAAAGTTAAGTGATTCACGAATTTGTCAAGCGATGCACAACACAGAAAGGATAACCGAAGGGGTATAATAACGGGCAACGGAACCGGCTAATACTGCTAGAAATATTGATAACCCAACGACTAAAGTTACCGCAGGAAATACGTCGCTAAATGTACAGAACCGCTCGTACAGGAACAGGAAACACAAGAAGCGGGACAACCAGGCAGATACTCGTACATACTGATACATGTAACATGAGACAGGAAATTGTCAGGAATACTGTAGCGATAGAAGTTGTACAACCATAAGACCACCCAGTTATGTTTCATCATTGCGTTATGAGTTTCTGTCATTTTACCGGCTAGCTGTTCTTCTTCACAATTTCTAGAATTCAGTCTTGCCTTCGCTTGTTACAGCTTGCATCAGCTTGATCAGCTTGTTCCGCTTGTTAAACCCTTGTCTAAACCTTGTTCCCTGTTTTGCATTGTTCTTGTCATTAAACATGCCGTGAACTTCCGTTGTTACGTTCTGTAATTGTGTTAACGTCAGTAAGAGCGTCTTCGGCCAGCATCGTTGCCGGCCCTGCCACCTTTCATCCCAACAGCCCATACAACATCGTAGTGCGGTTAACACGCCAACCCACTAGAACAGCAGCCAGATCGGCTACTGTTACAATACCGTTACAGTATACCGATTCACACAGCGCAAGTTTTAAGTTTCCTCCCACGTGAAGCAGACGCTTGCAATTTCCTGGACAGGCTAAACGTTCGTATACAAAGCCAACATCCATTGAAAATGACGGCAGCCAACAAGACCATCCATGTCGTTACCCAAACTTTGGCGATCGCCGCTTCAGATACTTGCTTCACGGTTAGGCAACCCTGTTTATCCTTTCCACTTTCCGAGAGATGAAACCGACCGACAATGCGCCACAAAATACCACAGTCGTGCACCGAAGCGGCAGGTACACCAGCTCCAACCATTCAATGACCTCAATTAATCGTGCGCTTTCTGTCGCTGGACGCCATCCCAGAAGATGTTTTAGTATATGCATATGCTTTAGAGACATTATCCACGCAAACAGAAAGACAATCCAAAAAAATGCATAGATAAACCATTCGATCCCGGAGGTTGGGTGTGCGCCATGATCGGTAACGGTATAATTATGGGTTTCGTTTATCTGCAAAATGCATGGCCTATAGCGGCTGCCAGCCGGCAAATAACATTTCCATTTCATTTTAGACAAGTAACATGCTTAAGAGAAGTGGCCCGGTATATGGTACCAAATTCGCGTACATACACGAAATCTTCCACTTTCACACATTCCAAAAACTTTTTCTCTTGTTTTATGACATCCTGTAACTAAATGATTTGCACACTTGGGCGTGAAACCCATTTTTGCGCGCTACATCCTCTTGTGAAGGGTGACAAAATTTAAGGCATCGGTGTAAAGACGATCTTATGGCAATGTGCACTTACCTATGTGCAAAATTTGAAGGAGATCGGTCCATAATGAGATTTGATACACCGAAATGCATTTAAACTTTTTGGATTTCGTCACCGTTAATACCAGCTTCGCAACCGGGTGTTAGTTTTGCTCCTGGCATTTGTGCTTCTTTTCAGTGTGTGCCGAGAACAACAATTATGCGCATGATCGGATCGACGAATCAGAAAGTTTTAAATATTAATACTTCAAACTTTTTCTTCACAATCAAGCTTCGCCACGCATCGCGGCACACATCCGGTCCAATACACAAGAATCCAAAAACTCCAAAATTTCAAAAACATCCCAAAAAACCCAGAGCGCGCGTCCCATGCGCAAAACATACAGTAAAATACACATTCGCAACCACAGCAGCAAAAAACAACTGCGCATATCCACAAAAAAAGCGCGCCCCGCCCAAAAACCAACACCGTCCGCGCCGTGAAATCACCACAGAGAAAAAACTTCCAGGGGAAAATCAACACACCCCCACCCTCCACACCGAGGGTCCCCGTGACCTTTGCCCCGGTTCAATGCATCCGGCACACTTTCCAGCGCCGCAACGGCGTCGCACAGTCCTCCTTGACCATGTCGGGCTCCTCCGGGAGGGTCGCCGCCGGGGACACCGGCCGCGGCGTCCCATTGGGCGTCCCGTGCCCCGCCTCCAGGCCGCCGTTGGGCGCGTGCTCCCCCGCGGCGTCCGCGTAGTGGTAGTGCGCCTGGATGAAGGGGAGGAAGGTGGCGGAGGAGCGGGAGAGTTTGCGGTCGATGCGCTCCTGACTGGCGGCGATCTTGGGGCAGGGATGGTTGCGGCGGATCCAGCCGTGGTGCAGGATGCCGTTGATCGTTAACCTGCCCAATGGATTACACAATTATTAAGAGAAATTAATTACTAGATTTATTTACGGTGATTTGTTATGTCCAGATAAAACTGCACGATTCCGGTGAAATAAACTTGACAAAACTTTTCATAATTTGAATTTAAATTGTTTGTCATAATTTTTATCAACTTGTCATACAAATTTGTTAATTTTAATTTAGATTTTAATTAATTATAACTTTTAACTGCATTTTTTTGCAAATTTGTATGCAGATAAGAGTACACTAAAAGAAAAATTAAAAATATTGCAGCCTCGAACACACACAATCGAAAACAACCAAGGAAAATGAAAAACAGCACAACAGAAATCAGGAGATCACAAACACAGATTAAGATGCAACAACAATATTAAACAACAAATCAGCGACCAACAGTTTCCTGTAAACGGAAATGCATCACTAAACATTCAAGTGATGCGAATCAATCGAAATCAACGACCTGGAAACTCAGCGAAAAAATAAATCAACACAAGAAAACTACGGAAATTTTTCGAACAAGCTAAGAAAATAAAAAAAGGTGGATAAATTTTGCATTGATTTCGTTAATACAACGCGCGAAACAGAAACGAAAAGTTGGCTGCATATTCAATTTTAATTACATACATGTATTACGGACAAAAACATATATTATCAGCACAGCCAATCAAACACATTTAAGACACTATTATCCAAAATAATAATTATTATTTAAAACTGTCCAGTAGTTTATCCGCGTTTGCACGTTTTATTATATTGATGGCTATTATATATGAAAAACATGTACTTATATATTTATATATATTTATATATAAATTTATATATTTATAATATATAAAATATATTTATATATAAAATAACGAAATATATTTATATATTTTATAAAATAACGAAATATATAAGTATATATTTATATATAAAATAACGAAAAAGTGTTAATACATCTCAAAACAGTTCAATCAGCTGAAATAAACTACATAACGATAATTACGGTATCAAACGCCATACTATAACTCCAGCCACTGTACTACAAAAGCCAGCAATTACTAATCTCACACTATTGCAACTGTATGATAATAACTGTATGTATGTATGTGAGATAATAATATTATTACTGTATGTATGTATGTATGTATGTGAATTACTGTATGATTATGATTTTAACGAAGCTATTTTCTGTTAAGTGTGATACAGAAATTAACGCTATGTGTTTGTATTTCACATTCTGTCATCTGAAAATGACACCGTACCTATCACATTCCTTCTTGGCCAGACACCCGTCCACGAGGGCACACAGATCGGGCTCGGCATCACGGACATCTTTGGGAATGGTGTGAGCACGCTCACAAATACTGGCAAACAGCTCGTACACGGTCTCCTCCTCGAAGGGGAACCGGCCGACCGCCATGTTGAACAGCGTCACGCCCGACGACCACACGTCCAGCTTCTCACCGGAGAACGTCTCCACGCCTTCCGCCACTTCCGGCGACTGCACGGCCGGCGAACCTGCCAACCAAAAGCGTTCAGTCAACAAAACAAAAACAAAAAATTGGTAATTAGTCAGCAAGGCGATATAGTATAAAAGGTGGCTCAGAGAGAAGATTAGACACGCTCACAGATCGCTGGGAAAACCCATCAAACTGCTGATTTGTTTTAACAGCTCACGAAACTGTTTCTCGTCATAGCCAGGCACATAATTTCATGAGATTTATCTGCAGAATATTACCGAAATATTATAATTATTAGGCGTATTACGTATATAATAATCATTAATAAAACTGTGCGATGTAACTGTGCATAAAACCTGTGCATGAAACAAGAACAAATTGTTAAATCAACGATCAGCACATCTTCTTCCAAATAGAAATGTGCGTACTAACATTCACCCGATTCAGCAAGCAGAGCCAAAATTGAAGACTGAATCAAAAGATAAGAAAACACAAAATCACAAATATCGTTAAAGAATAATGCGTCCGCATATTAGCAAGAAAAGCAAGCAGAATTAAATCAAGATGAAAAAGCCGATCAGTCATTTTCGTTCAAACCTACTATTCATTCCATAATAATTTAACTGTTTATATTAAAGCAAAATAAGCGAAGAACTTCGAAACCGAAAAAAAATTGCACCAACACAAAGGTCAAGGTTTATTAACTGTATTAGTAAGAGATATCTACGAAGAGCTGTGGGCTTCCGTGCGGCTAGTCACTACACTACGAAAGCTTTGCACTTACGAGGTTTTCTCGCTCACACTCAGCATAAAAATATAATAAATAACCAACAGTTTTTCATGTAACTGAAAGACGCATTCTACAGACAATCGAAATCATGATCTGGAAAATAAGAAAAAAATCACCACAAGAATGTTGAAAAATTTTCAACAAAACAAATTCAAAAACATTCACAATGCGCGGTAGACAAAAAATATTTATTGCTGTTAATTCGGCAATGAAAGCATGCCAAATTACGCTGGAAAACTGATGCAAAAGCCATTTCCATTAAGAGCTATTACCAGCTCAAATTTTAAAATAAAACGAGATGAATGCAAACCTTATGAAAAAAAGGAGCGGAAATGAAAACGAACAGACATAACATAGTGTTATGATATTACATTATATCATATCGGACAACAACCGAAGGCACGAGTCGGACGAGCCACCGCACTACAAAACCCAGCAATAACGACAGTTTTTTACATTTACATCTACATTCCCATATTCTGCCGCTTCAGCACAGTGAGCACACCCACCCACCTTGACTGCTGACAATCTGATCCGTGGTGACATACGGAGATATTTGTTCGGCCACGCCGAAATCAGTAATAATATTACAAAACAACTAAAATAAGTTATCGAAAAATAGGAACAAAATTCTGCAACACAAACATTATATGAAAAATTTCTGTAAAAAAAATTAAAGCATCACAAATGAAGTTCGCGCAAATTTTAATAACAGCATGCAAAAGTCGACACCAAGCTGAAAAGTCAACTGAAGAAACCTACACCGTTTATTGCCGTTTACAATGATTAAAAAATTTACACCTAATGAAAGAACCTAATGTACAAAACCTATAATGAAAGAACAATTATATACAACCATAAAACAAAAAGGGTGAAGGAAAATAACCCACAGACAAAGACTAGATTTCTTAACTGCATGACATCTGTAACTAATCGATTATCAGGCATCATTGCTTACGCGAGTCACTTCACTATGAAAACCTTATAACGACGAACCCATTCAGATCTATTTATACTGATTAAAAAAAATTGTGCATTCAAATTTGAGGAAGGACAAGCATATAGAAATGAAAAGGAAAACGAAATCCCACAGTCAAACACCGGATTTATCATCTGCAATTATTTAGCACTCGTTAACTTAAACTCGTTGTATGCGCGAGCCACTTCCCTACGAAAATCCTAACACCGACGAAATTCTCCCACCTTGACTGCTGACAATCGTACTGTGGCGGCATACGCGGACTGCGCTACACTGACACAAGCTATCAATACCAATTAATGTAATTTATAATTAAAATTTATATAACTTATTTTAATTTATTTAATTTACAATTAAAATAAAATAATTTACATTAAAATGAATAATTATAATAAATAAACCGGTTAAAATATAACTAATATAATGTATAATTTTCTTATACAACACCTGAGCAACCCACCTTGACTGCTGACAATCTCATCCGTGGCGGCGTAGGGGGAAATCTGTTCAGCAACGCCGAAATCGATAATCTTCAGGACATCACACGTGGTCACCACCAGATTACTGGGCTTGATGTCCTTATGGATGACGCCCTGCGAATGACAGTACGCCAGACCGTGCATCAGCTGCAAAAAGTAATAGTGGACTTTGAAGAGCGGCAGGCGCTGCTGCGGGAACTCCTTGGCCAGATCGCTGATGGTGCACACGCCCAGTTCGATGATCATGTAGGTCTTATTCTTGGATTGCTTGCGCACCACTTCCCGCAGGCCGCACACACTGCGGTGCGTCAGACGCCGCAGGATGCCGATCTCCGTTTTCACGTTCTGCAGGCCGTTGGGGATGCGTTTGAGTTTGTTGGGCGAGAAGATCTTGACGGCGTACCGCTGCAGACTGGTCACGTGCAGGACCTCCTTGACTTTGGCATAAGAGCCTAGCTACAACAAGGGGATCGTATTATAGTCGCCACTCGCCACAGCATTTTTTTTGAAAAATTATTTATCACTGGTTTTAATTTCTTAAAATTTAACAATGTTCACCACTTTAAATAAATCATTAAATTATTGATCACAGTGGTTTTAATTATTTGTTACAATGAAATTATTCAGAAATTATCAGAAAAGAAAAAGCCGTATCCCTACAATTCGCCACCTTGAAAGCAAACAAAGAATATATTTTCTATTTTCGAAAGATAACCAGCACTACGCCGCACCAACTGAAAACACTCGGAAATGGGTAACCGGAAAATTCGAAAGCAGGTATCTGTACTATTCGACAATCCTATCAACAAAAACACTTCAAAAATTCCAAGGTTGGGAACAACTTTGAAGTTCATTTTAAGTAGTGTCTTTATCATAATAGCGATGAGTTTTTTTCTCCCCTCGACCATTACACTACGGTAGTCTTCTAATTTCCGGAAATGGCTTCGCGCATTTTATGGCTATTTTCCCACTCCTGTTACTCTAATTATTCGTTTTAATAGGCAATAGCCATCAAATAACAAAAAGGCAAGCGCGGGCAAACTACATCAGAGTTAAAATTTAAACAAAAAAACAACCAAAATCTCTATCCCCCCGCGGGTTAAAAGGCGAAGTACTTAACACGGCAGTAGCATTTCCCTTAATGACAGCCAAACTAAAACGTTGCTTGATAAAAGCAGTAGAACGGGCTTCTCCAGTTAATTCACGAATTTTTCGGCCCATAAAATGTACCAGTTCGCTCACAGCTGGGCCGAAAACTCCCAACGTTTCCAATCACTAGAGGATAAAAATGGTGTCGATTTTCTAGTGAAGAGTATTCCGTCTCTTTGCGTTTTATTCTAATTAAAGTGCAATAACCAAAATTACTAATTTTATAAAAAACCAAGATTACTAATTTTATAAAATGTCAATCAATCTGATCACTTATTCTTACAGCAATACTATCAATGTCAATAATTCTATTTCATCAATATTTTATTCACGATAACCCTGAATATTTACAAATAAATCAAACATTTTAACACAACAATAAAACATTCAAAACAGCAATATAGAAATAAACTAACTGATCTACAGTATATTTGTATTGCAAATTGGAACAAATTAAAAACGACTACCAAAAATTAGTCTCGATCAAGACGAAGTATGCCACACTGGCCCACACAGAAGTAACTTGCGTTGAACTTTCGTCAGTTAGACAACTTAGACTAGTATGACTCAGCAATTTCTCAGAAACTAGTGCTTCAAAATTAGGCCAGTCCATATGCCGACCAGCACATATTCGTTCCCGCGCAATTTGCAGACAGAATTAGCCGAACCGATTACATCAGCGCATGCGGCAGGTGTACAGTCGGTAGACTGTAGCTTGCATTTGTAATCAGTTGAGCAACACTTTTCCAACTGTCACCGCTGACTAAAAGTCCGAATGATGCAACTTCATGTTGCGTTACATACTTTAATTCTACGTTAGAGAGACAGTGTTAAAAAACAAGAAATAAATACATAAAAAAGACAGAACGGAAAATAAAATATAATAGAAAAAAATTAAAATAAGAGATAAAAAAATGAAACAGAAAAAACAGAATAGGATGAAAAAGATAAAGTCATAAAGAAATAAATATAGAAGAAATAAAATAAAAAAATTCAAAAATATGTTTACGCTTCCACGTTAAAAATAAGAAATGGTGAATCTTCTAAAATACACTTGAATAAAGTAACTGAAAGCACGACCGAGCGAATCGTTGCCATAATTTTGATCCACACAATGATCTCTGTAATCAGCAACAGAAAATTTTTCTACAAATTCAAAACTTTCCAAATGAGTAAGTAAGTTCTGAACTATCGTAAAGATTTAATTAAACAAACCATTCGGAGAAATTTCCGTTCCAGTAAAAAAACACGTCAGAAATGTTTAAAATCCGTAATGAACAAACTGAATACAAAATTAATACAGCAAACACAAAAAATATAAAAATATGCGGAAAAATTCCTAAAAATATTGGAAATGCAACTGACCTTCTCCAATACATTCTCCCATGAGGTAATTGCCAATAAACTTGGCCTTCACCACGTTCTCATCGTAGGAATAATCATCGGGCTCCAGGTGATGGAAGAAATTCGGCGGACCCTCCTCCCCCACGCGCACGGCACTATACGGTTCCTGGAGGATCCGCTCATCCAGCAGCTCCTCCGAGACACTCTCCAGACTATCGCGTCGCGCGTACCCCCGCCCCGGTGGCTGCTGCACATACCCCGGCTGTACAAACTCCTCACGGCGCTCCACCGTCCGCTGGAACTCGTGGAACCAGCCGGGGGCCACGGGGGGCGAATGGGTGGGCTCATCGCTGTCCTCGGCGCTGCGCTGCCACAAGAGGAAATTGGGGCGCTGAAAATGCTCCTCGGGGGACTGGGGCGACGTCGGGTGGTGGGCGTGGGGGGCCAGGAGGGCGGCGGACGTCGGGACGGGCAGGGAACGGTGCGAGGGGGCATTCGCGGGCGCCTCGGCCATCAAATGGAGATG